TATGTTAAAGTCCATGGATTTTAGGGGTGCCCCCCTCATTTTGAGACAAACACATATTGATGTTGCTTTTGATGAGGGTTGCTATTGCTATTCGTATTTTGATTTCGATCTTTCATTTAATGCGAATGGGGATCTTGTTGTTTTTGATGCTGAGAAGGAGGGAAAGGATGAAGATGAAGAGCACGGTAATTTTTCATATATTTATTTGTGGTGTCGATTGTACTGTAGTAGCTTTTTGCCACTAGCAGACTAACAAAAGTCAGTTTAGCACTCAGCTAGCCAATTCGTTTTTGCACGTAGTAGCCATCAGGACAGGTGCAACATATCTCCTTACGGAAGAGGCTGAAGCTAGGACAATTTTTGTGACACCCATTGCGATGCAGGTAAGTTGGCACAAAAAGGGCCAGCGAGTGGCCCTCCAGGACCTCCAACTGGAATAGTGGTCAGCAGCTCAGGAAACCCCAAGATTCCCACAGATTTTTTTAGCATGGTTACCCTCTGGTAAACAGCCACATAACGAACTGGAAAATCACCATGTTCAATGGGCAAATCAAGTATTTCAATGGCCATTTTTTCAATAGCAAACTGTTAAATTACCAGAGGGTATCATAATGTTGCCATGGTGATCTCATGATGTAGGGCATGTCACTGTGCTTTCTCAATTTCTCAACCTCAAACCTCAACCATCCATGATTCAGCTGCAAGTTGCACAGCCTGCATCACTGAGGTCATCGAACAAAAATTCGTGGACTTCTTGCTGGGTCCTGGAGGCCTATTCTTGCAATGCTCGAAGTCGGGTTTTGGCCAAGGGTTTTGGGGACCAGGTTGGCATCCATAGAGCCCATTGAAATTGTTTTCAACATCTTTCAACTACTTTTGGGTTTCGTAGTAGCCTTGGATCATTTAAGTGTCGATTGGTCCACGGGAAAAATGACAGGAACCCCCATGGCCCATTCATGGTAAGTTGCTGTTTCCGACCCTTCCAGCACGTCATAGGTCAGTCCTTGGCGGCCATCAACCATGCTGCTGGGGTCAATGTCATCTTGGATCAAACCCACAAGTTCTCCGGCTACAGCCACGCCAAGATCTATGGTTCTGAGGATTTTGTGTGTGTTTTTTTCTGTTGAAACTTTCAGCAGCCCAAAAAAAAGTGGATGAAAACGAGGGGAAACTCTGCTGGACACCGGCAAGAAGATGCAAGAACCATCATTTCGGACCATTCCGTTCGAAAAGAGTTTTTGGCACCGCCCAAATATCAAAGAAATAACCCTAGTCTCCCCAAGAGAAACATGAAAATTGTTCCTGATCTAACTATAGTCTCCTATCTACCATTAAAACCATACTGATTTTTTTTCACCGACCTTGCCATAAAATACCATTGCCATAGTTTTTTATCACCAGGAGAAGGTGAAAGATGCCAAGTTGGCCATCGACTTCAAGTTGTCCCAGTGGCTTCCACTGCAAGACCGTCGGAGAGGTCTCGCTGCTGTAACCGCGGCGGCGCCGGCGCCGCTGAGCAGCGAGTTTGGAGCTCGGGAAATGGGAAAACGGGGGTGGACAATGAATTGATTTAGTGAACTGAAATAAAATGATGGAGATATATGAAAATAATAAGGTATAATGACATTAGATATATAATGATATTCAATATATATATATATGTATGTATGTATGTAATGTAATGTAATGTAATGCAATGCAATGCAATGGAATGTAATGTAATGTAATGTAATGTAATGTATGTAAATGTAATGTAATGTAATTTAATGTAATGTAATGTAATGTAATGCATGTATGTATGTATGTATGTATGTATGTATGTATGTAATGAATGTATGTATGTATGTATGTATGTATGTATGTATGTATGTATGTATGTATGTATGTATGTATGTATGTATGTATGTATGTATGTATGTATGTATACTGACAATAACGGCTAATAGTTGGTAACACGTCACCGCTATCGTCGTCGTCATCATTACCACTCAAGGAAAAGGGCCCAAGGATGCAACTGTGGATGTTCAAGAGACCGAAAACTTGCAACTATTGGTGGGTGAGTACCTTCTGGTAGACAGCCACATAGCGAACTGGAAAATCACCATCTTTATATAATAGGTAAATCAACTATTTCTATGGGCCAGCTATTCAATAGCTATTTTGACATAACCAGAGGGTAGACCATGAAAATTGCCATTGAACCAAGTTGAGTCCCTGAAAGTAGAGTAAATCATCCTAAATCATCCTAAATCCACTGGTCATTCATGCGTGTCCCCCTTCAATGGGCTGCCTGATTTTCAGACACCTTTTCAGGTCGGGCCTATGGGCGAGACAGTCTGCACGAGGCTCCCAAAAATCCGGAAAAAGCGATGATGATGACGATGATGATGATGATGATGATGATGATGTTTATGATGTTTATTCATTGTTGTCATGATACTTGTGCGTGCGTCTCTATTTGCAATGATCATCAACATAGAATTCTCATTGGTGAGGAACGTCACCGGTGAAGGAAATCGAGGATTCGTCGGCCGTTCCTTGGATGTTTGCGTGTCGGATGGCAGCAGAGGTTCAACGGTTAACTGTACTTGGGTATGTCACGGTATGTCTGAAAATGGAGGATGAAACCCCCAACTTATGTTCATTTTAGATCATTTTAGCAAGTTGTGATGTCCGAAAAAACTCAGACAAACCCGCGTTTGCATGAGTCCTGTTTGGTCCCGTGTTTTTGTATAATTGTGAGCATTATGAACCCCAAAGTGACTTGAAGACAGGTAGATGGGATTTTACATTTGAAGGAGGGTGTCCGGTAAGGAAATAATTATACTGTTGATGCTTGATCATGAACAATGCCATTCAGGAGCGGCATTTTTTTCCACCAGTGCCCTTTTTTATGGTCCTAAGCCATACTGGGTTGAAACCAGCAGTCACAAGAAAATTACCATCTGGTTATGGCTAACATAGCCATGGTATAGATGGCCCATAGAAATAGATGGTTTACCGTTCTTAATAGCATGGGTGGACCTTTCTATGGCGAACTGTTAAATAATCAGATGGTAGTTGTTTCTGATTTTTTCAGGTATGCGAAATTTCTATATTTCGCTAAAAAAATCTGAGCCTCTCGAGGTCAAAGTCACGGGCGGCCTGTTGTGAGCGGAAATGGCTACAAATCAGCATTGAAATAAGTGGATGACATAACCAATGGGAATTTCAGGATCCTAAAATGGAGGTACCTACCATATATAAGGCCTATATAAGTAAGGCCTATGTAAGTGAATAGCACCACAAAATATGGCCTGGAATTCCCATTGACATAATGCGGTGGGTCAGAACTGTGAAGAAATGATCTTAAGACAATTAATTAATGAAAATTAAGGATTTGCAGGTCGAAGTCTTTAGAGCATTTTCTCATGGGTCAGAACGAATACAGCCATTGAATCTTTTAGCTGATCTTCAGATGCCCCTGGGAGCGCGTGTTCTGGTCATTGCTGCGGCTTGTTTGCCTCAGAAAAAGGCTAGCGCGGGTTGAGTCTGAGGTTTCCTTGCCGTCCTCCCTTGCGACCCGACTGGTAAGCCATGTCATGCCATGTGAGATGTCAATAGACAATCAATTCTGTCATTGATGTCAATTGGATACCCTCTGGTAAACTAACATAACTGATGGGAAAATCACCATTTTCAATGGGAAAATCCACTATTTCTATGGCCATTTTCAATAGCTAACTGTTGACATAACCAGAGGGTACCAATGGATTCCAGTCGCCAGGATCCCAATGGCAAGTTCCAAATGTTCCATTGCTGGTGCTTCACTGGGACGCACCGTTCTCCTTGAAGGTACTCCCTGCAACTGGATTGGGAAAACTGGCGCCTATACATTTGAATATGAATATATATATATATAGATATAGATATAGATATATCCACAGAAAAGCTATAGAAAGCACATGGAAAACCCGTAGCAAACCCATTCTCCATGGCACTTTGTCACCGAAAGCTAACATCAATTTGCACATCTACTCGGCCCATGTCACGTCATGGGACTGCCCGTGGGAGCGCCGCGAACCGACGAAGTCCAGTGGCAGTTGAAAGCAACGAAGCTTTCGAAGCGTTCTATCGAAAGCAGGGGGTGGTTGCTGAGGAGATTGGATGTTCTATTCAATTTCTATGTTTTTTTTTGTGTTTTTTTGTTTAACGGAAACATGAGATGTTGATTGAGCAGTTGAGCACTGGGGATTTAGTGGATATTGGGAAAACTGTGGAATAATTGTGGGATATGAATCGGGATATGGAGATTTAGTGGCATAATGTGAATCATATGGGGAAGTTACCCTCTGGTAAACTAACATAGCTATTGAAAATGGCCATTTATAGTGAGTTTTCCCATTAAAAATTGTGATTTTCCATAGTTATGTTGGTTTACCAGAGGGTAGCTCTCCAGATATTTCCAAAAAATCCAACCGTCTGCGACACCCTGTAGGAGCTTTGGGATGATTTCATACAGACCTTGCGGACACCCATGCCCGTGGTGGTGCGTATCAACCGGACCAAACCACATTGGGAGGAGATGCGACCAGACCGGCGACCGGACGCGTAGCGATGTTCAAAAATATCCACAGAAGTCATTGGAACATGAAAAAATGAACAATGCATTTTTCAGAATTTGGGGAGTGGATCCGCACAGGGTTCACATATCATATGTGCATATATCATATAATATAATATATATATAGCTCCAATAATACCTATGTTTTATGTATATTTCCATGGCATACTCCATATATGTTCCACACATATCATCCCTTTCAGTTGCGCAAAGCAAACCCAATGGCAGGAGCTTCACAACTCCTTCGCAGAGGACCTACGCTGGTCGCAACTGCCGTGGTTTCCCGGCGCCTGGCAGTGCGACGCCAAGGACTACGACGATGCGCTGCGGTCGCAGTGCTCGGCACTGAACAAGTCCTATGCCCTGCGCTTTCAGGAGAGGGTTGGGTGGGGGATGGTTGGCATGGTTGGGATGGTCCTGGTTGGGCCAATACCCTCTGGTAAACTAACATAGCTATGGAAAACCACCATTTTTAATAGGTAAATCAACTATAAATGGTCATTTTCAATAGCTATGTTAAATTACCGGAGGGTAAATGATGTCATAAATGATCATAAATGGTGAATCATTTTTCAGCAAACTTATTGGTGGAAGTCTTCCAGATAATTGGGGGATTTGGAAGTGGATTTTTGGTGGGATTTCATGGGGATCAATTGGGAAATCAACAAAAAGTCATTGGGAATACTGGGAACATAATGGAATTATCAGTCCTCTGGTAATTTAACCTGACACTTGAGAGATGGATTTACCCCAGAAAAAAGATGAAAAAAGGCCCATGGATTTGTAGCTCAAAACTAATGACTAATGTCCCCCTGTCCATGTTGGGCCCAGTGGGTAATTGTTCCATGGAAGGTGGTGATCGTTGAAGTTTTTTGAGTCACCTTCAGGTGCTTTATTGACATGTGAACGTGATGAGTCAAATATTGCTTGGTGGAGCCATTTGTTGGCTTGTTTTTGGTTGCAGCTTTGATGATCTCCTGATGTATGTAGTCTTGACACATCTTGATGGGATTGGCCCAATTGACCCCTTCCAATTTGATGACACGGACGAGACAGATGTTCTTCCCCATGACCCCAGGAAGCTGCATCATTAGTGCCGCCCTTGCTACTGGAGGTGCCACATCCACGATCTTTGCTTTGGGAACATGAATGAAGACAAACCATTTATGGGTGATTTATGTAAAGATAGCTGTGCTGCTTGGTGGTTTGGAACATGAATGTTATTTTTCCCATAGTATTGGGAATGTCATCATCCCAACTGACGAAGTCCATCATTTTTCAGAGGGGTAGGGCTCAACCACCAACCAGAATGTTATTAACCATCATTAACCTTATAATAACCATATTAGCCATTATTAACAGTATATTACCAACCAATGGTAGGGCTCAACCACCAACCAGTATGACATTGCCATAACATTTGTTACCCAGGTGCCTTCGCCAGGTGAAGCCTGCAGATTTGCTCTTGGACCTTTGTGCCGCACCAGGTGCAGTTTTTCGGAAACAACTCGGCCACCCAAACAGATCCAAAACGGTGAAACTATTTGGGAAACACATGGAAAAACCATAGGTACCGGGTGGATCCAGGCGGGATATGTTCGGTGATTTTCTGTGGTATCTATATTTCTTGATATTTCTTGGATTTTTTAGAGATTCTTGGACTTTGAACTGGAATTCCAATGTGTTCCCCTTCTTTTGGGGGGGAGAAGGGTTCAGATTGGGTTCCAGGCAGCAAAACCTTGGAATGCATCGAACTCATGCGGGAGAATGGCCACAAGTCATCTCAGGTCGTTGGTCGATGTGGGTCGGCTGTGGCTCTGGTCATCTACGCAGTGTGACTGTCCGACTGTAGGCTTATGTGTATCTGATGGGTCAAACTCACCCTTGGGGCATTATGGTCATTTATCATTTAGTTTAGATGATTCAAAGGTCATCATCGTAACAGATTTTTGACGAACATCTAAGAAGCCGCCAGAACGATGGCCTAATAAGGTTTGGCACCAACATGTGCCAATCAAAGGACGACAGCTTTTGTCTCCAACTTCCCCATGGAACATTCCCCAAAAAGCCGCGTAGGATGGGGAAACTGGTGTGGTCATTGCCAATGACGCGGATGCTGAACGCTGTTTCGAACTCTTGCCCCTCATCACGCGCAAGGCGGGGAGCATCCGACCTTGGCTGGACATGGCATCCATGATGCCATGGCATGGAACGGATGATTTCACTGCTTGGGTATTGCCGGTATGCCCCGGTATGGCTTGAAATGAAATTTCACCCATAGCATCCCACAAAATCCAATACACATTTAAAATGCTTTTGGTATAGGTTTGAGACTTAGATTCGTTGTCACCTCTTTGACTGAACTGCTACTGATATTGTGGAAGAAATCCTGCACCACATCATGACATGATCATCCCACTATTTACAGTGTTTGATAGTTACCAAGAATGACAAAACCATGATTACCGGTGTAGGTTTTGTCCACAGTATGTTCCAACAACTTCCCCTTAAAGCGTAAATTTCGACGCGTGGGCGTGCTCCTCGGCAAGGCTCGCTATCCGGGTTGCGCAGTGGTCCTGGGAAACGGTGCCAAGTATCCAGCGCAGTTCCGAGGTCAAGACGACCAACTGCTGCGACTGGGATCCGGTGAAGGGAGGAAGCCAAGGAGTTACAGTAAAAAACAAGTTAGAACCCATAGATAACCCATAGATATCCATAGTGGTTACCCATATTTATCCAAATATGTCCCATGAAATGGCGCTGTAGAGCTACTAAGAGTTTCCAGATCAAGGCACTAAGTGCAGCCAGAAGGTCGCCCTTTGGATCCAAGATGCAGCCGGCTCCTTAAGAATGGAACAAGTACATACAAGTACATCAATCTGGGTAAATTATACCGACCTCACTGTGACCGAGCCCTCTTATTTGATTCCATCCCAGTTCGGGATATCCAGTTTTTGGTCCATAGCCATTTTTTCGGAGTTTAGCTAGAAAAGCATCGGGGAATGGTAGTTCATGGTCATTGATAGTAGTTGATTGGCAAGTTCAACTGAAGTAACTTCAACATACTTCAACTACCTTTGTAGCACATGTGTGGAAAAAGCAGGGGTGTTGTTTTGAGCTGCAAAAACACGACGATATCAAGATTGACACATTGATCAGCTTGCCAGGATATTTGCCGCGAGATTTCCGGCTCAGAAAGTGTTGCTACGACGGGCAAAAATGATTTCCGTCGAGACATGTTTCAACTGAGTATAGCTTTGCCGAGTGGACAAACTGAGATCATTTCAATTCCACAGTCCTCCAAAGTAGGGGACTTGACAATTCTCGCCCAGAAAACCTTCGGATCCTGCGGCTTCCTGCGGTTGCTCACAGCAAGCGGACATGCCCTGACTGATTCTGTGGCATCTTTGTCAGCTGCTGGGCTGCAGGATAGAGACCATCTTACTGCTCTTGCAGTTCAAGGAAGTATCGCCGCAACACAGGAAGCCTTTGCTTTGTGGTGCTGTGGAGGTAACAGGATCGTTGCTTGGGGCGCTCCAGATTCTGGTGGCGACAACTCTGCAATCCAAGATTTGCTGAGGAATGTGCAGCAGGTTAAGGCCTTGAAAACAGGATTCCATGCTGGTGCCATAACCAACGGTGCATTTGCTGTGATTCTGGCAGGTGGCTCCGTTATTACATGGGGGGCGAGCACGGCAGGTGGTGACAGCTCTGCGGTACAAAATCAGCTCAGGAGTGTGCAGCAGCTTCAGTCCACAGCACAGGCATTCGCTGCCATCCTGGAAGGTGGATCTGTGGTGACATGGGGCTCTCCAGCGCATGGTGGTGACAGCTCTGCAGTACAATGTCAGCTAGGCCACGTGTGCCAGATTCAGGCTACATCGCAAGCGTTTGCTGCTGTCTTAAAGGACGGATCAGTGGTGACATGGGGCAATGCGTATTTTGGTGGTGACAGCTCCACTGTGCAAGATCGGCTCCAAAGAGTGCAGCAGATTCAAGCCAATGGTTTTGCCTTCGCCGCGATCCTGGAAGATGGATCTGCAGTGACATGGGGCATTGAAAGCTACGGTGGTAACAGCTTTACAGTACAAGATAAGTTGAAGAGCGTGCAGCATGTTCAGGCCACCATGTTTGCATTTGCTGCGATCCTCGCAGATGGATCCGTGGTTTCCTGGGGTTCTCCTGCACACGGCGGGGACAGCTCTGCAGTCCAAGATCAGCTCAGAGATGTGTGCCAAGTGCAGGCCACAGCGTTGGCTTTTGCTGCGATCTTAAGGGATGGATCTGTGATTGCGTGGGGCTCGTCAGATCATGGGGGTGACAGTTCTTCCGTCCAAGGTCAGCTTAGGAGTGTGCAAAAGCTTCAGGCTGCAAGAAATGCATTTGCTGCAATTCGGGAAGATGGATCTGTGGTTGCCTGGGGTGATCCTGAAAATGGTGGTGACTGCTCTGGTGTTCAAGACCAGCTCAGGCGCGTGAAGCAAGTTCAGGCGACACTATATGCGTTTGCGGCAATCCTAGATGATGGTTCCGTGGTCACGTGGGGCAATCCTGCACATGGCGGCGACAGCTCTGCAGTCAAAGGTCAGCTGAAAAATGTGCAGCAAGTTCAGGCTACATCGCTTGCCTTTGCCGCGGTCTTAAAGGATGGTTCAGTCGTGACGTGGGGCAATCATACAGCAGGGGGTTACCTGCCTGAGGGACAGCATTTGTTTCTTTAGGAAAATGCCGGCTGCTTGGTGCGTCAATCCGTCCATGTTCAGGGTCACAGTCACAGTACCCAGTGCTATCCATACGATTCCATTGGTTGTGATTGATGCTCCATCAATTCTTGAGATGACTGGGGCCCCCAAAGGATGTTGTTTGGGAACTAGGGGGCCCATGATATCATGGTTAATAAGAGGAATCATCCCAAAATGGCCAACCAGCTTAGTGAATTATGATAATTTGCGCAGATCAATTAACAACAGGTTTGAGTCAATATTAATCAACCAATATCAACCATAAACCCATGCCGGGTCCATGAATTCCACCATCTTGCCGTGGACACTTTCTTGCCAGGTTGGACCGGGATGATCGAAGATGTTTGTAACCTGTAGATCCCAGGGTATCCGGGCAGATCAAACACTTCAAAAAGTGGAAAGTTTGAGGTTATCGCTTGGGATCAAGATCATCTTTTCAATATCAAATCCTTTGGAATTCCTGATGGTATAGACCTTGTTGGTATGTTTATTCCAGATCAATAATATCAATATGGGCTCCAAGAAAAAATCACTCAACATATCTCAAGCTCATGAACTCCTGGCAGGTATGACAAGGTGCTTTGCGACGTCCCGTGCAGTGGTGATGGCACTCTCCGGCGGCGACCACACTGTTGGAAGTCCTGGTCGGTGGACCTTGGGATACCGCAAGGGTGTGGATGGCGATGGGGGATGCCATGGATGTCATCAACCAAGGCTTTTTTGGAACATTTATGAAGATCATATCTATATCATCTGGTTGGTGGTTTGGAACATGACTTTTCATGACTTTTTTGGAACATTTATGAAGATCATACATTTATGATCATTTATGATCATTTATCTGGGTAAATTATAGCGACCTCACTGTTCTCCCGAGCCCTGGAAATCATGGTTAAGAAGGGGAATTCATCGCCAAATGGCCGCAAGATTCAGGTTAGTGAAATAGTGTAATTTACCCAGATTTATGATCATTTATGAAGATCATATATATATATATATCATATCTATCCCTAAAATTGGGAAGACCGCCATGAGCACATGAGCATCATGAGCAGATGATGGGCACAGGATGTGGATGATCCACCTGATGCTTGTTGATTGGGTGTGCTGCCTTTTTGTGTTCTAAGATGGCGATGTTCAGCAAGGTTGATGTTCTGATATCATTTGATATTTATGGGCAACATATGCCATCCACATGACATCGGTAAACTAACATAACATAACCATGGAAAATCGATCCACCATGCTATTAATGGGGAAATCCACTATTTCGACTGGGCCATTTTCAATAGCAAACTGTTACCCTCTGGTAACCTAACGTAACTATGGAACATCACCATTTTTCAATGGGTAAATCCACTATAAATATTATAAATGACCATTTTCAATAGCAAACTTTGAGTTTGCCAGGCCGGGTAGTTGACCAGGCCGGGTATCAGAAATTCCCATTTTGGGCTTGCGATTCCGTCATCGATCCAGGACTTTCCCTTGACTTTGCATCAGAAACAGCTACTGATCCTCTGTCGCGGCCTGCACTTGTTGCGACCGGGTGGGCGCCTGGTCTACTCCACCTGCAGCATGAATCCCATTGAGAATGAGGCGACGGCCGGGACGGTGGGAGGGGTGGCAGACATCTTCGCTTTAAGCGGTTTAAGCATGGTTTAACCATGAGTACCCTCTGGTAATCAGACATGGTTTGTTGGAAAATCAAGCATTTTTTGTGATTTTCCCAGCTCTAACCAACCCTCTATTGAATGAGGGCATTTTCCAGCTTGCCATGTTTGATTATCGAAGGGTGACCACTATAATATGGTAGAAGATCCTTTTCAAGATCAAAAGTCCTGTTCTTAATGGATCATGGAGGTAAAATTAAAAGAAACTAATGTGCGAAACTCCATGCTAAAACGCTCTATACAAGCCACAGATCCAGGCAGTGGTGACTGCTGCCCTCGCTCGTTTTGGCGGCGACGTTCGCTTGGCACCCAGCGATGTGCCCAAGGAGTTGCGGGTGGCGAAGTGTCTTCAGACTTGGTGGGTGCCTGATCCTCAAGATTCAGGCGGGATTGGATATGATTGGATGGCCAAGTGCTATTCAGATATTGATGAAAAATCGTGTTATCATGTGTTATATCATATGTTTATATGATTATATTAAAGCATATATTTTAACAATGTTCCATATGTTAACAATAACTTATTGTATGCTGATTTCCCTGAGGCGATGGAGAGAGACAGAGATACGATGAGATACGTTGTTTCATAGTTGTTTCATGGTTATGATAAAAGTTTATCGTACATGAAGCAACTGGTTGTAAAAGTATATGATGTTGCATAGTTCTTGGAACCATACTGGTTTTCCCAGACATGGTACTTATTGGTGATGTCTACCATTGTCTTCTCACCACCTAGTGATGTCGAATGGGAATAGGACACTGGATATTTTGCCACAAGGGGTAGGTGGAACGAACAGATGTCCGAAAATCCGCCCACACCGCTTTGGCGGTGAAGGCGTGCTTATTGGGGGGCAACAGCAACACTAAATGCTCAATGACATTTGTTAATATAGCAGTCGCTATATCAGCTTTAGCTGGGGGGGGGGGGCCAAAAACGGTTTCGCACCGAGACCAGACCCCAAAAACGGTTTCGCACCGAGACCAGAATACGGTGGTGTTTTCGACATTTTTCGAGGATTTTTGGGTGTCTGAGCGCAAGAGGGTATTGAAATGGAATTTTGGGTCATTTTGGTAGCTTTCCGGCAATGGAAAAACGGCCAAAAATGAAAAAAACATTGTACATAGCAAGATTTTGCAGGGTTTTTGGATGCCAGAGCATTGAAAACACTGCAAAAACAAGTGTTTTGGACTGACGTTATAGCAAAAAACGTGTAAATTACCGTATGCTTGACTGGAAACATTACAAAAACACTGTCAAAAGCAATGTTTTGGAAGGATTTACTGCCTTTATGGCAAAAAACGTGTAAATTACCGTCTGTTTGACTGGAAACATTGGAAAAACACTGTCAAAAACAATGTTTTGGAAGGATTTCTTATTGAAATTTCTTAGCTTGAAGAGCTCCCACGGGGGAAAACCACCCTTAGCCCCTCTCACGGACCGAAATAAACCTGCGGTGTGGGCGGCCACCCCACGCGAAGCGGGGTGAATATTCTACAGTTGCTCCCTTGCGGATATTCACCAGGTTGGAGAAGAAGCCATCCGTCCATACAGCACACAGGGGGGCTGCCATTTGATTGCCACTGGCAGGCTGCTTCTACAAGTCTTGGATGGAGGTGCCAACATCGCAACGAAAACCTTCGGGGATTTTGGTAGAAAGTATGTTCAGCTCTGGCGAACTCGATCCACGTGGATGTTTTCGACTGATTCGCAGTTGACAGTTGGAGGGTTGGATGAGTTTGGTGTTCCCCACTTGGCAACTCTTGTACGAGAATAGTTCGATTGGTTGGAGTTAGATTTACTTAGTAGTATTATATGTATAGCCATGAGATGTCATGAGTTTTGCAGAAGAATGGGGCCAATGCTTGCCATCCAAGGAATCCGCATGAAATTGATGGGTCTGGTTTCTTCGTGGCAATCTTCACCAAAACTGCGCATCGAAGCTTTCCGGTGCAGATTCCATCATCTCGCCTGATGCCGGAGATTCCTTGGAGGGCTAGGAATGAAAACAATCGCTATACCGTGGTCTCAACTGACAACTCGGATGTACAATCCATTGCCACTTCGCTCGCGTATATATAATTCAAACCTTTTTGGCATTGAGATGTGTGGCATACCCAGATTTTTTTTGTCACTCTTTTGGCACCTGATTTCCACTGCTGTTTGTTGCTGCAACGGATTTCCTTTTCATCACTTGAGGTGAAATTCTATGGCCTGCGAGACTTACCCGGACCGTTGGTGGCAGAGTACAACATCAAGGGCAAGTTGACCCAACTGAATCTGGTGAATTCTGCTCTACTTCAGCTTTTGCAAAGTCATTTGAACTGCAAAGGCTCCCCTTTGTTTCTCGAAGCTGGTTTCAAGATGTTTCAAATAATGTGGTGAAATCCAATGATAAACCCTGCCCAGCTGCCTGATGTGGGATGTAAAAATCACCAGAGAGGTTTGCTATTGGGATAGTTTAGTATTGGCCTTGCCTTCCCCAGAATTTTGGGTGGTCATTTCATATCATTTCCTTAGATTTCGATGTTGGTCACTGTTGGTCATGTTTGAGCCTTTGCTTGTTCACCAGGTTGGTATCCTTAGGGATCCCCTTGTTCAAAGTCTTGGATGACAACTTCATGACCAACATCGACGTGCCGCGTTGGCGTCCAGCCATGGAAGGGGCCCAGATTTTGGCGCAGAAGATGGAGAAACGGGTGCTGCGAATCAGCTTGGAACAGATGAGGACAGGGGGTGTTTCATCAGTGACTCAGCTGGCCAGGCCCCAGCTATGGCATGCTATGGCCCAGCTGGGGCCATATCTGGCCATGGCAGGATCAAAGAGGTTGGACCTCGGAACTTCATCAAGTTTAGACTCCAAAAAGCCGGGCCGGGATTGTCCAAAAATCCCAAAATCATTTGAAGAAACAACCAGAGGCGGTTTCTTAGAAGTCTTGTGTGGCTTTGTGGAGGTATCAAGTTCTGTTTCTACCCAGTTTTCGACTTTTTTTTTCGCGATCAGCAGGAAGTTATTGATGAAACGACTTCTTCCCATGCAATCCTTGCTGACTTTGGGAACCGGCAATGAGTTGAAAGGTCTGGAGAGTTGTGAGGAGAAGTTGGGTGGCGCCGTGGTGGGAACGATGGACGGAACCTTCTGGGTGCCCTGCATCATCACAGGCTGGGCACATGGTGGTGGGACTATGGTAAAACATGGCGTGAAACCCTGCGTTGATGCATTTCCTGATGGTTTTTTTTGGGTGGTACATGGTGGTCATTTTCCAACTGAAGAATCTATTGAGATGGGAGACCCAAAAAGACGAATTTTTGGGGATCAACTTTCTTGAGCAGGCAGCGGGCTGGAACTCTATGCCTCTTTGGAGGAGGTTGGTGATCCCCTTCCCAAGTTGTTACCGCCTCTGCGGCCACCGGTGATCTCCGCAACGGAGGAGGTGATGGTCTTGGACAAACCCAGTGGCCTTAGAACGGAGGATGCCTTGCGTGCCATGATGGCCATGATGGGGTGGAATGGAGTTTCCAAAAGTTGAAGTGCCATGAAGTGCCCCTGGTTTTTGAGATTTGGGGTAAGGGAACAAACTGACACTAGGATTTTTCGGAGAATGTTGGGACTTTAAGTGGATGCAAGCCGTTTTTTTGTTTCCAGAGGAAATTTTGGAGTAGAGGCATCCAAAAGCCTAGTTTTTTGGTGAGTCTGTGGTTCTGCTTGAAATGCTGAGGTTTTGTTCAGCAGAAGCATCCAGGCGCCGAGCTGGTTTCCAGGTTGGACAAGGAAACCAGCGGATGCCTATTGATCCCCCTGACAGCGTTGAGCGCGAAAGAGTTCACACAACAATTTGCGGGAAACAAGGTGGGATACCGATGGCTGGAGATTCCCTATTTCTTTATCCATTTTCTATGCAAAAAAGATGTGCAAATGATGCAAATTTGGTGGATTTATGGATTGTAGGCGGAGACCATCTATTAATGGATGTAAAATGCGGGATTCTTCATTGCTAGATTGAAGTACTAGGAGGGTGGGATGAGATGATGGGAATGGGGGGCCTTGGAGACACAATGATGTCATTGGTGTTAGTTACTGTTAGTTGTCAAGTCCTGAGCTTAGGAAATGACAACATCATTCTGGGTAAATTATAACGACCTCACTGTTCTCCCTCACTGGAATTATGGTTAATACGGGAAATCATCCCCTTTTATGGCCGAACCATTCAGGTTAGTGAAATATTATAGTTTACCCAGATTTATGGTTGATTTAGCCATCAAACATGGTAATATCCTATAAATATCCTATAAATATCATTAAAAAAGCCCCCAAAAGCCTCAAATATCAGATCTGGTGCCGGCCCCGGCCGCAGCGGCCCCGGGCTCCAGGGCTCCAGCCCCTGGCTCCAGTGGTGTCAGGTGCAGAAGTGCTACGTGGCCGTGGTTCATGGCCATCCACCTGAGAAGGGTCACATTACAGAAGCACTGCGCTTGGTACAGCTGGGGGGTGGCACCAAATACCGCGCCTTTGTGGATGACACTGGGAAGGTGAGAAGATGTTGGAAGATGTTGGATGTGGGCCGAATTTTGGGAGTATCAAGGATGGCGAATCTTCACCAGCTATAAAGACATTTATAGGCTATATATATATATGTATGATATACATATACATATACATATATATATATATATTCATGTTCAATTGTATCTGGTTCCTTTCCGCTTTGGGAGTGGGTCCTGTGATCATGGTGTTCAATCATGATGTTTTCAGGGATTTTGGCCACGCTTCATTCCGCATTTTTCTTCCAAGCCGCAGTCTGCGAAACCGCAATTCCCTCTGACTCTTGGATGCATCAAATCCGACAAATAGTGGCTATACCACTGATCAGACTGGGCATCAAACCCCAAAGACCATGGTTTCACACAGTCTAAACCTAAAATCTAGACATTCAATCTAGAGAAACTTCATCGCAGCTGGAGCGTCGGTGTATCCATTGTCCACGATCCACCTTATCAGTGGCAAAATTTAACACATATACAACATATACAAGACATAACATATAATTGAGCACACACATGTGATGCATACATGGAATATGGCAGATACGTATTGGGCTAAGTGACTGGACACGGGTTGCCAGAGCTTTCTTGCGTGCCTCATCTCCATTTTTGCCCTGCGCCTTGAACTTTGACCAGGCACAAGAGTATACCTCATACAAAAAAATGAAAAAACAGGTTCAAGACTGGAGGGAAGGGTGAAAAAAATGTGATCTGAAAAGTGGATGATATAGAACAGGTGGATGAAAAGTTCAAAACTGGTTGGTGGAATGAAGATTGGTATGATCAGCACAGCCAGGTTAGCAATCAAGACCGATTGGAAATAGGAATCATCTCATCACCGAATGCTGGGTGCTGGGAATGGTGAGGTTTGGTGCCACTTGCAAGCTAGGTACCGAGTGCAGCTTCTTCTGAAGATCCTTGTCATTCAACCTGGAATCGGGGGGATTCTCACCTGGCAGGCCCTCACCGGTCTCCAGGTCCTCATGTTCACGTTTCTTATTCTTCTTGGCAGCCACCTTGGGAGTCTTGGGTGCTTTGCCGGTCTCCAGGTCCTCATGTTCACCTTTCTCATTCTTCTTGGCAGCCACCTTGGGAGTCTTGGGTGCTTTGCTTGTCTTGGGTTTCTTGGTCGATGCAGGTGCTGGTGTGGCAGCTGCTTCTGCTGCTTCTGCTTTCTTTGCTGCTGCCAACCGATTCAAAGTCTTCAGCTGTTTCGACTTTACCTTGGACTTTCCCTTGGATTTGGTCTTCCCGGTAGACCCTCGTCCCTTGGATCTGGATTTTCGTCCCTTGCCTTTGGTCTTCCTGGTGGGAGCCATGCCGTCAGTCTCCTGAGCATCCTTCTTGTTGGTCTGGTCAGAGTCAGGCATGCTGTTTAGTGCTGACTTCCAGCACTCCAACATACCATTCATGCTGTGTCCAATCTGAAGGCACCGGTCGAGAGAAGGTGACAACTCCACATTGTCCTTCACCTTCAACTGGATGGCAGCAGGCCATGGGAGTGTGCCATCCAGAATCTTCGCCATGACTTCGAGCTTCTGCGTGACGTTGTCGGAGTTGATATACCGACCCATGATGTCATCCACATAGGTCTGATCGTTGAGAACCTGGATCTCGAACTTGCCATCATTCTTATCCTCGTTGTTCTTGTCGTCTGTGTCATCTCCAAGCTTTTCAGCATCCGTCACACCACTCAGCCCCTCATTGTCATGGTCTTGATCCTCTCCCTTGTCAAACTCCGAGCTTGCCTGAGTCTCCTGACAAGGCTCTTGCATCAACGTGTGAAGCTTCTTGAGACAATTGTCAATGGCTGCATGTGTTTTTTGGATCATTTCTCTTGTCACCCACCCCTCAGGAAGGTCATGAATTGCGTGGTTCACATCGGCAAGATCATTTGAAGTCTTCTCCCCCGCATCCTCCATAAACTGCAAGGTCAAGGCAAGCTCATCGGCCTGCTGGAAATCAGGAAAGGTGAAGGGTAAAGGGTGGATTTGTGATAGGTTTTTTTGCGTGGCAGGGATGGAACAGTGTCAAAACTTCAACTGATCCGTCAAAAAAAGATCAACAGATCAAGCCAGAAGCTGCCTGGCCTCCGCCTGTGTGCAAGAAATCTCGGGCTGGGTCTCTTGCCAAGTCTCCTCCTCCATTTGTGTGTCAGCAGGATTCTCCATCTCTGGCTGCGTCTCCTAAGTCGGTCAGAGTAAAGCACACATACATACACATACACGTTTTGGGAAAATATATGCAAACCACCTCTATGTTTAATTATTTTCAATCAAAAATCTTTGGGGGTACAATAAATTAGACTAAGATACGGTCTGTTGTTTTAATATGGTTGAATCATAGTTTAGATTTAATTTAGTCATGTGATGTGTGAATTAAATATGGCCATAGCGGGAACATATTTATCAGAATTACTTTTAGATGATTTATGTGATGCCTATATCATCCACAAACATATGATTTAACACAAATACGTCTTCCATGTGGTGGGTTGTGGGATGATAAAACATTTAAGGTCTCATATTTTCTAATGTACAGGGTCAAAAGACAATACGATAGAATTGATACATTACTGTTAATATTCTTAGGATGTCATAGGGATACTTGATGATACTTGGACAATAGTTGCATACCTAAGGGCCTGATTGTGACAGGATCAACCTATGTTTCCTGGTGTGAACATCTCCGGTTTTCTCCCAAGGTTGAGATTTTTTAATCATCCCTATCCCAGATCACATCCCAAGAGTTTGGGACTAGACACTGGCAGCTCAGGAACGCATGGCGGCGCTTTCGACTCCAAAGCCGAAGCATGGAGGCCCTTGGCAACAGGGAGGTCGCAGAGAACATACATAAATAATCAAATTGAGAGAAACAACTTACCTGATTGATTTGTTTGGCATTTTCATCTAAGGCACATCGAAGCCAGTAGGGCATGGGTCTGAGGGAGCACCACTGAAAGTGCTTGGCCTTAACTTGTTAGGGCATGTGATCCACTGTGAACCTCTTCTTCTGCAATATTGGAAGTTGAATCATGTTGCATTAACTTCTCCAAGAAACATCGCATTTTCGGAATCCATGTAGCACTGCATTTCATCATCATAAAGCCCCGCAGATGGGGGCACTTGATCAGCATCCTCACAACACACATGCACACACACACAACTGAATTTTGAACATGTAATTATCCACAACAATTTCTAAAACAACCTGTGAAAACGATAATGATTGAGTTAGAACCAGTCCTCATTCTTCTTCGAACGCTTTGATGATGGTCTCTTCATTGTTGAGGTAGCACGTGCCCCGGGTTTTTTCATCACATTCTTAGGTTTGAGATCTCTGGGAACCCCATCATCCCCATTACCATTTGACAGATTATCATCATCGTGGTCGTCATCATCAGCTCCCCCCAAAGGTTCGTGTTCTGAGCAAACTGGTTCATCATCATCATCGTCACCGGACTTTTTCCTGGAGGGTTTTTTCATGGGTTTTTGACTTTTCTTGGTATCAGGGCATGTAGATGAAGACTCCGAAGCAGCAACACGACCCGGCAAAGTATGATGAGGATCATCATGAGAAGCACTCCCTCCTGGGAATTGGAGACCCATTAGGCAAACCTCTCAAAAGATATTACATAATGTTGATTCATCGTATAATATAAATGATTATGTGACCACATATGCGGGCATACAAAGTGTTAAACAGCAATTGGCACCTGATGCTGCTGCAGGCTGAGAGGAGCTTTTCGCCAAAGCCTGCAGCGCCCCAACAGGCCCTCTGGTTGGCGGCCGTGCGGAAGCACCCAAGGAACTCGAAGACATAAGGCGCTGCAAATCAAAGTCCTCAGGATTTGTGGACACATATAGTCATCATATAGAGATATAGTATGAGGACACATATAGTTATCATATAGAATTATAATGTGCAGAGGGCATCATATAGAATTATAATATGTGGACACATATAGTCATCATAAAGAATTTTAATTATAATATTCACCCCAATTCACCCCAAACAGATGTTCTGAAAATTGTTTGATGCCTGTTGTGAATATTCTATAGCTGCCCCCCCCAATGCTTTGGGCAAGATACCGGCCGGCGAAAACTGCCAGCAGTCAGCGGGACCTCTTCAACACTGTCATCATCGCTTCTCTGAGAGTCCCCCATCTCGCGGAATGGATCACGCCAAATGGTATTTTGAGCAAAACACACTCCCAGGATGAAAAAATGATCCCGGTTATTCCCGGTTGCATATTCAAGTCCAGTTGGAGTGAACTTTCTGACAATCACCTTGAGTGAGACCAATGAAGTTGACACCACATTGACATCCAAAACATTCCAGAACTATCCAAAATGGTTCTCATACTATGCATGTTGATTTTCATCTTTTCGTGTGACCGGGTGCTTCCCATTCACAGCTTTGCATTTGGCATGTGCCAGCGCTATGTCAACCCGTTGCCAGGAACTTGCCGCAGAAACGCTTCTTCAGTCGATGAGGACAGGACAATTGAGTTGTTTCACAAACCAAGTTCCAAACAACAAAAGGGGTCTTCCTCATACCACTCACTTCAGAGTGATGCCGCCCCCTTCTCAAAAGCAATGACTGGATTTCTTCGCCGGCCTTCCCCAAATTCAGTGTGTTTAATCTGATGTAATGGTTGAAATTCAAATGTTAAACCTGGTGTCAAAAGTAAGTCATTGTTACAGTAAACCTGGGGCCATTATTTAGTAAGACAAAGATTCGTGGGAACATCCATTGCCAAATGTTTAGACACTGAAACAACGGAACCCTGAAAGGGGCAGGCCATCCAAACTTGTTGATGAACCTACATCAAGCGCAGCGTCGTCTCATTCAAGTCATGTTGGTGTGCCAAAACCAGAATAGGTCGAATCGGAGTAATGACCTTGATCCCGTTGGAGTTGCTGGCATCCAACCTGAGGCAGCGAAGAAAACAAATACATTTTTTTGGCATCATGTTTGTGAGACATACATTCTGTATCAGTTTTGGCAATATTTGTTCAAAGACGGGAAACCGAACACGCCATGCGATATTCACTGTGTCACCAGCCGTTTTCAACTTTGTCACACTCATCCAACTTCCGAAATTCTTGGCTGAAATCTGCACAGTACCCTTGATTTTTTTGCCCTTCTTCTTTTGTGGATCCTGTGGCTGCGGGGGCTGGTCAAGAACGAACACCAGCGATTTGTTGTTGACCCAATCAGTATCCTCCATCTTGTGGTGAGAAAGCTCCAACTTGACCTTAGCTAATCAGAAATGAATAGTCTTTCCGGCATGTGAAAGAAGACCAAGAGTAGGCCCAACTTCGGGTGTTCAAGTTAGCCTAGAAACTTCTCCAAGATCCTGCAAATCACAAATCAACGATTGCAATGTCACAACGGTTTCCAAGCTGTCCATGCTTGCCAAATGCTCTGGCAAGCCTTTGCGCTCCAGGAGCACCAGCGTCATGTTGGTGGCACAGAAGCTCATCCAGCGCCCTTCAGCATTGGCAAGGACCTCATCCGCTTCCTGGGAGAGAGGAGAGGACATTGATGAAAGGTGTCGAGTGATAGGCATATTATCATAGAGCATAGATTGAAATTGTCATAGGTCATAGATCCGAATACCTACTTGACTTCACGAAGGTAACATAATATATTTGAACCATCAATGTATCATCAAAAGCTCTGACCCCTATTCTGGCAAGATTCTGCTCCATCCCTCCACTCGCCCCCTCCAAAGCTGCACCTGATATGCAGTTTGTTGATCGCAGCAACTGGTATTTTCAGTGTCATGATTTTCAGGATAGCAGTGCTGGGGGAAAACTCTCGATTTGATCATGCAACCAAGATACAACTCTCGATTCTCCAGAAACTGATTTCTGGCGCGCGAGGAGAGGAACAAGCTGTCGCCGGTTTCGCCGGCCAGGACAAGGTCACATGCGTTGTTCAGCGACAGCTTTTTCCTTTGCCAATCAAAAGGTGTTGCCATGACTGTGGCATTCTTTTCAGAAGTTACTAAGAAATAAGAAAACCAAGCCTGGTCCAAACTATCAAGTCTAGGTTAATGGTCAATGGTGGTTAATGCCAACAGAGCTCACATTCGGAAGCTTCGATAGCTCCTGCTCAGTCACGGTTTCCAGCTTCACTCGCTTCGCAGGTGGCTGTTCCACGCGTGCTGACTCAGCTTCTGTCCTGGCTGGGGTCATTGACTCAGTGAAAAGTTTAACTTAGCCTGACTAATTGAAGTTTTCGATCGGAAGAATCACTGATATCTCTGGAGGTATTTTCAGGAAATTTGGGTAGTTTAGTTTTTCTCTGAAGAATGTGGAAAATGCTAGCAAACAGTCCTTTCTTCAATCCAGAACTTGTCGGTCGGATTGAATTCCGAATTGTGTGATTGGATCACCTCCTGTGCACGTTCCTTGGTACTTTCCGTGGACAGCCATTTCTTGGCATAAACTTCGAGCACCATGAGAGTGTCATGTTGTTGCGCACTCACTCTGTAGCTCTTGGTACGTTCCTGGACACTGCTGTTTCTCAAGGCAGCAATGGTCGGACCAAAGTCCGGGAACCCTGGCAACGTGAGGGTGGATGCCCGACATCTTTCGTAAATCACATTTCCAATCCTCTGCATCATGTCTGAGCCAGAGTGGTCCAGGCATAGTGTTCCACAGACAGTGCTCTTGCCAGCAGAAATGTCCTGTTTGTCAGCAGGGATGGATATATAATATACTGTATTATTATAGTAAATATGTAATATAATAGAATAAGTTGAATACAAGGTTTTCTATTGGACCGGCAAGGTTCAAGTTGAGAGACTGGACCCAGCAGCATGAGTGGATGCAGAACCACCCATTTAGGTAATTGCCATGCCCACTTAGCATCACACCATACTCAACAAGAGGGGAGGAAGGAAAGGTATGAGTGGTGGAGGGATACGTTCATGCCACTATCAACCTTTGAAATGGTCTGTTCTATCCATGACCACACCGATACTAATAAGTCATGGTCTTACAAGTCTTTAAAACATCAACCATATGATAGTGCATATTAATTATGTATCCATCCAGCCTCCACAGCCGACAGTGCACAACACCCGTCGTATGCATGCATGTCGATCAAGATTTGCGACTTGATTGAGGCCACAGAGAAGGCTTCCAAGGTCTTCTGCAGGAAGTCGGTGCCCCCAGCAACCTGAGTGACCAATGCATGACCCAGGGAACAGTGTCAAAAGGAATCAGAGAGTTCCACAAATAACCTTTGCTAATGACTTTAATGACAAAGAGTGTGAACTTTGGGACAAAAGGGGAAGACTAATACCAGTGAACGGCCCAGGGGATAGTGAATGGACAAGGGGCTTGCTTTTGCTCCTGGATGTCTGTGAACGCTCTGCCCAAATGAGGCAGCTTGCTTGGGCTCACCTGAGAGATTTTGGAAGGCACGGATGCAAGTTGGGTGTGTTGCATGATTGTTTTCCATCTGCGGTATTCTGCGGTTCTGGTTCTAATAACCAATGAGGCATTAATCCCCACACTTGCAGTGAGTAAAACATTCATATTCATAAAATAACATGCATCCAAGAGTCAGATTCAGGCTTCACCATGTTGGCACGGGCCAGCATCTGGATGCCCATCACCGTGCCAGTTTTGAATCCACGCGTTTGCTTGTAGAAGTTCTTGGGGTGGTTGGACATCACAACCAAGCCAGGCAAAACTCCTTCTCGTTTACCATACATGGATTCCTCAGATTCGCTCAAATCACTACCATGTGGGCTTTGCGTTTGAAGAAACATTTGCCAATGACAATGTGTTAGCCCCACATGATTGATGAAACAACTGAAGCCCCAAAATATAACATTTATATAGAATAGAAAACATCTGATTGTCGACTGCATCATGTTGTTGATTTTCTACCTGGCAGCATATGTACCTATCAAACTTTCCAACATGTACCCATCACAGGACTGTTGCTATCTAGTGGCTGGATCAAAGACATATGTCAGGCTTCGCACCCGCAAGTTCCGCTCAGGCAGCGAAAGATCCGTCCTGAGTTTGAGGAGTGGCAGGCAGGGTACACAGGGGGAAAAACAATCGGATCCACGATATGGGAACAAGATTTTTCGATCATAGTTAATGGTTCATCCAAAAATTGGCAACATCGTCATTGGACATACACATGACTTTCATGCGAAATGATTCATATTAAAGTTAGCCAAAATTCTCCAGGTTGTATCGAACTTTCCGGACTAGATCATCATGATCATCACGTCTGGTCTTGGTCACACCATCATCTTCACTGTCATCGTCATCATCCCCTTTGACCTTTGGCTCCATGTCCACGTCATCATCGTCCTCCTCCTTCTTCATTCCGGATTTCCTGCCAGGACACAATGAGATGATGAGACTTGCAGGTTTGGTCCTGATTGGTTGGTGGAGTTGTGAAACCAAATCTAAGATGTCTAGAATTTCAATTGTCTATGAACCCTGACATTTGATTTGTAAGAAGATCAAAATGGCAAGCTTGAGACTAGCTAGAACTTGACACCATTTCCCAGATCCAGGATAAAACTCAAAAGTGCTCCTGGGAGGTTTGAAGGCACCATATGACAGGCTAATGTATGATTTGTTAATCACATATCCGGCATATCCCAAACACACCCCTCCTCCCTTCTTGTTGGCTGGCACGGTTCGGGTGCACGATAAAGCACACAGAATTCGTGGGCCATTCTGTCAGAATGTTGGTGATGTAATTCAAAATGAAATTGTTGCGTGCTGCTGAAACCACACCAATGGCCGGTGCGTTGAGGAACAGCACCACCCCATGGTCGTCGGGCGCACACCCCAACTCACTTGCCTGATCACGAATCCATCCTCTGGATTGAGGCATCACAGTGCTCTCACCCTCAGAAGTTTTCCCCACGAATAAGGTCAGGTTTTCCTTCATGAATGTCCCGACGCAATCCCATGCACGCGTGTGACACTCCTCCCAGACAGTTGATTGTACAACGGTTACAAATCAAAGATGTTTCGTATCTAAAGATATCATATGATATCATAAAATGGAGGGTTAATTTATCTTGCAAAACATCAAACTGAATCTTTGCACTTTGGTCTGGCCAACCTCCCCGGAAACAAAAAAAAGGGAACAGGTGTAACCTTAACCAAAAGACACTGTTCAAACCCAGTCCTCAAGCTGACGAACCAATTTGTTCCTCGCTTTTGCGCCCTCCTTCTCCAACCTCAGACGTTTGAGGAATCTTTGTCTGGTTTTTTTGTAAAACTTCTGGGGTTGTAAATCATCACAACCAGTTGAAAGGGGTTGCAGTTCAAAAAGACATTGAATAGATAATATCAAGTGTTCAGTCGAGGTTCATCACCTTTTCACTTGTGAATTGGGCTTGGTCTGCCCGAAGCTCCTCCACCCAAGCCTGAAAGGAGGCTTCTACTGCCTTGTTCATTGCGTTGCGCGACTTGTCTTGATGGGAATTGACATAGTCATTCATAGTCTTTCCTGTAGCCTGCAATGGGGTCAAGATGTTTGTGTCAGATACAGTACCTGATTAGAAACTTGTGCTAACAACTCAGGAGAACACAATGTAATTATAGCATGTCAATAGATAAGTATTTCTTTCCTTGAAACATAACGGTATTTCTTCAAAGCCAAAGCTTTGAACATGCTTTAGACACCCAAATTTGGACAAACAACAGGGGGCCTCCAGAACGAAAGGCACCCGCTCCCACGAGAAATCCTCGCCACTCTTCATCACAGCTCCAAGGTCGTTGTCTAAATGCCTTGGCTAAATCACCAAAGGTAGGATAAATGTGGAAGATCTTGACCTACCTACCAAATAAAATCCAAACCCGAAAATTTCAAAAATCCACAAAACCCCACCCCCAATTTGTTTTTCAAATATTTTAAGAAAATCAATCACCTTTGAAGTAGTGGTTTGATGCTTCCAAAAGCGACGGGGTTTCCAGAAACCCAATCACAAATCCTTGGTATAACAAGCACTAAATCACACCCAGATGCCATTTTTTCAGATTTTGGTTTGATTGCGGTATAGCCGGCAATTGAAAAAAGTGACGGGGTTTCTAGAAACCCAATCAAACTCTGGACCCCGGAATTTGAAGCAGAATGTGATTGGCCAAATGCGCTTGGCTGAGAGTGACGGGGTTTCCAAAAACCCAATCACACCCGGCCAAATGCGTTTGGCCAATCACCCCCAGCCAAATGCGTTTGGCCAATCACCCCCAGCCAAATGCGTTTGGCCAATCACCCTCAGCCAAGTGCGTTTGGCCAATCACCCCCGGCCAAATGCATTCGGCAACCAATAGTATCCACCTCAACCCCAAAGCAAATATTTTTGGAGGGTGAAAATCAAGATCATAGACTACTGTAATCTTTACCAGACTTTGAGACGAGATACCCTTGGGCGAACAACTTGTCATGTCTCTCCACAACCTCCCCTGGAAACGTACTCACCATGTGCTTGCGAATCCACAGCCAGCAGCAAACGTTGTCATGAAGACTTTGGTGGCCTTCCTCCGACAACTGCGCAGCTTTCTGGCAGGGTTTCCAAAGTCTTGTAATCACCCCTGACCCTAAACCAAAGTTTTGTTTTAAAAACGAAGCTAGACTTTTGGACCACCAGCTTACATCCCACTCCTTGCTCTTGTTCGTGGAATCCTTTGGAACTTTGCGTTCGAAATCCTTCCAGGGTTGGCTTGCAGTTTACACCCCAATTCATAAAGGAGCCTATGCGTTTTAAAAACGTTTTCAAAGTGAAACATAGAAACTATTTTTTTCAGTGTCCTGGATGGCCCGCGTGAAATAAGCCATCACAGTCTCATGGTTTGTCGTCAAGATCTCCTTGAAAAGAGTCTTGCCCCTGAACCTCTCGAGTTCTGATCTAGTTGATGAGCCTGGGACCCAATAGTCCATGGAAAGCACGTCATGTGGAACACCTGACAGGGATGTAGCAATGATGCAGGAAGAACCTTGAAAAACTTGATAGGTTATACCAACTAACACGGAGAGTTGTCAACATTTAGCACCCTGATGCACCCTGTGTTTTTGAACATACTTGCCTGAGATCTCATGTTTGAAGCTGTCGTAGTGACCATGAAGAAGCTTGAAGAGAGCAGGCGGTGATCTCAGCCTAAAGCAAACAGTTCCGATTGTCTTGGAAACATTATTCCATCAATTTGTAGTTGTCAGTTGAACCCAAAAAAACTGGAACATATCAAATTCAAAAGGAAAACCATACTGGGCAAAGACCAACATACATATTGTACACCAGCGCGCGTTTGGCAGAATCTACCTTGTGCTTTTTGTTGGTGCACATTCGGTTGTAAGATGCCACCACCTTACTCAAACAGTCTTTGAGCGCAGCCTTCGCCATCAAAGCAGATGACTTTCTCTCCATGTCCACTGCGGCCCCCAAATCTGCTGCGATGTTGATGGGGCTTGGCGTCTGTTTCTCCGATGTCACGTACCCCAATTCTTAGAAAGTTGTTTTCAAATGAAGAACTAAAAACAAATTAAACTTGAGGGGTGGAGCAAAGGTTTGTTTAATCATTTTTTCTGAAACGAAAGCTCTGAAAACAGTAGAGGATCTGAGGCTGTGGAGAAAGTGGTCTGACTCATTGTCGAAGTGACGGTAGGTACATCTGATAGATGTGAAGCTCTGCAAGACCATGCTGAGCTGTGGGTCCTCCAACTGGGTCTCTGAGATTTCCAGTTCTGCACAGAACGCAACGATGGCCAAACAAATCAGAACTTTTGTTTGGCCATCCACAAACTTCACATCGTGGAATTTCAAGATGCGATCGCCACATCCATGGTCAAACCTGATGTCCACACTCCCCATAGAAGGCTTGTAGCCGTTGGCCAAGAATTCGCCAAAGTGACTGGCAAACTGCTGGTTGGACGGGAAGTCTGCAGGGACAGGGTGTTCTCAAAACTTTCAACCTCTTTCCTTGTAGACAAAACTTTTGAACAACATAGTTCAACCTTTTCCCCTGAATCGTAAGTTAACAGCCACGATTTTCTCAATGATTTAAAACCATCCTTGTACGCACGAACCTTTAAAGAAAGAACACCCCTTTTCGACCAAAAACTTTGTTTTTGAACTCCACCCCACATCCATTCTTTCCAGAAGGTCCATAGTCAAAATGCCGAAGGCATAGCCAGCATTCCTCGAGAGATCCACGTGGAATGGCTGACAGGTGAAGCTTCTGATTGGGTACCTGAAACCTGTCAGCAACGTAGAAGTCAATGGCCTTCAGGGACCAAACTTCAACAGGTTTGATAAAAACATTTGAACAACCAAACAACCCACCAACTTTTTCCTACTCTTTCCTACTTTTTCAAGGCATCCCTCCTCTGCCATTTTGCTCCTATCCTGGAATACTCTGTTGAGGTGATCTCCAAGGTTCGATTCAGCAATGACCTAGGTAAGTTGGACTTATGCCCTATGCAATGACCATAAACACAACAGGAAAAAGGTAGGGAAACCAAAAAAGTTCGGGCTGAAAACATGAAATTAAATTAAATGTAAATAAGTTGTAACGGGACACTGTATCAAAGTACGCTTTCAACTGCTCTATGGGCCCTCCAGAGTCTGGTTCTGTAGCAGCCATGGCTGATTCCAACACCGGGATCACAAGCGCTTGATCAAATTCTCGACATAGAAACGGATTAGCAATCCCATGGGGTTTAATGAATCTTCAAAAACTTGCAGACCGCACCTGGTCACCATCTAGTAAATGTTTCCCGTTTTTCCCCGAGATCCCCATGTTCGAATCCTAACGCCTGTGAAACACAACCTCCAAACGATGCGGCATCAGAATTGGCCGCGGAGGAGCAAATCGAAAATCATGGATTGATGGACCTTCATCAATCACATTATCCAGGAAGCTGAGCTTTGTGTAGGGTTCTGCAATCACTTCCGGCCTGCGGGCCAACAACGACTCATACCATGCAGCTGCACGACTCAAGGCAGGAAAATCCCTCCTCATAGCAAGCATGAGCTTCTCGATGTCACCCTTCCGCTCATCCTCAAATTGCGGATGCAGCACCTTCTGCGTAGTGTTGGCAACCTGAAGGAAATTCTTGGACTTGTCCATGAAGGCCGATGGCCACACAAGTAGTGGTTCCTGACTAAGTCCTTGATCAGACATTTCATGTTTGACAAGGCAAAAGAGATCACCTCTAGCACTTTCCTCAGTTTGGGCCCTGAGATTTCTAGGTAATCTCTCCGACAACTGAAGATGACGTCCTTGTCCTGGAAGACCTTGTTTTTTTTGGTGAGCGGGGGAGATAAAGACAAACAAGTAAGCACTTTCTCCGTGCAACCCTTTGGCCCACCCTTGATATTTTTGGTGACAAACCAGAAACAGAAACACCCTCCTAGTTCTGGAAGTTTTTTTTAATGGCAAGAAACTTCCTCTCTTTGCAAAGATGAAAGAGTGTGGAACAGGTTTTGTGTCCGTCTCACCTTCTCTGAGAGCCCGAATCTTGTAGGCATTCTTGAACGTGGCAGAGTCGGGTGCAATTTCAGCCCAATCTCTCACCTTGAAAGGCCAGGGAAAACGGGAATCAGGGCAGGAAAGCAGGAGACGGAAATAAACAGCTATCCTTGATTTAAAATAAAATACAATATCCATGATCATGGCTTTTGATGAGTTGCAGTTTTCACAAGCTCAGCATCCAAATCCACGCCCCGTGAATAGAATACCGGGCCCAGTTTCTCTTGAAGCCGACGAATCAAATCTTGTGGGGTCTGAATACCAGTGGAGCTATCGATAGCCGCTTTGCATAACGATAGCACTCCATCAACATCTTCGTGGGTGTGGCCCACACCCAGAAAGTTCTGACTGGATGTGGACCACACCCCTGCCATAGTCATGGAACTCAAAATTCGGGCTGCATAGGTGTTGCGGCACTCCTTAACAGTGTTGTCGCTCTGCAGCCACATCCTTTGCACCAAAGGCGGGTGGGTTGTTGTTTGAAACCTTTCGTCCCCCAACGAAAATATCATTCCCATTAATAGATCTGTGGATAGTGGATAGGCTATTCTTGGTCAAGTCCGGATTTATAGAGAAAGATGGAAATAAAATGCTGAGGTAAGTAGCTCTTGTGGCCATCTTTGGTTGCGTGCCCGGGTTCGAACAAAGACTTTCTGAAGTGATCTCATGACCTTACATGAGAGGTAGCTACCAACTTAGCAACTCTGACATCTCACCCACTAGAGCCTTGTTCATGGGGTAAACCAAAAAAACACTCTTTTGTTAAGTGACACATTCCCACTGCCAGCTGGAGCCAGCACTCATTGCTTCATCAGTTACATAGAGGTAAACACCATGGCCGTGCATGATGCAGCAGGTCAAGGTAAGAGATACTCCTCAGATGATAACCCAAAGAGGAAGGCCAAAAGTAACTTGAACAAAGATACCCGTTTGTTGGTAGGTGCGGTGACCCAAAAAATCTATTAAATAAATAGCAACATCTGTTTAAATTTGAATCCACAACCAAAGTTCGTTGATGCAGTTCATAAACCGTTCTCTTTGGACATCTGCGAAGTGGCCATGTTGGAAGAAGCAACTTTGATTTATCATAGGAATCAATAATACAACATAGGATGTCTCTCTCCACCATGCTCCTTGTTCGGGCTTGCCAGTATTGCTGTCGGTTTCGCCACTGGACATTGTAGTGGTCCAACAGTTGCCGGCAAAGTTCTGCATGCCGTCCAAAGTCCTAGCGTCGGAAACACAGAGTGTTGGTTGAAAACCGAACCGGAAAGCACCTTGTTGGATTCTAACTGCATTGGGGATTTCGGACATTGAGGATTGCAGATCAAAATTCGTAGTCTAGAGATGTGTAAAATTGAAGGTGAAACCATAGCTTAGAGTCTTAGAGACATTCATACAGACGAGCTTCTTTACAACCATGAATAGCTGACTTCAGCCGGCTGCATTCAAAGCAGAGAGAATGCTCCGTCTTCCGCCTGAAACGGAGGCATGGCCTCCAAGCTTTTGCCACAGAGTAGAAGGTTGTGCGGGAGGCAGCATCAGCAGGATCTCCTGTTTGGCGAATGTAAGCTAAGTACATCAAGAACAGAGAGCTTGTTGAACCGGGAGGAAGTTCCCGCAATGGAAGCGACTGAATATTGGATTCCAGCAGTATCTGGGTGGTTCCCCCCAAAAGTTCTCGATCTACAAGTCTTCGTAACAACTGCTCGCGAAGCTCTTCATCTGATTTGGACCGTTGAGCAGTCTCAGCAGATTCGAACCTGTAGTGGGCCCACTAACAAACCATATTTATAATATATAGCTTAACTACGAGTATGTTTGGGTAACATTGCCCAAGATTTGAAAATCAAAATCAAATTAATCCGTGCTTAAAGAGCCAAAGAACTTGGTTGCCATAGACTCCGCTGCTGTCCAATACATATGTTGGAAGAAGGCCATGCAGGATGCTGTTTGCTTAGCTGGATGAGCTGTTGATCCTCAAGGGTAGAATCATGCCAAAGAAAAAAATAGACCATGTTTAGACCTATCTTCCATCCTTTAAAACATATTTTAAGATGAGATTCCTTGGTTTATCGTCCTTTCATCCAGACCCCGGAATTTCCGCTTGGTACGAAGAATCCGCTGCTTGCCAATTCCCAAGAATCGCAGCCAGGCTGATCGACACAGAGCATGTCCTGAAGCTGTTGGAGGACTACCCAGCTGGATTGGCACAACTGCAGATAACTGATAATATGATACCATATCATATCATATCTTATCATAATATCATATACATATACTACTTAGATAAATTATATCATTCAAGTATTAAAGTATTTTTTTATATTATATGTTTGTTTCTTTCAACAAAACAGTATCAACCATTTTTTGAACAAACCTGTTTGGAACATATACTACTGTCCTTCTATCGACCATTTTCTAGAGCCACCACTGCCCTCGCTTTGCAGACTCCAAAGAATGGCATCTTGTTGTTGCTTGGGCAGCCCCCAGAAACTTTTGCAACACTTAGCTAAGACAGGTAGAGGCATCGTGCACTTCCCACAGGAGCATTGGGGATCTGCAAGGGCACCCTTGATGCGTTTCACAGAGGCACCATTGGTTGCATACTCAGACACGTCTACCTGGCCGTGTAGCTGGTGGTGGGACTCCAGCATGCTCAGCTTCAAATCCACGGAGCAAACACCAGTCTGACTAGTCGACTCGTCGGAGCCAGAGCTCTCGCACTGCCTTAGATAACAGCTCACACAGGAACAGTTTCTGAATCCTTTCTGAAAAACATTGAACATAGTAACAGTATCTAATGTTTGGAATAGTCCTGTGAAAATCAACCTCTTACTCAAAACTTCAACCCCAGACACTCTGATTCCGAATTGGCATTTGAATCTGAACTGCTATTGGAAGGAGAATCAGAATCATCATACCTCCATCCACCCGATGCCCGTTGACCAGGCTTGTCATCATCTTCATCCGCATTCCATCGCCCAAGGACAGGCATATGGCAGTGTTTCCAGATTACATGATTACATGCTGTGATTTGGGTTGATGTCTCAGGCGATTGATTGGTATTGATAACTCAGGCGATTGATTGGTATTGATAGATGGTTTGGGCTAAACTCTTTTCTAAGCTGGTTGTATATGGTTGTATGGCATATCATATCAGCTCAGAGCCTACAAAAAACTCCTGTGTGGCAACCAATGTGCTGCCATGTTTCAACCATGGGTTGACCTTGCAATGGGGTACTATGAATTGACTAGCAGTTCGGCGATGACACCTTTTTGGTCCACCATTCCCACATATGTTTTAGTGCCAAGCATTCAGGCAGCTTGACTTTTCATGTACTATCCTACCAAGTAGTCACGCAGCTTCACAGGGTTCATCGACTTGATGGCAATCAGGATCACAACATACAAAGCTCGCATCGAAATCGAATTCCCCGCCATCTTGAGCAAATCCTTTGTGAACCAGATTACAATTACAAGCATGGATGAGCATCACTGCTTTGACAAGCATTAAGACACCATGACACTTTAAGACACCATTTTGTGCTGAAAAGAGGCGCTGTCTTTGTACTTGTCCAACATAAGGTTGTCAATGGGCAGACCCATCAGCAGCATCGCCTCCATGCCTGTTGAGGACGCATATGGGAGCATGAGAGAGAGGCTGAGGGGCCCCCAGGCCTGTGATGAAACGCTCTTGGGAAAGATCCAGAATCTTTGACTGGGGCCTCAATGTGAAAGGAATCATGTAAGGGTGCATGCATAGCTGAGGATTCAACTATCTAAGAACCATGTAAGGTTGCATGCATAGCTGAGGATTGAACGTTATACACATCAGGGGCTGACCAGGGTGCATGATAGACATGCGCTCCAAGGACTGCGATGTGTTACACCCATCGAATTTCCCATCCATTTGCTTTGTGATCTTGTCCAAAGCCTTAGATGTTGTCTAATTCCAACACCCATGATGAAGTTTCAAAATACAGCAGGGATAGATCGATATGTTCATAATAAGGGGAGAAATAATGGAAACATTGAAATCGAGTAGCATCCATTTCTCGCTGGGAACTGATCTGCGAAGCTGCCAGTGGATAATGCTTTCGGAAATGCCCAGAAGAGCGTCGAACCTCAGTTTGAGCCAACATATGTAACCAATTGTTATAGCATACTGTTGTGTCTGTCTTGACAATGGTGAAAAAGGGGATTGTTTTCATTGGAGACTAACTGGTTGATAAAATCAATCTAATAAACTACTACTTAAACTTAGCAACCTGGTTCTCCTTGGCCCATTGCTTGTGGAGCACCTTCCACTTGCGATCCTTGTTCTGCCTAGGTTGCTGTCCAACAACATATTGTTGATAAATGTCGATTGCACTTTGAATATGCATTTTCAAGTTCAAGATCGATAGCTTGTGGGAATGCCAAGTAACTTATTCTGTTGTCGTTTGGTCTTAGAAGCACGTTGCTTGTGTTGCGTAATGCTTCTTTGGATCCTCCAATGGTCCTTTGGCATCAAAAGATCTTGCCTGAGCTCTGAATCACACTTCGCCTGCTGAAATACAGCAATGCGTGCATGTGCTGCTTAAGTTGCGTTGATGCAAAGCCATCCAAGATACCATTTCAGGGTGCAGTCAGTTCGAAATCGATCCACCATGTTGGTTACAAACTGATGATAATCTCTCCTGGCAGCATTGATCATCAAGTCATGCCGCACCAGCAATATGAAGACACGGTCTCGGCTGATGGGAGCTCCCAAGTGTCGCCTCAGACATGGGGCCATTTGAGGTTTTCGAATTTGCTGCTGACAAAGGTTGTAATAATTATTTGCCAGACGAGTCAGCACACTAGTTAAAATAAACCAGGCACGGATTCAAATCCATCACCTCCACGTGGTACCTTGGTTGCCAATAATAACCTATAATGAATTTTCAAGCAGTCTTTGCGGTAACCAAAACCAGTTGCAAACTATTGATAAAACAAGCCACTCAGGAAGGTGACTTTGGAGAACAGGAAGGATCTTGTCCATGACTCGATGTATCCCCGGGACATTCTCAAAGAGTCCAGACTCGGCAAAGTTTAACCAACCGAATCCAAAAGTGATAGCATGCAGTTGCATTTTGCTACGGTAACATACCGTCAAACAATTGACAAGTAACAGTAACAGCAGGTTGACACCGCTTAAAATTTCGAATGCATTGCCACATTGGTTTTGCCGCTTCCTCCCCCAAGAGCAAACTTCCATTGTGAAGCAGCGAGTAAGGTGTGCAGGGGAATCCTGCTGCGTAGAAGCCAACCTGTCCCAAGGTGAAATTGTTTTGTCATATGTTTTCATAGTTCATGTTATTTCAAATCAATGAAATTGTTTTGTCATATGTTTTCATATAGTTCATGTCAACTCAAATCAAAAACACCCTGACCTTGCGATGGCTTTGAGCACCCTTGACTTTGAAGACATCATCGCAACACCTACGCATGATGTTTCAGAAGGACTTAAGGAAGTCCATTGCAGTTGCGTTTCTGATTCAGAATCATTAAAATGCTGCTCAAGGCACTGCAGTGCTTGGCCATGATTCTGAATCAAAAAGTCACGTGCAGTTGCGTTCTTTTCAGAGCTGCTCCTTAGCGTAAAAAGATCGAAGACATGGAAAGGAGGGGGGCCTCACAACATTTGATTGGTTCTACGAATACATCCCAATTCAAGCAAGACAAGACATTCCAATCAAGGTTCACATATGTCACCAAATGGGATTTGTCCTTGAAAAGCTTCCGAAGGGCCATGAGAGGAGCATCCACTCCCGAGCCTAAGAAAAGGTAAATTTTCGTTGCTGAAGAAAATGGATCAATTGGTGCATCAATTGGTTGCTGTTGAGGTACAATCTGAAGCATAGCCAAAAGGGCCTTGCCACTTCTGAAGCCAATCTCCAAAATCTCAGCATGCTGGTGGCAGACCACATGATTTACCTTTTAGACCCCTGCATGCCCTGTACATATTGAGGCTTAATTAGTTTGGATATGTTTGGATATCAAATATTGTTGCTGTGCCACCAAGCACCCCCCAAAAGACGTAATGGTGAGTCAAGCAACCCACTGCATTCAGGAACTGATGTTCGCAATGGACATAACCATATTGAATTGGCGTAAGCTCCTGCTAGGCAACTGGGGAAGCGAGTATGGAGTAATCCCAAAAGAACAATCTTGGTGCGTGATATGTGTGTGAAAAATCCCCCATTGTGTCCTCAGTAAGTACCAAGTCATCATCTGAATCAGATGATGACACATCGCGCCAAACCCCCATGGCCAGCTGCCATTCCCTAAGAGCTGTTTGATCCTGAACGTCTATGGAGACCCGGTCAGCTTTTGTACAAGACCCGGTTGCAATCGCACTTGAATATATATTTATGGGTAAATCAACTATTCCCATGGCCATTTTCCAGTTCGCTTTTTGTATGTTTACAGGATGTATCTTTCCATACTGTTTTGGTATGTCTTCGGAGAGCCCATTCATGCCCATTCCATGGCCACTTGATTTTCCATGCAAAGTTGATCGGGGATGATCCTGGGTCGGGTTTTCCCAGTCGTGGCACAAGTTTCGTCTTTTATCATCTTCGATATTGATTTAGTATACGTTCATATGTATGTATTAATATATATATATAGATAATCGGTTGATATTGATTTTCCCGAGACATTCCATAGCCATGTTCAGACACGCTGCGAAAAAATGTAGCTGCCATGATCCTTGGCCATCTGACCCACTCATCACCATTATCAGGAAATGGCTTGTTTTCCGTGGGTCTTCCAGCAAGTTTAACTTCAAGGTCAATTCTAACATCAACTTCAAGTTCAACTTCGAACTCAATTCCAAGTTCAAGGTCCAATTATCAATAAGATTTCAAGTTTAACTACCTTCAAATTTAACTGAAGTTCAACTAAAGTCGAACTGCCATTGTTGTTGCCTCCACTCCAAAAAACATCGCCCTGGCACCAGACACGCCCTGGCGGCCTTTGATGAAATGAAGGAAGTGGGTCTTCAGCTACTTGGCTGAACTGATGGGGGTACCCCAATAGCTGGATGGCTTATAGTGGAAAATCCTATGCTATTGGATGACTTGCGGGTACCTCCATTTTAGGAAACCTCTATATATATATAATATAGATAAACAAACTGGAATCGGCCGTCGCCAGTCGTTTCCAAAAGTTAGAGACCTTGTTTGGCAAAGCAGCCGCCCACGAGATCAGTGCGAGGTGCTATGCTATCTTGTCCAAATACAAAGAAGAGGGCTGCGGAATTCCAAATGGTAGCAGCGCCCACTCTTTGTTTTCAGTTGCACTGGTGTACACAGGCTTGGGAGACATCGATGAAAAACGTCGAACGCTTTTGCGTCACTCCAACCTTTCGGTGGATTCTATGCGGCAACAAGAATGTGAATGGATCATGACCATGCCGTTCGGCCCTCTCGGTTAATGCGGCCTCTGACAGTGTGCAATGCCAAGAGCCTGAAGAAAAGTCGCCATCTGTGCTATATAGCGTGGAAGTCTAGTAGTATGTCCGGAACATGTCAGAAATCAGTCAGAAACCAGTCAGAAACCCTACAATGCTTATGATCCGGAAGTGCCGTACCAAACCATTTTTTATACATGGAATCTTTTTAGATTTTCCACTAAGTTGGCTCAGTTGTGTTAACAACACACACAGTCAGCTAGCCAAGGTATAGCTATTCATGGCGGTGGCAGCGCCGCAGCACTGCTGAGACGGCAAACATGTTTCAAATTCAGCAGAAAAGCAATGATATTACAAAGAATTAGCATAATATTTTTGTCACGATTCATTTTATAATACATAACTTAGATTTTATGTATATGATCTGATCAACGAAGAACAAACCCTTCCGCAATTGCTCACTGTGGTACCGCGGTTGCTACGCGATTGGCTGAGCGATTGAGGGCTGTCCGGGAAAAGGTATTTTGGACAACCTTGATATGGGACAGGCAACTGAAGAGTGCCAACTCATCTTCTACAGTGGGTGACCACCAAGCTTAGGCGCCTTGCGAAATCTAAGACGTTCAATAAGCACTGCTAATAATCTAAAATTATTCACTGTAATGTTCACAGTTATGTGCAGTCAACAGAAGCAACTGTAAAATAATCCACAATTTTTGAGTGGCAAAAAAAGAGCCCTAAGCCATTTAAATGCAAAAAATCCCAAAAGAGATTGGTTTGTCTGAGAATGGGCTAGCACTAAATCCACTGGTTCATCGGTTAATTATCATTTTCCCAACGAGAACTGCTATTCTTGGGGTACACCCATCTTCAAACACACCCAAATCCATTGTTCAGCGCTGAAACTCCAATGTTCATTGGTTAAATCACACTTGTTTGATGGTCAAATAATGTTAAATCCTCTATGTGCAACTGGGCAAAACATATTGATAAGATGGACAATGAACGAAAGATCATCAACTTACTCATCTTAAAAAACCTCTTATCAATGCCAGTTTTCATCCATTGAAATTACGGTAACACCATTTTAATATGTGGAGGGCGGGCCAGACTACAAGCACGGGAGGTAGTATAAAACACCAGTTCCATCCGCATATTCAAACGTATAGTTAAAAACATTTAAAAACATTGGATCTGGTTTGTTTAAATGGCCGGGCGGGCCAAGGAAAACCTTCCCGGAGGTAGTCTAAAAATGTCTAAAATACCAATTCGTAATAGTTCGTAGATTTAAAAATCGGCATATTTTGATGTATTTACAGAAGTATTACTAAATCCCAGAGGATCCATGTATGGAATATTTACCTACATTGACCCTTAAAGTAATTTAAAATAATCCCAATGTAGGTAAATATTCCATACATGGACCCTATGGGATATGAAAGATTTTAAAATCCGCAAATCGACATGGCTTTCCTATGGCTTTCCTATGGTTTTCCTATGGGGACGAGCAGTTCAGAGGCCCAGCGTCTACAGCAGCAGTGCCCTGGTACAAGCACTGGGACGTGCGCGGCAGTGGCGACCTGGCGCACCTATGACGTTTGTTTTGTTGGAGATCTGGGGAAAGGTAGGAAACCCATGAAAACTTTTGTATATATATATAATACTGTGGTGTTTTTATCATAGGTGAATAGTTGTTATAGGGTTATACATAATATATCTATATACTATGCTATCCGGCCACCCCCACATATTTACATATATATTTGATGTAATTATAGTATATATAATATGTTATCCGGGTCACCCCCATATGTTTATATGTGTATATATATATACTATCTTATCGGGTCACCCACACATACACACATATATATATATACTTTAAACCCCACAACGCTTCCACTCAGCTATCACAGCAGCAACAGCCGGCTTTTTTCAAAAATTACCCATTTTGACAGAATTACCCATTCACTACCGGTAGCGAGCGTTCTAATTGCTCCCCATCATCCCAATTCTTGACAGAATTCCCCATTCACTACCGGTAGCGAGCGTTCTAAGGAACCCCAATCGTCCCAATTTTTGAAAGAATTCCCCATTCACTACCGGTAGCGAGCGTTCTAAGGAACCCCAATCGTCCCAATTTTTGAAAGAATTCCCCATTCACTACCGGTAGCGAGCGTTCTAAGGGCCCCCCAATCATCCATATGTATCATTGCTGCTTTTAAGATAGATAGCGTTCTAACAGGGAGCGACCGTCGCTCCCTCTTAGAACACTCACTACCGGTAGCGAGCGTTCTAAGGGAGGTTTCCTGTCGCTGGAGCACCCTCAATCTTGCGTTCTTCTCACTAAGACCCCAGCGAAAACACAAGATCATCCCTGGTCCGATGTTTGCCAACCCCCCCTTAGAACACTCACTACCGGTAGCGAGCGTTCTAACAGGGAGCGACCGTCGCACCCTGTTAGAACACTATCTATCTTAGGGAGCGTTCTAACAGGGAGCGACCGTCGCTCCCTCTTAGAACACTCACTACCGGTAGCGAGCGTTCTAAGGGCCCCCGATCATCCCAATTTTAGAAAAAATCAATTCAAACCCCAATTCACTACCGGCAGCGAGCGTTCTAAGGAACCCCGATCATCCCAATTTTTGAAAAAATCCACTCAAATCCCAATTCAGCTGCTGTTGCTGCTGTGATAGCTGAGTGGAAGCGTTGTGGGGTTTAAAGTATATATATATATGTGTATGTGTGGGTGACCCGATAAGATAGTATATATATATACACACATATAAACATATGGGGGTGACCCGGATAACATATTATATATACTATAATTACATAAAATATATATGTAAATATGTGGGGGTGACCCGATAGAATAGTATTAATATATGTATATATATTATGTATAACCCTATAGCAACTATTCACCTATGATAAAAACACCACAGAATATGCGTAGATATATATATATATATATATTATATTATATAAGCTATAATATATATAAATATATATATATATGGTCCCGGCCTCCGTCTCTCCACCCCCCCCCCCCCCCCCCCATGGGTTGGGTCCCCAGGTAGCAGCCCCCCTTCCCTTCTATTTGCAAGCTATTGGCAGCATTTCTGAGGTCCAGCTTCGTATTTGCTAGGTCTTTGCAGTATTTCTGACTACCAGCCTCGCATTTACTAGCTACATGCTACCTTTTAGGCGACCTACGTAGCACATATACTCCTTCAAAGTACCTACGTGCTACCTATAGTCATATATACATGTGCTATGTATCTACTGTATCTACTTCCTATTTACTACCTGTGTACTCTCACAACACCACCTGTGTTTAACATATACCGTACCGAACAATCAATCAATGATGCCATGCATACCATACCTATCATACCTATCATACCTATCATACCTATCATATCTATCATACACACCATACATACCATACATATGAAATGTAATTACCACACCTACGATACATACAATAGCAAACATACATGCCATACATACCATACATACCTTACATAGGAAATATGCCATACCATCATAGTAATCATACATACCATACAGACCATACATACTGTCATATCAAACATACCATACCCAACAGACTTACATACCATACCTACCATCCATACAATACCAACCACTCATGCCATACATACCATACCTACCAAACATACCATACTTTCCAAACATGCCATACCAGACCGACCATACACACCATACATACCCAACATACCATACCACACCCCCACCACACCACAGGGGGGGGAGGGGGACAGCGCCACACCGCCACCACACCACAGGGGGGGAGGGGGAAGATCTCATATGGGGCCAGTATATGGGACCCATCCCATGGGGGGTGGGGGGAGGGCGGGGGGTGGCAGGGCCTGGTGCATATATAATATAAATATATAGTAAATAACATATAATTATAATATTAGATATATACATATGTTATAGGATTTAATCTGGTTTTCATAGGATCTTCATGTGATTTAAGGGGATGTAAGGGAATATCCCATCAAATTTATAGGGATTATCTCGTTAGTCACAACCATCGTTCGATTGTTGCTTCGCACATTTTCCAATATGGAACACATGTTGAGAAACAATTGGAAATGCAGCTTTAGTAGAGAGATTTAGCAATGAACATTGAGGGATAACAATCACAGAACAATCACAGAGTGTATATAAAACCCTGAAAGATCCAAAATTTCGGAAATTGCCCGTTTCAGCATTGATAAGAACATGGTGGAGGCACACTGGCCGTCAAAACATTGTCGAAGATATCTTGCCCTACAAAACCTGGCACAGGATAGATTCACAACAAAGTCTCCATTTGTTTCGGGGATTTCCATGGATTTCCCAGCTAGTCACGGTTGATTACCAGAGGCTAGACGTTTTACTGGTTGATGGTTTGGAACATAACTGGATTATTTTCCATATATGGAATAATCATCCCAACTGACTCATATTTTTTAGAGGGGTACGGCTCAACCACCAACCAGTTTATCAAGCATGAAAAAGCCAGACAAAGAATCAAACATAGCAGCAGATCATCCATTGGTGCTGTCAAGACTCACTTCATGATATTCATATGCCCGTCCAACAAACGAGTGTCCAAGTCATTCGGGAAAAAAGCGAAACATCACGGCAGATTGAGTCACACTTACATTTGTATCCTTCAACAAAGAATGTTCAATCATTATGAGTAGAAAGCTCGCATCATGGACACATAATGTGGTAAACCCAATGATAAGTCATCCCTAGTATGACCAGAATTTCGAGGTTGGCACCAGCATTTGGCTGAGTTATAAACCAGCAGTTCGCTAAGTTATAAACCAGCAGTTCGCTAAGTTATAGACCAGCAGTTCGCTAAGTTATAAACCAGCTAGGTTGGCAATTGAGTAAGTAACTAATATAGCGAAATATCGTGGAAACATTTGGAAACTAATATGGGGGGTTCTTAAAATAGGGGATTCCCAGTCGTCACCATGATTGTTTCAATACCAAGCTTATGGTCTAATACGGTCTAATGACCCCCATGGACTGGAAACCGCCATATGTTACCCTCCAGTAAATCAACAGTTCGACCCTGGCATTCATCCGGGTTGGAAGATGAGTGAAACCACTAAACATGGGTGATTGTCAGTGTCAAACTGTTAATGTACCAGCAGGTAATATCTATACCATCATATATCGTCTACATCCTATGATCACCAGGTCATTATTGATATGATTTTCTAAATGATTACCCTAAATCGCCTAAATCGCCTATATAATCCCATTAAGTTACAATAAATCCCAGTGAATAAATGATATATGCTGATATATATATATATATGTATGTGTGTGTATATACATTATATATGATGATGATAGATTTATATAATTCTATTAAGTAGGGGCAATATCAGCGGTCGGAGTCCAGGCAGCGAGCCCTGCAGATCTTCGAGGACAGCTTGGAGCAAGGCCGAGAAAACTTGGGCCCTGGGGCCCGGTTCCCCCGGTCAGCAGAGATGGTGATATATCAGTACCCTTTGGTTATTTAAAGCTGGTGATGATATGGTTCATGTATGGTTAATATATTCAATCTGATTATATAATAATGATAATAGTAATAATACTATTCTGGTTATCATTGCTATGGGAAATGGTACATTTATAATCATTTATAGACAATTTTCCTATTCAACATGGTGGTTTTCAATACCTACGTTAAATTGCCAGTCGGTAAAATAGTAGGGAACTCATAGGGAGTTAAAATGATTATTAATGGGAACTTCATGGTTTGGGGATTTCAAATGGTGATGTTTCAATGGGAACTCATATAGTTAATAATAGGAATTGATGGGAAGAATAGAGACTTGATTATCAAACATGGTGCCCCGGTTCGGAATCGCTAAGTTGGTCTAGTTCAGTAGCTTAACGCTTGCGTCTATGTGGCTGAACATAAACCGACAAACATAGATGGTGGGCACCATCGTGTAGTAACAATGGAAATTCTGAATGTCCATTAAGATGTTACATATTCACTAACGGTGGCAACCAGCTCCTAAAATGATGCATGTGCATTGTTTTTAGGTTTACATAGCGGATGTAGTAGTTTGTCCGGAATGAAGCTTATAGTCAGTGAAAGCAGTCCAAAATCTAGTTTCAGGTTGGTGATTTGTTGGACAGTTCAACAAGTTCCGAGGAAGACTCAGTTCAAGGATGATGATAAGGATGATTTTTTGCATGTACAGCTTCACTACTATCAATGCTTGCTGGGCTCGGTGAACAGGTTTGGGGCCCCATCTCCTCTAACATATGGATTTTCTTCTGACCATGAAGCGGAGATTTAAACTCAACCCTGAAGGAAAACTTAAGCGTGAAATGGCCACTTAGCCCTGAATCTGCAAGATTGCAAAGTTGTTTATGGATACAGTATATGATATATGATATATTGTTTAATGATGACTTAAAATTTGGAGCTTCTTGCTTTCAAGCATTATTTTTGGGCAACTGCATTCAATGCTGGCATTCATCATATTGGCAATGCAAGGCATGACCCGCTGAGACTTTGCCCGCAGTATGGAAGGGGCACTTTCCTGGAGGACAGATTGTTGCAGAAGCGGCGCATGATTGCGTCTGTAATCACCTCTGATGGCTGTGAGATTTCAGATTTTGCAGAAGTGGTGGCTCGATCTTAGGATCGCCTATTTGGCCTTGATCTGAGTGGGGTGATGCGAGTGATGAGGCCTGCTCCAAGCGGAAGCGATCCGGGCTGGATGCTGGGCCAGGAGGGCTGGAAGGACCTCCCCACAATGGAGTGGACAGAAGTTCTCGCCTGTGTTTCTTACCTACATCCCAGTGACATGTTGAAGCCAGATCTGCCGAAGTGTGCTGTGTGCCAAAGTCGGATGGAATGACCTTTATATTTTTCAATCATGGTTGGTGGTTTTAAACATGTTTTATTTTCCATAATATATGGGATAATCCTTCTCATTGACTAATATTTTTCTGGGGGGTTGAAACCACCAACCAGTGTTTGCCTTTATCTTCGAAATTGCGATAAGACGTCACATTTTCAGCAAAGTTTGCTCGCCTCTGGCCTGCACCCCCGGCAACGATTCTGCCAGTCGACGCGGATTGCGCGCTCTACAGTAGTGCCATGAAAGCCTGCGACATGGACTATGACAGGCCTTGGAGTGGGCCCTGAGACGTAATCCCTTGGGGATATGGATGGTTTTAGGGATATCCCAGGATGGATGGATTGGATGATGCGAAAACGTCCAGGACACTTCAATGTATTATAGCTGAGAGGAAAAACATGTGTTTTCTTGTAGAGGTCCCCTTAAATTTAAACCAATCCATGGAGATTTTTTTTGCTACGACGGAAAGAAAAAAAGGTGGTTGCACTGTGGAGATCCACTACTGGAATCTAAAGGACGACAAGCGTAAACGGCCCGATTGAACAATTTACATACAAAATTCAATGTTAGCCGTATGCTGAATTGTAAAGGTTCCAGATGTTTCAGTTTTATTTAGGTGTGAGAATCCTGATACCTTCCCTTGTCCCTCGAAGGGTGACTTAGAATGCATGTGGGAATCAGACTCAGCTCAGTTCTTCAATGTTGCTATGGCGAAACAATCAAAGTACTCTGCCCTTCACGGGACCCGAACATGAACAAAAACAACACCATTGTTATGTCCGAATTGTTATCCGGTTGTTTTCGAATTGAACACATTGGAACATCGGCAAGGGTTTCAAATCCAATGCAAATGTTCAAACATTAACCATATTGCACAAGTGGAATCGAATTGGATGGCTCCTGCAGCCACATTCCCGCGACGCACAGGGTCTTGACGCTCATGGATGACATGGTCGCATCGGGTATCAAACCTGCCACCTGTCTCATCATTGCTGGACCATTGGACCCAGAATTGGGATTAATAGGGAACGTTTAATAATATCGTTGGTCCTTTGTGTTTGGTGAATGCCTGATCTAAAGGATATCAAAAAAGATGGTGGTCCAAGGTTTTTGGTTGAACATGGACCAAGATCGGTCGCTGCATGCACGGAAGTTGGGGGGGATGGATTTAAAGAAAACACCGGAAGCGGCTGCGAAATCTGCACCGGTGGTTGGCTATTTTGCATGGTGGCATAGTCCCTTCTCACCTTCACGTTTTTGTCCGGTTCCAGGGCTACGGGACCCAACGTGCCACTGCGGCAGCAGAAATCCTTCCTTCTGCCGTAGCACCTTGTGGCGAAGATCGAAAGGGAATCCAAATTTCCCGGCTGCCTTTACCCCAAATTTCCCTGCCAATCGATGGCTCGCCTTGCCGTCAAGGAAGACCCAGGGAAGGTTTGAGATCTGCCAGATCTCACGCCTCGGCCTCGCCCATGGTTTTTGGAGTTGAATGAATGGGCTATGTTTCAACTCTGAATTCAATCTAAAATACTGAAGGGCCCTGAGAGATGAGTGTACTTAGAATGTGGTCGAACAGATTGGTTTCAAGACAGTTTAAGAGATTTTGGGTGACTGTTTCGATATCATCACCTATCAAGTTTCCTGTAAATGTTCCCTCAAACACTTTCAATGAACATCGCCCCCCATCAGCGCAAGTCATAGTCTCAGGCCGCTGTATCCAGCACACGGGGATGAAAGCACCAGGTCACCATCGTCTGGATGTTGTAAAATATATTTACTGATTAAGTCCAGCAACAGCAACAGTAGCAACAACATGCAACAAGATGCAAACACCACCACAGCAACAACAACAACAATGCCGATACATATCAAATATATTTGGTTCAGTATCAAAATCAGTTTTTTGTAAAAAAATGGTTCCATAAATTGTGATTACAGAATCTCTACATACCTTCTGCTGTTATATATCCACCTTATAATGGTGTGAAAACCTAGGCACACAGGTTTTGACCCCGGTAATCCGTGACCGATGTCCTGAGGATTTGCAAAGCTATGGCATTGCGATAGGCTCCGCCTGCGGCTGGTGGCTGTGCAGTTGTAGCAGCTGGGGCTGGGAGTAACAAATCGTCATCCACACTAAGAGCTCTACCCTGCCGTTCGGGGAAGATGGTGGACCACTATTTTCAATGATAATTCTTAGGGTCTATGCTAGTTTTCAGGAGATGGTGTGTGGCAGACGCACATATAGATGTTGTTTGTTTATGTTTGTTGTCCATGGTTGTTTTGTGTCATTGTTCGCATCCAAGATTTGGACTTGTTCAACACATACTCCTGTACGATCTTTTTCGCGTTTGTATCCCAGCTTCAAGGGAGGGCCATGCTTAAGAGTTGACGTGTTCTTAGTCAGTAATATCAATTTGACCCGGAAGCATCCAATCATCCAATCAAGCAAGTGATTTTCATAAGAAAAGTCTCACCCAAAGCCACCAAGACGTACGTTTACACGATTCTTCCTGGATCGACCCTAGAGATCGACGTCTAGTTCTGGGCAGTTCTTGCCATCTTCACGGAGATATCTTTGAGCAGCTGAACGTTCAGGATAGCTAGGGGATTGCTTCATGGATATTTTTCAATATCCCATGACGGATCCATGGTGCTGGTAGAAAAATGCTAACATAAAGGGGGTATATGGATGGGATCCATGGCACACCATATATAGCAGATTATAGCAGCACCATGGATCCGTCATGGGTATGTTTCCATGGTTTGCCAGTCCGTGGCCATGCCAAATGGCACGGGAAATTCCCGCCAGGATCCTGTTGTTCTTCGCAGCAATGGCAAGAGGCGTTCAGCCAGGGTCTTCCGAACGATCTTGGATCATATTGGATCTAATTATTCATGTTGGGCCCTTAGTTGGGGGTATTCAATACTGGTGGGATATGATATGATATGATAAATTGTAATAATAAGTGGCAGCAACTATTGGGACTAAGTATTTCAAACGAGATGGTCATGGGGTTCCGAACTCTTGCAAATACTGCAATGATAACGTGAAATGAAGAGAATCCACAGATTTAGTAAAATATCGATCCTCAATTTTGCGTTAAACCTGGGCCATTCTTTAGTAAACACCACAAATTGATAGAACAGCATAGAAAAGCAAATGTAGAGTTGAGTTTGCATGAAACTGAAGGTTCTTTTTTGTGTGGATGCTAAATCTTTTGAAATGAGCGAACCATATACACAATGTTCAACACAAGTTCTAGTTGTAGGCTTCATCATGGTTCATCAGTTCTGCACAGTACTGTACTATTGTTATTAATCTATGGTTTATGTCTAATATGTCAACGCATTGACACAGCGTGGGTAAGTAGTCACATCCAACGTTGCCACTGCTCCGAGCAAACCCGAACGAACGTTTTGATGTGTCGGTGGATGCGATGATCCAAATGGCTGCATTTCAGCTTGGTGAATGATCCAGATGGCTGCAGCATTCTGCTGCTTAAAATCACTTAACTGTGATACTTTAGAGTAAATCGTTGTTTTGAAATAGTGCCAGATCTTTGTATTCTCATTCCCAAACGCTGTGTATGTATTGGAGTATTACAAACATTTATCATTTAGCCTAAAAATCACCCAAAGGTGGATATACATGGAGCATGTAGGATTATTGATTCTACAATTTACCTATATTTACCGCCTTCATTAATTTAGCATTCTGAAGGTTGGAATCCTGGCCCGTTTGTAGTATGGCACCAGTTTATAACCACTATATATATATATATGGGAGCCGTCCAAAAACCCCAGAAAGGTTTTTAGTAAAGGACCTATTCTCGCATTTTTCCCATGGTCTAAAACCTGCATCGCGCAAGTTTCGCGCAAGGGCGGCCCAAGGTACGCGCAAGTACTATTGTTATCATTATTACAAATACTATTTTTAATTAACATTTTGATTGCTACTACTACTACTACTTACTACTACTACTACTACTACCACCACTACTACTACTACTACTACCACCTACCACTACTACTACTACTACTACAATTACTACTACTACTACTGCTACTACTACTACTACTCCTACTACTACTACTACTACCACTACCACTACCACTACCACTACCACTACCACTACTACTACTACTACTACTACTACTACTACTACTACTAGTCCTACTATTCCTACTACTATTACTACTACTACTACTACCACTACTACTACTACTACTACTACCACTACTACTACTACTACCACTACTACTACTACTACTACTACTACTACTACTAGTCCTACTATTCCTACTACTATTACTACTACTACTACACTACTACTACTACTACACTACTACTACTACCACTACTACTACTACTACTACTACTACTACTAGCTACCACTACTACTACTACTACTACTACTACTACTGCTACTACTACTACTACTACTACTACTACTACTACTACTACTACTACCACTACTACCACTACCACTACTACTACTACCACTACTACTACTACTACTACTACTACTATTACTACTACTACTACTACTACTACTACTACTACTACTACTACTACTACCGTATCTGATTTAGATCTTAAATATTAATATCTCGAGTTGATAAACATAGATAACCAGGGTGGTAAATAGGCCATCCAAAGAAAAAGGAGCAGATAGATAGATAGATAAATAGAAAGATAGATAGATAGATAGATAGATAGAGATAAAGCAGCCAGACGCGGTCCGGAAGACATGCAGCAGCAGTCCGGAGATGGTGAGCAGGAAGGTGTTTCAGAGTGGTTTCAGACCTCTTTTGGGCTTGTTTTTTGGGTACCCCCAGCTTTGGGAGATGAAAAAAGAAAGAGAAAAGGTAGAGAAAGAGAAAGAGAGAGAAAGAGAGACAGAGAGAGGAAGAGGGAAAGAGAGAGAGAGAGAGAGAGGAAGATGGAAGATGGAGACAAACAGAAGGCGAGAGAGAGAGAGAGAGACAGAGAGAGGAAGAGGGAGAGGAGAGAGAGAGAGCGTTGTAAATGGTGAGCAGCGGGGTGTTTCAGAGTGGTTTCAGACCTCTTTTTGTCCGTAGGCTACCTCAGCTTTGGAGAAAAACAGGAAAGAACGGGAAAAGAAAGAAGAGAAGGGAGAAAGAGACAGAGAGAAAGAAGAAGTCTTGAGACGGTGAGCAGGAAGATGTGTCGAACTGGTTTCAGACCTCTTTTGGGGCCGGTTATGGGGCTACCTAGTTCTTAAGACATCCAAAAGAAGGGACTCAAAACAGATTGTACTTGAAACACTGCGGTCCGGAAAGACGTGCAACGGTCCGGAAAAGCAAGCACCCAAAACGTACTCTAATCGTAGCGATTGCGGTCCGGAAAGGCATGCAGCGGTCCGGAAAAGCGAGCACCCAAAACGCACTCTAATTGTAGACATTGCGGTCCGGAAAAGCAAGCACTCAAAACTCTAATGTAGACATTGCGGCCCGGAAAGACATGCAGCGGTCCGGAAAAGCAAGCGCCCAAAACGTACTCTAATTGTAGCCACTGTGGTCCGGAAAGACCTGCAGCGGTCCGGAAAAGCAAGAACCCAAAACGTACTCTAATCGTAGCGATTGCGGTCCGGAAAGACATGCAGCGGTCCGGAACAGCAAGAACCCAAAACGTACTCTAATGTAGACATTGCGGTCCGGAAAGACCTGCAGCGGTCCGGAAAAGCAAGCACCCAAAACGTATACTCTAATTGTAGCCATTGTGGTCCGGAAAGACCTGCAGCGGTCCGGAAAAGCAAGCACCCAAAACGTACTCTTATTGTAGACATTACGGTCCGGAAAGACGTGCAGCGGTCCGGAAAAGCAAGCACCCAAAACGTATTCTAATTGTAGCCATTGTGGTCCGGAAAGACTTGCAGCGGTCCGGAAAAGCAAGCACCCAAAAAGTACTCTAATTGTAGATATCGCGGTCCGGAAAGACGTGCAGCGGTCCGCAAAAAAAGCAAGCACCTAAGACATTACGGTCCGGAAAGACATGCAGCGGTCGGGAAAAGAGGATAGCACGAGACAGAGATGGAGACAAACAGAAGGCGAGAGAGAGACAGAGAGACAGAGAGAGGAAGAGGGAGAGGAGAGAGAGAGCGTTGTAAATGGTGAGCAGCGGGTGTTTCAGAGTGGTTTCAGACCTCTTTTTGTCCTTAGGCTACCTCAGCTTTGGAGAAAAAACAGGAAAGAACGGGAAAAGAAAGAAGAGAAGGGAGAAAGAGAGGAGAGACAAAGCAAGCACCCAAAACGTACTCTAATTGTAGCCATTGTGGTCCGGAAAGACATGCAGCGGTCCTAATGTCTACAATTAGAATACTTTTTGGGCGCTTGCTTTTCAGGACCGCTGCACGTCTTTCCGGACCGCAATATCTACAATTAGAGTACTTTTTGGGTGCTTGCTTTACCGGACCGCTGCAGGTCTTTCGGACCGTAATGTATACAATTAGAGTACGTTTTGGGTGCTTGCTTTTCCGGACCGCTGCAGGTCTTTCCGGACCGCGATATCTACAATTAGAGTACTTTTTGGGTGCTTGCTTTTCCGGACCGCTGCAGGTCTTTCCGGACCACAATGGCTACAATTAGAATACTTTTTGGGTGCCTCCTTTTCCGGACCATGCAGGTCTTTCCGGACCACAATGGCTACAATTAGAGTACGTTTTGGGTGCTTGCTTTTCCGGACCGCTGCAGGTCTTTCCGGACCGCGATATCTACAATTAGAGTACGTTTTGGGTGCTTGCTTTTCCGGACCGCTGCAGGTCTTTCCGGACCACAATGGCTACAATTAGAGTACGTTTTGGGTGCTTGCTTTTCCGGACCGCTGCATGTCTTTCGGGCCGTAATGTCTACAATTAGATACGTTTTGGGTGCTTGCTTTTCCGGACCGCTGCATGTCTTTCCGGACCACAATGGCTACAATTAGAGTACGTTTTGGGTGCTTGCTTTTCCGGACCGCTGCAGGTCTTTCCGGACCGCGATATCTACAATTAGAGTACGTTTTGGGTGCTTGCTTTTCCGGACCGCTGCAGGTCTTTCCGGACCGCGATATCTACAATTAGAGTACTTTTTGGGTGCTTGCTCTTCCGGACCGCTGCAGGTCTTTCCGGACCACAATGTCTACAATTAGAGTACGTTTTGGGTGCTTGCTTTTCCGGACCGCTGCATGTCTTTCCGGGCCGCGATATCTACAATTAGAGTACTTTTTGGGTGCTTGCTTTTCCGGACCGCTGCTCATCTTTCCGGACCGCAATGTCTACAATTAGAGTACTTTTTGAGTGCTTGCTTTGTCTCTGTCTCTTTCTCCCTTCTCTTCTTTCTTTTCCCGTTCTTTCTTGTTTTTTCTCCAAAGCTGAGTTAGCCTAAGGACAAAAAGAGGTCTGAAACCACTCTGAAACACCCGCTGCTCACCATTTACAACGCTCTCTCTCTCTCCTCTCCCTCTTCCTCTCTCTGTCTCTCTCTCTCTCTCTGTCTCTCGTGCTATCCTCTTTTCCCGACCGCTGCATGTCTTTCTAGACCGTAATGTCTACAATTAGATTACGTTTTAGGTGCTTGCTTTTCCGGACCGCTGCGCGTTTTTCGGACCGTAATGTCTACAATAAGAGTACGTTTTGGGTGCTTACTTTTCCGGACCGCTGCAGGTCTTTCCGGACCACGATATCTACAATTAGAGTACGTTTTGGGTGCTTGCTTTTCCGGACCGCTGCACGTCTTTCCGGACCGCAATATCTGCAATTAGAGTACTTTTTGGGTGCTTGCTTTTCCGGACCGCTGCAGGTCTTTCCGGACCACAATGGCTACAACTAGAGTACGTTTTGGGTGCTTGCTTTTCCGGACCGCTGCAGGTCTTTCCGGACCGCGATATCTACAATTAGAGTACGTTTTGGGTGCTTGCTTTTCCGGACCGCTGCAGGTCTTTCCGGACCGCGATATCTTAATTAGAGTACGTTTTGGGTGCTTGCTTTTCCGGACCGCTGCATGCCTTTCCGGACCGCAATCGCTACGATTAGAGTACGTTTTGGGTGCTTGCTTTTCCGGACCGCTGCAGGTCTTTCCGGACCGCATGTGTTTCAAGTACAATCTGTTTTGAGCCCCTTCTTTTGGATGTCTTAAGAACTAGGTAGCCCCATAACCGGCCCCAAAAGAGGTCTGAAACCAGTTCGACACACCTTCCTGCTCACCGTCTCAAGACTTCTTCTTTCTCTCTGTCTCTTTCTCCCTTCTCTTCTTTCTTTTCCCGTTTTTCCTGTTTTTTCTCCAAAGCTGAGGTAGCCTACGGACAAAAAGAGGTCTGAAACCACTCTGAAACACCCGCTGCTCTCTCTCTCCTCTCCCTCTTCCTCTCTCTGTCTCTCTCTCTCTCTCTCGCCTTCTGTTTGTCTCCATCTTCCATCTTCCATCTTCCTCTCTCTCTCTCTCTATCTCTCTCTCTCTCTCTTTCCCTCTTCCTCTCTCTGTCTCTCTCTCTCTCTCTCTCTCTTTCTCTACCTTTTCTCTTTCTTTTTTCATCTCCCAAAGCTGGGGGTACCCAAAAAACAAGCCCAAAAGAGGTCTGAAACCACTCTGAAACACCTTCCTGCTCACCATCTCCGGGCTGCTGCTGCATGTCTTCCGGACCGCGTTGGCTGCTTTATCTCTATCTATCTATCTATCTATTCTATCTATCTATCTATCTATCTATCTAATCTAATCTATCTATCTATCTATCTGCTCTTTAAATGTATTTCCTTGTATGTTGTGTTCAAGTCTTTTCTGTCTGTAAATTGTTCTTTTCATCAAGGTCAGCTAGACCCCCCGAAGGGGTCTGAAACCACTCTGAAACCGCTCTGAAACCACAGAAGTTCAACACGTACAGAGCTACTTCCCAGTACTACTTCCCAGTACTACTGTGTTTACAAAGCTTGCACAAAGCACTTCCCAGTACTACTGTGTACTACAAAGCTTGCACAAAGCACTTCCCAGTACTACTGTGTACTACAAAGCTTGCACAAAGCACTTCCCAGTACTACTTTGTACTACAAAGCTTGCACAAACTACTTCCCAGTACTACTGTGTACTACAAAGCTTGCACAAACTACTTCCCAGTACTACTTTGTACTACAAAGCTTGCACAAACTACTTCCCAGTACTACTTTGTACTACATGGCTTGCACAAACTACTTCCCAGTACTACTGTGTACTACAAAGCTTGCACAAACTACTTCCCAGTACTACTTTGCACTACAAAGCTTGCACAAACTACTTCCCAGTACTACTTTGCACTACAAAGCTTGCACAAACTACTTCCCAGTACTACTGTGTACTACAAAGCTTGCACAAACTACTTCCCAGTACGAAATACTAAGTGAATACTAAATATTTAACATTCGAAAACAAATACGAGAATAATGATGAAAAACAACTGAAATGATGAAAGTGATCCGGGAGTGTGGTCGCGCAAGAAACGCGCAAGGTTGGCGCAAGCTCGGCCCAAGAGGCCTTTGTGGGAACAGTAATTTAGGACAACCCCCATATAAGTAATCCCCGAAAAGAAAGGTAGAACAGTAATCCTACCCAGCATTTTAGTATATAGGATTTTATGAACTTCTATCTTTTGAGTTGTTATAAAATGTTATAAACCTAACTATAGCCTCATTAAACCTACCCTTTTTCAGCTGGCGAATCCATGAATTTCACCACCTCGACGTCCGTCAGGCTCTGGATCTACTTCTCCGCGCGGAAGAGGAAGACCTCGAACCCAACGTACGCGCCAAATGGTTATCTCGGGGGGAAAACCAACTGGACTTCGCCCATAGATCCAATACAGTCATGGCCATTTACAGTTATAAATGAATTCCTATAACAAGCTAAGGTCAAATATCATTAGATCATTATAAGCCCATGTATAACTGCTAGGAAACCATAACTCTATGATCCAATTACTAAACATCATGGTTTCGGTTTGGGGTATCTCATGTTGGGAAAGGGACCACCGCGGAACGATGCCAATCTCAATGGGAGATCTCCAGGATCCTAAAATGGAGGTACGTTAGTACTATATAAGGCCAACAAATTTGTGGGGATATTCCCTGAAATTAAGGCCTAGAAAATAGGCCTTATATATGGAATCGGTACCTCCAATGAATCGGATCCTGAAATTCCCATTGACAATCTATTGATTTTGGATCTCGTGGTTCATCAAAATCCCCATGTTTTGCTGTGTTTGTTCTTGGGTACCCTCTGGTAAACTAACATAACTAGGAAGATCACCATCTTCAATGGGTAAATCCACTATAAATCACAATTTTCAATAGTTATGTTAGACATAACCAGATGGTAAGTGTCCCATTGTTCATTTGGTTTTGGGTCGAGTACTTCGTTTGGTACTTCCTGTAAACCAACCCATTGGCACCGAGATAACTGGGGAAGGTATGAAACATCATCCTAGTTTTAGACATTTGAGTTACCCTCTGGTGAACTAACATAGCAATGGAAAATGGCCATTTATAGTGGATTTTCCCATGAAAAATGGTGATTTTCCATTGCTATGTTAGTTCACCAGAGGGTAAATCATGTTAAATCCCTACTGTTGATGGTTATATCATGTTATATCCCTGTAAAATTTCTATAAGATCATAGTTGGTGAGTTGCAAACCATTACCCACACATATTCCATTAGATATCGTCATCATTTTTGATGCTTAAACCAGCGATAGGTTCAAACCGCGGAATTTGTCACTGGTGTTTTTTAGTCATGGCATATCCCGGAATAAAATCCCGATCAGATCCCTATAAACATTCCCATGTTTATCCATTTCCCATAGGATCCATGTATGCTATATATGGTAACATTTACCATCAATATACCCCCAATGTTAGCATATATACCATACATGGATCCTATGGGTTTGTATAGGGATATGTGTCTTGTTTATCCATTTGTTTGACTGGTTTTTTAGCCTCCAACCATCCAGCTCCCACTTTCTGGGCTATCAGCGTTAGGCCAAGACAGTCTCCTTGGTGATGAAGACCATGACGGGACAAGAGCAGTGGGAGCCACTTGATTTACCGGAACAGCAGTAGAGAATCTGTCGATGGGCCGCAATGGGGATTTACTCGTTTGGTAAATGTCCCATATCTTGGGGATTTTGAACAGCACCAGAACAAGCATCTGTTGGAGACTATATGCCCAATTTTTGGGTGATGTGAAACATTAGGACATTAGGACAATTTACCAACCCCTGTTAACTATCAAAATATGGAAGTCAGTAAAGTTGCGGATTTAACTAACTAAAACATGTGTTTTGTTTTGTCAAATTTGAACAATGATCCAAGCTAGGGATTTAAATGCTTTAGCACCACTGAATTATTCACAGTGAACGATGTTCTATGAATCAGCACAATGCATGGTTTTGGAACCACTGTGATCCAAACCTTTGCGGTGCTATTGCCGCATTCCTCCGTAACGTCATTTTCATATGGGCATGCGGCATACATTATTTTTTTTTGCTTTAATCCTGATTTTTGTTGTGACAATTTTGAGGGTTTCAATCTGAATGTGGATCGCCATGAGTGCAGACTAGCGACATTGCGGGCTTTGATTGGTAAACAGCAGATATCCCAGCGACAAAGTTTACTTGTAGCAATTGTAGTTTTGGATCCTTGCTGGGATGTTGATCCCAGTTGACTGATGTGTTTGATCTTTGTTGGAAAGAACAAAGACCAGGAAAGCTTAAGATTAGTGAGAGGGCAACAGACTGACAGTGGTGATGCAACCAACAATGAAGAGGGAAACAACATTTCACAAGGTCACCAGCATGGACTTGTTCCAGTTACACTTCAGATGCGTGTTTTTGTTTTTTTTTGTTTGGTTTCCGTTGTTTGATGTATTATATAAGCAGAACATATCAATTATACATCCGGTGGGCCATCTCATTCCAAGACTGTATCAGGCTGGATCATATTGTTGCTTTCCTAGCCACATTACTTTCACTGAATACTTGCCCAATTCTGATCACTGGGATTCATGGCACTACATCGCCGCAACATGTTCGTTGACCTGTTTTTAGTTCTGTTTTGTCGGCGAGTTTTGAACTGCGTTGAATCCTACAATATCTCAACAAAGAGTAACCCACAAAAAGTTTGAATATGAATTTGCCGCCATTTTAATGGGTTTTGGGCTTTTCTATTTGTTTGGGGGTGCTCTACCTATGTTGTTCGCGCCTGGGTGGTTTATAATGCAGTGTTTAGCAATGCGATAAAGGAAGAGTGGTATATGCCCGTACTATATACAGTATCCCATGATCTTATAACTTTTATCTACTAGTTATTATTATTATCATCTATTATCCGAAAACATGTCCACATGTTATGAAAGATATGCATAGTTGGATACCAAATATCTGCAATGTTTTTCACATATATATATATATATCACTGGATTTCGATGCTTTTCCCAGAATTCCTCTAGGTAAACGAACATCGATGTGGAAAAAAACAGCATTGGTAGATCCTTTGGACCTAAGGAAGCCATGGAAATTCGCCACCTTTTTTGGCGTTGGAAGTTCCCTAGGCGCTCTCTGCAGCTTTGGCACCGCTTCGGCGAGGCTGGACGCTGAACAAAAATGGGAGGTTTCGAAAAAATGGTGGTACCCTCTGGTAATTTAACGTAGCTATTGAAAATGACCATTTATAGTGGATTTTCCCATTAAAAATGGTGATTTTCCATAGCTATGTTAAATTACCAGAGGGTACCCCCGGAGCATCCAAGTCATTAGACTCTTAGAATCTCTTAGACCATTTGAAGATTGAAACATCTTGAAACCATTTTTTCCAGCCATGGTTTTTGGAGATCCCCTATTTTAAGAACCCCCTTTACATGAGTTGTATTGGAAGCTAGCTAGTTGAGAAGCAACAGGGATAAATCTGGGTAGATCATCACTAAGGGAGGTACAATAGATTCAAGGGAAATGACAGGGATACCTATGCCCAAAGAATAGGGAAGTTGATGAAGATTCACTAGGCTGACTGGAGTTACCATGGACATATCTATAGTTAGAAGGGGTACCCCTCTGGTTATTTAACATAGCCATGGAAAATGGCCCAGTTATAATGATTTTCCCATTAAAATCTCCATTTATAAGGGATTTTCCATGGCTATGTTAAATAACCAGAGGGTAACAAATAAAACCTCAGCGGTGCCTTCCTGGATGGGTTTCCTAAAACAGAGCCCCAACATCATCCGAGACCATGTGGCTTGTCTTGAAAGCGACTTCTTTTTTGGGTGGCCCAATTTCGAGAGACACCCAAGTGATGGCTACTTGGAAAGTTTCACATCCTATACAACTCGTATATGCAGAATGGTGATTTAAAACCAGCAAACGGTTTTGGATTTCAGGATCAAAACGGGGGCTTGAAGATGGGATGATGTGGATGATGTGGGTTTGCCACCAGCAATATGTAGTGGTGAGCCCGGACTTCCGGCATTGAATGAGGAGTAAGAATCAAGAACTGAAGTACTATCCAAAAGAAACATGGGAGATGCTGTACCCCCAAGAGTTGCTGTTGCAATAGAGAACAAGTTTTTCTTTTTTTTTTAAAGTACAGTATTGCAATGTCTTGGATGGAATGGGGTCGACCATTTTTCGCCGTAGGCCGAGTTGAAGGTGGACGCCATGGCCTTCACCACCGCTGCCGGGGTCCTGGTTGAAGCAGGGGTCGACCATGGAGAAGGATAGCTATGGGCAATGTGGGGCCAAGATTCCAAATAGCGAAGTTGGTTTTAAAAGTGTAGGGAACTATAGTTGTGAAGATTCATACAACAGTGAAATTGGAGTTTTGTTTGCCAACTTAGGCTTTTAGGGGGTCACATTGTAAATTTGGTTGTAGTTTGGTGAATTCTATGTGGTTCATGGTAGCAATATGGTGGTTCAGGAGTGGTGGGATTGGGGCAAGGCATCGCAACATCGAAGTATTGCCTTATATTGTTTCATTTTTTCAGCCGGTGATAGCCTCCATCTTTTGGGGTAATTTTGATCACATGAATGCTTTCCATATCATTCATGGTGGCGAAAGTTTCATATATAGGAGAAGTGAGTTGTTGGACTGAGAGGTGGTTGTCGGCTGTGCAGTGTAGTCGCTGTAGTGGAGTTGACAACTTCAAAGCGTGCAATTTTCCACTTCTCATCTACCCGGATCTACCCTGATATCCCTGCACTCGCAGCCCTGTTGCTGCAACTGTCCATATAGTCCATCACTTGGTGATTTCACACCAAGTTTCCATGCCAGCAATGTCCTCGGCAACAACCAGCTCTCTCAAGCTGACAACCATGTGCTGTGGCATGGCAAGGGCGCCCTGCAATCCAGTGCGGCCGAAGGAGATGGCTTCAGCGCTTGGGTTCTGACAGGCAACAGCAAGGTGTGGCTCGAATGCGGGGAAGAAAGCGATCCAGTCTTGATGACCTTCAAGAAGCTCCAGGAGAAGTTCCCGTGGTCCTGGGTGATGAAAAGGGTGATCAGAAGCTGCGCTGCACTGGCGCCAGCCCAGTGTCCAGGGATCCAGCTCTGCAAGGCCGATCTGCAGTGGCCATGAACTTCTCATCTCCTCCGCACTGTGGTCCGACATATCCAATCGGAGTGATCTAGTCCAGTGAGGAATCACATTGTGGCTCTAGCTACCCTCTGGTAAATAAACATAGACCCTGAAAATCACCAATTTTTAATGGAAACTAGTCTTCCAACCCCTATCTACCAGAGTCTATGTTAATTTACTGGAGGGTAATAGATTGCTAACAGGATTATTATACAACTATAAACCAACAAGCATCGGGGGGGTGCACCACCTTGTAACCATAGATGCTGAATGGGATTTAACCCACAAACACATGAGTTTAAGAAAAACGGAATGTATTTTTGGATGATAGTGGGATATTCATAGGATGTAAGCGTGTAACCTTAACCAACACGATTTTTGCTTGTCTTCTGGTAAGTTAATGGGATTCAAACCTGTGACGTTCCATCATTATGGAGGATAAACATCCAGGGTGCCAGGGGTTTGACCCACAGCGTTTAGAAAAACATACAATGCATCTAAGAATTTGGGAAGTTGAACAACAACAATGGAATTTGCTCTAGTGTTTTGAGAACAAGAGGAACAACTGACGTTACGTCGTCAGATCACATCGCGACATCGCGACATCGCCTCGCTGGGAACAATGGTTGCCCGAAAAAACGAAATTGTTGCAGTGATCAGAGGATCTGCAAGTAGCATGATGAGAAGCACGCCACATCGTGGTCACTGGCGAGTTTGCAATACAGTTTCAACTTTAGTTCCACAACTTCGGAGGGCTGTCTACAAGTACTGTATCTAGTGTGCGATTCTCGATTCAACCAGTTGGACAAAGTCATTTCAAGACAGCATGACAAAGTCAAGGATGAATGGGAATAAACCCATGCTATTCTTGCAATTGACCAATCCATATCTCTTCCTTGAGGTACTGTTTTGTGTACTGAATGCAGTATAATTTTCATGCCACAAAAATGAAGACGTAGACATTGCAGCCGCCTAATTTCAACCAATGTGGTGATTTCCCAACAGCAATGGGGGATGAGGGGCTGATTGGGCAACCCTGTGGCCAGATTGTGACTTCGTTTTGGGACCCCATTACAAAAAAACAAAGCAAAACAATCATGTTCTGATGAAATTCACCAATAACCATCTCGGTTCTGCCATGTTATCCTCCCAATCACCATGGATTCCTGGCGGTGAATAGACACTTCTTCAGACATGATTTATGCTGGTGAAACCGTGAGACCTTCATTTTTGAGGGGAAACAATCCACCCATTTTGATTGTACCATTGGTACCATCATGAAACCCAATTGATCCCAGTGATTCTTTACGTTTTCGTGGCTAAATGGTGCTAATGTCTCATGGTATCCTGCTTAATGTGACAAAGCCAATAGTAAACCATCCCCAATATCCCAATGTCACCTGAAATAGGTGCCCTATAGTGCCCTCCAATTTTTTTGTATTGTGGGTTTGCCTCCCAAGCGCTCAGATTCAAGCCTGTGCTCACGCGAAGCTTTGGCGCCATGCCTTGGGCTTGCTGGAAGACATGCATCGGGAGGCCGGGTCACTCCAGCGGGGGGGGTTCTGTTGGTATACCCTGCGGGTAAACGTGGCAATTAAGACCTTGAGGTTTTTTTTCATTGCCATGTTTGATTACCGGAGGATAGACCAACAATAATGTTCACAATCTGAAATCGGTAGACAGATGTTACCCTCTGCTAATCTAGCATAACAGGCATGACAGGATAGGAAATCTCCGAACTAGATGGACATTGAGAATCATTTAGATACATTTAAATGTATTATGAGATATTCTTAAATGGGAGCATGAAATGTTAAACTGGTGAGTCTTCCAGCACACCTTGGGATACACTTTTGTGGTCTGATTGGCAAGGGGTAACCAGCTTTGTGATTGTATGTGATTCTACACTTTCTCCAGGTTTAGATTGAACAAAACAGGGTCCAACTTGGCTATACCAGATACAAACTGGTTTGTTTGATCATCAAAAGTGGCATGAGGTTGTAAAGAGGCGATAAATCTTGTTGTTTCCCAGTCGAAACAATGCATAATCACACGTGTTTGATCCTTTGAATGATGTGATTTACTGCTAGGAGTGGGGAGAAATTGTCCATCTCGGATAAGTTCCAGGAAGTCTTGACCAAACATGTGCTGATGTGGGATCCAAGACAATGGGGTGCAAGTATGTGCAACTAATGATATCGAATATTACTGTAAATATACTGGCATTTTGTTGGGATACTCACTATCGGCATGGGATAGTAGTGCTATATACCCTCCAGTAAATTAACATAGACCCAGTAAATTAACATAGACCCTGGTAGATAGGGGTTGGAAGATTAGTGAAACCACTAAAAATTGGTGATTTTCAGGGTCCAACTGTTAATTTACCACGGGGTATTATATTATATATATACACACATTATATTTATGATCTTTGGCATCAAACTGACAGGGGATGATGGGATTCATCAAAAAACCATACCCACGAACCAAACAGTCCAAATATGTGGCGGTGTGGTTTTATTCATTCCAAGTATTATATACACTTTATATACAATAGCAATTGTTGGATGGTTTATTACTGTGGATTTCACATTGTGGAAGTCCAGGTATCCTCATTTTCTACTGTGTGCATCCCTGACTAGCATGGAACTCAAACAAATGTTGTTTTCGGATCCGCGTAATTGTCCTCCAGGCCCCGTTTTCGGGAAGATAAGTGATCTACATTTCCAGGCAAAGTCCAGCCACATTGCAAAGCATCTATCAAGGATTGAGGGGGGGAGTTTCTAGTCAATTCTTCTGGACAGTCCAAGATTACACTGATGTTGCCGTGAATAGTTGGAAGGAAAACATCCCCAAACGTGCTGATTTCCAGTCCGACGACTGGCTGAATCTCCACAGGACTTGAACCCTGGTGCCATTCCAACCAGCGCCTGGGCGTTTGATGATGCGTTGAAGCTGGGACCTGGTGAAGATTTGGTTGAAAGGCTACACTCCCATCCCATGTTTTTGGTTGGTTGCCATGCTTTGACTGAGGGGAAACCAACAAGACTGTTCTGTTATATAATATACGTATGTTCATATTATAATGTTGATGTAATGATAATATATGATAATATAACAATCCGAAATCGGTAGATGTTACCATAGATACAACATGGTTTACTGTAATTAATTGTTTTTCATAGGGATATGAATAGGATAACAATGAGCTATTGAGTGATTGGCACCCTCTTTTCCACCGCACCATATTGGATGACCAGAGGATAATATGTGTTGTGCGCAACGCTTCTGATGACCAACTGTATTCAAGGTCTTGCAGCTTGTGTTGTTTAATTCATGTTAATTAGTCTTTGATGTTGATTGCATGTCTATCTTTGACTGGCATTTGTTTCTGGTCAGGTTCCCCTTTTTTTGAGGTACATTGTTATCTTGTTTTTTTCTTGGTGGTGTATATACGCGTATTTGTTTGCTGATACGAGTGACTGGAAAATATCCAAGCCATCAATAGTAAGCATGTGTGTGGTCTATGTCCAAACTTTTTGGTCAAACTCAGACCACCTGAAACATTCTGAAAGTCTTAGCCTTTTTTGGGGGAGGGGTGGTAAAACAGGGTAAAGCCCGATTTTGCCTAGATGGTTCTGAAAAACATGTGTTGTATGTTTCTGTAGTTGTCATCTTTGTGTGGATTAAAAGCATCTAAAGCATTCTAAAACCTTTATAATATTTTATAATCCCTTCCCTTTGCAAAACCTTGGTTTTTGTATCGTGGGGGGTGGTTTAGGGTTAGGGGGAAGGGATTTTCTGATGCCATCAGCATCGCTCCTACCCTGAGGTGTTGCCATCAGCGCCTGCAACGGCGTGAGCGAATGGGAGGTTGATGGGTCAGAAGGGAAACATCTAGAGAACATCTGAGAGTTGCTTGATTTTATGGGCATGTTCATTAATTTTGGGTTATTGGGATATATTGGGATATTATAGTATGGGACATTATATGGATGTTGCACATATTATATATATACAATTGGATTGATCAGCCATTCATCGAACTAGAAGTACTTGGATGGACCCTGGGAGTAGTTAAGTGTAACTGGCGGAAATAACTGGGTAAATTATGGATTATCATCTAACTAATCCCATGTCCCATCGCAGCAAGGGTTGCACACGTACCTATTGGCTTGATTTTATGTGAATTTCACATAAAACAACTGGGATATGACCAGTATCAATGAGATTTCACTAGCAAAGTGATAGATATGGTGCAAAGAGAACGGTAGTTTTTTGTTCACCTGCGAAAGGACACGTATCACCAACAGGATTAGTGATCCTCAATTACTCATGCTCTTGGAATGGGTTAAAACATGTTAAAACCACGGACCAGTAGATACCAAGTCAGCATTTCACCAGCAAAGTAGGGTTTTGACGAGCAAACAGAGCTTTGACCAGCAAGCAATTGCATTCACTGCTGGTTAGAGAATACTTGAATCTCTTGCAGTTTTCATAGGCATCTACGAAAAGGTAACCCAGTATCCTTCGTGATTCACAACCTCATCTAACTTTGAATATCCACCACAGGTCCAAGTTTCTCAGGTGAAAACCAACAGAAACCCCACTTTTTCACACAGAACTCCCACTTTATCTTGGTGAAATCCAGATTTTGGGTCTTTAAATCCTAGTTTTTGTGGTCTTTCCAAGCAATTTTCATAGATTGCCATATATTTTTCTTGCCAGCCTTGGTATGCTGGGGCCAGGTGGCGGTGGAATTGTTTCGGAGTGCCAGGCCGGGCCATTTTTGTTGGGGGAAAAGGGGAAATATGTTAATATATCCCTAAGGATCCATGTATGGAATATTTACCTACATTGGGATTATTTTAAATTACTTTAGGGGTCAATGTAGGTAAATATTCCATACATGGATCCTCCGGGTATGTTAATATTAGTTCACCATATTTCAACCTATTTATCCATGTTTCAATTATTTATATATGGAATGGAATGTTGAAGAATGTTCACCATTTCAATCCATTTGATTGGGATTTGTTCTATTTTTATGGTGGGAATTTTACTGTTGTTTTTTTTTCCGACATGTTTGTAAAGTCCAGGTATGATCATGATTTGGGAATGGATCCAAACCTCTAATTTACGGTGGAGAACAACATCGAAGATCCAGTCAGCTGTTGGGGTTGGGCAAATTGCAGCCTGGCTCCTCCTCGGAATCCGCCATCGTCAGAAGTCACTGGAACTAGTTGGTGGTTTGGAACATTTGTTATGTTTCCATATATTGGGATTTATCATCCCAACTAACTTTCATATTTTTCAGAGGGGTAGGTATACCACCAACCAGGGAAGATTTGAGGTCGATTTTGACGTATCCATCGCCGCTCAGGGAGTTTAAGATATGATGCGATGAGTTTCCCAAGCAGCTAAGTTGAGCATCGTCCTGAGTGAACAGTGCAAAAACGCAAAAAGAACACGTTATTTTGTTGCCAAATATAGTTTCAGTAGCATGAGGACACATCGTATCCTAAATTGATTGTTTTGCAATTCAATAAGGATAATATCCGCTGTTGTCCGTTTCAACATCGATTTCGTACATTCATATCTCAACCTGTCATGGTTAAACAACTTAGGCGAGCTTGCAGCTTGCGTTCCTTTTGACAGAAGTCGAGACAGTCGAGGACATGCTGAGCTATGAAAATGTTGACGGTGTGCTCACCCAAGGCTTCAAGTACCTGGGCCATTCAACAGTGGAGCCGAAACTCCTCTCCATCTTGGTGTGCAGCCGTAGCTTCAACAATGAGGGAGGAGGGAGGCTCCTTGACGGCCGTCCGTTTACGGCTGCATAGATGCGTCAAAGGGCAGCCCTGGCTCGAACCCCCTCTGCGCGGGAGGGCCGGACTGCTCCGAGTGTTCGAGAGTCTTTGTTGGTCTTCGGACCCTTCGCCCCGTCCTCCTGTGGTACTTTCCCCTTGGTCCCCCATGGATGACGAGTGGCTTGAGCGGTTGACTGATGAGAGGCCAGGTTTGTCTTTCCTCACTGAGTACTGCAGGTCGTTGCGACTCCTCAGCGGGCGGCCGGCTGGAAATGTCTGGAATGTTTCAACAAAGATTGTCCAAAATGAGGAGATTCCCATCGTTCCTGCAGTGCCTGAAGTTGAAAGCGATAGGGAATCATCAGATTCCACTTTGCCCTCATCATTGTATCATGGTTTCAACATGTCTTAACCATATTTGATTTGGATGTTCCCCAGAAAACTTGTGCAAAAGAGAAATCTCATCGATTCATCCCGTTTTCGCGTTTTCGCTGGTTAACATTGTTCATGACAAGCTGGTGCCCTACCCGCAGATGGTTGGTCATGGTTCAAAATCCGTGAGCTGACCCATACATGATGGTACATCATAGATACTGTCACTGACTGTGTAGCCATGTGTAGCCCATAATGGATGGTATCAAAAGGGGTAACCCATCTAAGTGTCAACTTATATCAATAATCAATGATAACTATATCTATCTATATCTAATATCTATATCTATATGTATATATCTATATCTCTATATATATATACCACAAACCTGTGGTTAACCAATCTTTTCCGCCCAGATCTTTCGCCCAGCATCCAACCAATCTTTCTCATGACCGGATGAACCGGATGGCTGCAGGGAGTCCCGAGAAGCTATGGATTCCATCATTTACAACGCTGCCATGCTACTTGAACGCAAGTTGAGTGTTTGATCTGATTTTCTTGCAACTTGGTGCTCCACCAGAGATATGAAACATTATGAAACTGTAGATATGTATGATATGTATAATTTTATATATATATATATAGTCGTGATTTAAACTATATAATATAATAAACCCACTTATATAGTACATCCATATTCTATACTAAGTTGGTTGTTTAAACCCCATGAAATCTATAGATATCTCATGATGTATCTACCATAAACCATGGATAAACTAGTTGTTTGCACCAACTTAGCTAAGGAACCCTGGCACCAGCTTGTATGAGAACTGGAGGTGTTACCAACCTAAAACGCTGATTTAACCAAACATGGGGTATATGATATGATATCCCCCAATGTGTTTGGCAATTTATAGCATTTTTTCATGGTGAGCCATGATGGTAACACAGTGAGTTTTTAAGTACCCTATCTTTGAACACACACACACACACTCTTGGGAACACCCCAAAGGGAGAACATGATATGAGATGAGATGAGGTGATTTAATCATGTTATGTACGAAGACTACGCTGGAAGTTATATGAGTTTACAGAATTAGACGAGTTACAACATGTATATAAACCTTCTATAACATGTCTATAACCTGCTTGCAAGTATGTAAAGTGTCATAACATTTGATAAGTAATTTGTAAGTTTAGCTAGCCGGCTACGAGAAGTTGTAAATGTTTAGGTAAAATATAAATGGTTAATGAACTTATCGTAATTATCTTAACTGCATGTTTTCTTTTTATAACTATGTTAACAGACTTAACATAAGTATGTAGGAAAAGTTATCATAAGTTATCTGAAAGTTAACAAAAGTTATAAAAAGTTATAAAAAGTTAGTATAAAGTTATATAAAGTTAAAAATATGTTTACAAGAGGGCAATGAAAATGTTTCTTTATTTTACATTTTTCGAGAGTTTCAATAAGTTTGTGACAAAGCTTGTCAACATTTATACAGGGTGAAAAAATCTTTTGGAGCTAGCCAAATCTATAGTTCAGCTATAGTTCAGCTATAGTTAAGCTATAGTTCAGACAAAACTAGCTATAGTTCAGACAAAACCAGCTATAGTTCAGACAAAACTAGCTATAGTTCAGACAAAAATGGCTATAGTTCAGACAAAAATGGCTATAGTTCAGACAAAAATAGCTATAGTTCAGACAAAAATGGCTATAGTTCAGACAAAACTAGCTATAGTTCAGACAAAACTAGCTATAGTTCAGAAAAAAATCGCTATAGTTCAGACAAAACTAGCTATAGTTCAGACAAAACTAGCTATAGTTCAGACAAAAATATCTATAGTTCAGACAAAAATGGCTATAGTTCAGACAAAAATAGCTATAGTTCAGACAAAAATAGCTATAGTTCAGACAAAACTAGCTATAGTTCAGACAAAAATATCTATAGTTCAGAAAAAATGGCTATAGTTCAGACAAGAATAGCTATAGTTCAGACAAAAATAGCTATAGTTCAGACAAAACTAGCTATAGTTCAGAAAAAAATCGCTATAGTTCAGACAAAACTAGCTATAGTTCAGACAAAACTAGCTATAGTTCAGACAAAAATCGCTATAGTTCAGACAAAACTAGCTATAGTTCAGACAAAACAAATCCCGAAAGAGACAGTTCGAAACACACAGATCCCGAAAGAGATGAGTTGAAGAAACCAAATCCCGAAAGGGAAAGTTTGAAAAAAAACAGATCCCGAAAGGGATGGGTTGAAGAAACCAAATCCCGAAAGGGAACGTTGGAACGGACCAGATCCCGAAAGAGAGAGGTTGAAACAACCAAGTCCCGAACGGGATCGTTATAAAATCCACGTGGTCGGAAACCAAGGCAAAGACTTTCAAAAGTATAAAAATATACAAAAAGTTATGAAAAGTTATAAAAAGTTAGCAGAAGTTATCAAAAGTTAGCAGAAGTTTTAAAAAGTTAAGACAAAACTTACAAATAAGTTATTAAAGTTAACATAACTTCCTTTTATCTTTTTGATAAGTCATGTTAACTTCCAACATAAATCCTTTAACTTCTGTATATCTAGGCTAAGTCTGTAAAGTCTTATAACTTTAAGCGTGCAGTCTTCGTAGTCCTGGCATGTCATGTCATGGCGGCTTGGGTGGTGTTTTGGCTTAGCCGTGCCACCTATGCGTCGTTGTGATTCAGGGCTTCGCACACGCACGCACACAGCCACACACACGCACCCATCTGTGTGCGTTTGTGTTCTGAATGTTTTTGAATGTTTTTGATTTGGGTACTAGGATGTACTAGGGGAAATCCATCAAAAAGCTGATTTGACAAATTTGATATGGGAAAATCCACCGAACAGAGCCGCAGAGCCAAGGCAGTCTTGTGGAGAAGGTGGGGACATGCTGGGACCCTTGTGGAGAAAATCTGGTGCTCAAATCATATCTGCCCGGCCATAAATGTCTAATAAGCGGGTTATATATAAGTTATATACCCACAGTTGTAGGGTTTTACTTATTATGTAGATTGTATCCCAGCTTATGTAGTTTTTTCCCATACATAGTTAAACTATACACATCGAATAACCCCAACCGCACCCCCAAGTTGTACAACATGGTTTATTTCAAAATCGGGAAATGCAGAAATACCATGAAAAACCTGACTTGTTTTTGATTTGTGATCTTTGGATGATTTTTTTTGCAGGTTGGCGAATGCGAAATGTGCATAAATGCACACTCTTTCTAGGTGACCCGATCAACCAAGAAGAATCATCATACAATTTTCACATAGGATTCATGTGGAGGTTTCCTAAAGTGGGGGTACCCCCAAAAGATCCCTCCATTGGTCCATTTTAGACTTCAAAGCCATGGCTCAGTGTATGACCAGAAAGTGTTCCAAGCTTTTGACTGACATTGAATATGGTCTTGAAGAAAAGGCGATCAACAATGTGTCTGTAATGACATTCAGCAGGAACCAATTAAGGAAGTGGATTGAAGGTCTCGTCAGTCTGGGTACCGCTTTCGCCACATACCTTGAAGTGTACCAAAGCTCTTGGTATTGATCTTCTGGGTGCCATCCTGAACGCAGACGGAACGCATGTCTACGAGCCTGAGTATGTGAAACAGAACAGAGAGGACACAGGAGAAAGCGAAGGTGATGAAAGGGAGCTTCCGGTCAGAAGCACACAGAGAAAGTCATGGTTCAATCCATCAACAGATAAGTCTTCTTGGAGCAGGACGTTCTTTATGCCAAAGGAGGCAATTTCAGAGTGTCGTGGAAGAAGAGGAACTGGAAGCAAGCGATAAGGAGTTCTAAGAGTACATGTGGTTTTCAATTTGATGTCACATGTGTATCACATATTTTTTGCACGCATTTGTACTGCTATATACGTGACTTGCCAATGTGCAACACGTACACATGATATCTCTTTCACTAAGAAAAGGAGAAAAGAACCAACTTAGTTTGTGTAGACGATATTTTCTCTGGCATATGTTATGCCACATGAAAAATGGTCGGGGAACCAATTCTGCAAACATACCCTAAGCTCCTGAGCACGCATGAGCTCCCATGATCGCCCTTGTTGTCTGGTTTACATGTTTCGTTCTCGGAAACAAATTCCTTGGGGAATTCATTTTACACAAAGTGACTATTTGGGTCAAAAGGGTGCGTGTGCCTTCACAGTGTCCCACCATGTCGCCCCTATTGTTTATACATTTTAGGGGCTATGCAACCCTGGAGATTGCCACTATCTGCCAAACTCGCTTATGCTTATACAGTTTTATATACATTTTCAGGCGGGGTCCTGTAGGTATTCCCCCATGGATCCCCAGGGCCGGTAGATATGTTTAAAAATCTGTCGGTATTCAGAAATCAAATTTAGAGATGCTCCAACAAATCTTTGAAACATTACTCGTTTATGAAAGCTTGAATACCGGTTTCAAGCCATTGTGCGCTCCAAAAAAAATAAAAGATGTTCAAGCCGCATCGGGGAAAAACCATGGAAAAACAAGGCGACGCCGTGGGGCCAGCGGGGGGTGTTTTTGTACGACGCTTTGTGCGTCCAACACCCGCTGACCCCCTATGAAGCCCCCAAAAGTAACAGACACTGACACTGTCCCTCCAGCTTGGATACATTATGATACATTATCAAAAAATGTATTGGGAGGGGGGAGATGAAAGAGTAGTTAGGGATGGTGATTATACTATAATCATCTATAATCTCCATTTTTTGTTGTATGATTAGAATTTTGACTATAATCCCATTTTATATCATCTATAGTCATGGCTATAATCATCTATATAATCCCATTTTTTTTGTATCAATGCAAGTTCTTCTTTTTTGTGGCAATGGAGCGCCCAAAATGGGCCCTTGTTGACCTTGGTCAGGTGGTCTATGGAAGGAAGCGATACGGCTCTTTCAGCACTTGGAGGCGGGATTATATCTAGACAAATCCTGGATCAGAGTGTGGAATTTCCAAGATCTCCATCTTACTCTACTTCAGGATGATCATGTCTACATATATATATTAAACAAAACATATATATATATATATATATATATGATGATTATGCAAAAACTTCTCAAAATTGAGTCGTGACCCCCCAAAATCAGCCCAAGCAGCCCCCAGCTATTTTCTCCCGTTTCGGGGCATTGCTGGACTGGCCAAAACGGGCTTAAGGACAGTCTGGAGAGGAATCACTGGGATCACTGCCATGTCAGCTATCAGCTATCCGCCCAGTTTGGAGTCACCTAAACTGCATCGTCAGAGGGCTATTGTTTAAAAAAATGGACTGTATTCACTATAGGCTAATTTTGTTTTTTGGAGACCCTTTACTATCATCTAATATCCATCTTGCTACATTGTTGTTGATTCACGATTGCCAAGTTGTGGAGGCTTGATATGTGCTTTGGAACATCGGCTTTGTCCATCACCAGTTTCCTCTTGGAGTTGATGATTTGCTCAGCCATGGGCCAAATACGTAGCCAACAATGGCTTGAATGGCGCGCCATCTTGGACTCTCTGCATGGCAGATTACATCAAACTCAACTGGTCATTCAAGTACAATTTTGTTTCAACTACGACTTGAGCAAGCGAATCGTTCGCTACGATGAGATGAAATGCCTGGCTGAGTTTGAAGCTATCTTCGGGGAGCGAACAGACTTTCAATGGGAAGGGCTTAGCACTTTGGGCGTTCTCCAGAACCATGTTAATGGACAATCATTATACGTATACTTAAAACAATTACACTTCTTGTGGATCCAGTCAGCTAAGGTTTATTAGTCCGGATATGTACATATAATTACATATGCATATACAATCAATGGATATCAATGGTTTTTGGTGTCAGTTCCCCTTAACGTCAATGATCAAAATTACAAGTTTCAAGAACATGGATTGTTTTTCCCTTCTTGAAAGTGGTGCCCACAGTCAGAACTTGGTTCACAAACCCTATTAACTATAGATGTATTTACCATAAGTAAACCTTAGTTAGCCTTGTGAAACAAACAAACTTAGGGATTCCGACTTGGGGCCATTCTATCCCTCTCAAATCCATTCTAATAGAAACACCATGAATCATGGTGTTTTCATCCTAGAATCCCATAAAGTCCCATGACATTCCTATGAAATCCTCATGAAATCCCAAACTTTGCACCTGTAGTACTGGAGGCGCCGGATCCCTCGTTGGTCTCCGCCAGGCAGACTTGACCATGGCTCCCACGGCCCAGAGCTATGGAGCCCTGATGACTGCCATGCACAAGAGCGGCAAATGGCAAAAGGGGTCGGGGACGCCAGGACAATTTCCCATGGGATGGCCATAAAAGATCACCGAACTGGGGAGAACGGATATAGGGATGTAATACTGAAAGATAGATTCTGGTTGGTGGTGACTGGAACATGACTGGATTATGTTTTTCCATTAAGTTGGGAATGGAATCATCATCCCAACTGACGAACTCCATGATTTTCCAGAGGGGTAGGTATACCAGCAACCAGGATTTATATGGATGCTACTCAAGTTAACTCGAACGACGATGATATGATGGGTCAACGTTTTTGGAACCTGCAATTGTCAGAGCCGCCGCCACTTCAAAGTTACAGGGTCCGGCCTCATAGAATGAGTTGGCTAAATAGGTAAACACAACTGCGCCAGGGTTGATTAGGGGGAGATAACTATATGTGGTGGTTGTAAACCAACATGACTGAGGTGAACATAAGTCCAATGACTATTTGGTTTCTGATACTAATATAACTATATAAAACTATTAAAGTGGATCATAAACAAGAACCATAGCTGGGAGCAGCATGTTCAACTGTCAAGTCCCTATTGTTGATGGTTATATCAAGTTATATCCCTATAAAATCACCATTTTCCTGCTCAAATCTCCAATGCATCGTGGTTCTATCCTGGTGTTTGCTGGTCAAATCCCCGAATTTGTGTAGTGTAGTGGATATATCCCTGTTTTTGCTGCTTGTATCCCGGCATAAACCCAGCATGTTTGTTGGTTGTATAGGAAATTATAGAGTTATGGCCCCAAATAGCAGTGTCAGTAAGTCAACCCATATATGGATATATATATATATGGTTCATGATAACCCCATAGACATAACCAGACATCACCAGTACCATATAGAAACCAATCAAACTCGATCAGCTTAGGAAAGCACGGTCCACCCGGTCCACGTCGCGTCGCACCCGGTCCCGCGTCGCGCAGCAAGGTTCGTGGCGTTCACGGCCATGAAGGAAGCGATGGCAAGATCTCTGAAGGTCGATGCCCGGAAGCCCCAGAGGTCCCAGAGGTCGGTCGTCGCAGCTGATTTTGACCAACAGCAACTGGGATTTTTGATGTTTAACAGGCAGATCTATGGTTTGAGTTTTACTGTGAAAAATTTAAGCCGATAGAATCTATGGTTTGAGTTGTTTAAGGTCTCAGTGTTGGCATAGGTTTGGAACAATTACCTTGAATAGTGTTCTATTCTTATAGCAGAATCAACATAGATCATGAGCATAAATATGAATGTATCATAGGTTCCCTAGAAAATCATCTAGATTAGCTTCAAAAAATGGTGCAGTGTTCACATTACAGTATCGTAGCCCAGAAACAAAACTTAAGGAAGCCACTTTTTCTATATCTCTGCCTATCTCTGTGTATGAGTGTATATATATATAATTATATATATATATATACATATTACCGATTTGGGGTAATCTTATGAAGGTATTTAGAAACAAAACAAAAGTAGAAGGATGGGTTTATTTTGTTTGGGTCCAGACTTACCGGTGAATGCTTGGATGAACTTGTCAGGTTCATTGATAGAAACATACGTTTGAAAAGTTAAATCATGTTAAATCCCAATTTTTCATGGTGAAAAAAAACACATGTTGTCCGGATTCGGTTGGCCATGGGCCTCAACAGCCGAGGTCCTGGGCTTCAGTGCTGCCGTCAACGTGGCGGAGGCGGCGAAGAAGTGGCCCTTGGCGGTGCATTTGCTGATGCAGGAGAGACATGGGATGATCCGGGAAATCGGGGGGAAAGCAGCTGGAGAATCATGAAAGAATCGTGGTTTACTTAGGGTTGAATGGGATTTCATAGAGTTCACGAAGGTCATCACATGTTTTAAGCAATGAGAATCCGGAGTTAAATTGTGTCGATCGATGTGAACAGAAAAAAATAAGGGTTTAAGCAGCCAAGATGGAGGATGATGAGCTCGATGGTAGTGGGTTGCTAAACCAATGCCTTACTTGGAACGACAACTTTAGGACTACTTGGCGGTTCATGACAATTGTGACATAATATGATATAATTAGTCCCTGAAGTGGCTGTCCCATCTTTAAATACTGGTTGGTGGTTTGGAACATTTTGGATTATTTTTCCATACAGTTGGGAATGTCATCATCCCAACTGACTTTAACCCCATGATTTTTCAGAGGGGTAGGTATACCACCAACCAGGAAGTTATCCAGAATCCATGATATTCATTGATCTTCATTGATATTCTATTCTATAATTTCAGGTTAGTGAAATATTATAATTTACCCATACCCTAAGGATCCGTGTATGGAATATTGACCTACATTGGGATTATTTAGAAAATTACTTTAGGGGTGTAGGTAAATATTCCAGCACCATGGATCCTCTGGGATATGTAACCCATCTTTAATTTAAACACATATTGATTCTCCAGTGGGTTCCCAAAAATATGGATTCTCCAGTGGGTTCCCAAAAATATGGGACTTCCCATTAAACCATATTAATACCTTATCAAATTTGTTGATTCTCCAGTGGCTTCCCCTAGAACTATGGCATAACCAGATAAGTTATAACTATGGTGATTCATCACTTGGCATGGTCCTCCAGCTGGATGTTTTTTCCGGAATGGGGAGTCGAACGGGGAAGCCACTGGAGAATCAACAAATTTGATAAGGGCTTAAAGATGGGTTTAATATGGTTTAATGGGATTTACCCTCTGGTAAACTAACATAACTATGGAAAATCGAAAAAAACACCATTTTTAATGGGAAAAACTCACTATAAATGGCCATTTTCAATAGCTATGTTAAATTACCAGAGGGTAGTGTACCATAGTGTAACCAACCAAAATATTGGGTTTAAGCGGGAACCTATGGGAAATCTACTTGTGACGGGCAGTGTTTTTTTTGACAGGAATAGATTGATCTTCCCAGCCGTTCTTTTTCTGCAAGAAGAAATCGGCAAACTTTCCCAGATTTGGGTGGGTTCTTAGTTTTTGGTGACTCCACCATAATCCAAAAAACGGGAAAAGTGTGTTTTTTTTTTCCCGTGCACGGGGGACCAATTGTTTTGGACGGCCTCATTATAATAATTATAAGCAGCCCGAAGAACGGGACCCCTCACTAGTTTAATATATGACTAAGTGCAGTAGGGTACCCTCTGGTAATTTAACATAGCTATTGAAAATGGCCCATTTATAGTTGATTTTCCCATTAAACATGGTGATTTTCCATACCCAGAGGATCCATGTATGGAATATTTACCTACGTTCACCCCTAAAGTAATTTAAAATAATCCCAATGTAGGTCAATATTCCATACATGGATCCTTAGGGATAGCTATGTTAGTTTACCAGAGGGTACATAACCCGCATGTTTCTATATCCTTTGGTGATCAACTAGACATTTCTCATGGCCGTGGTCCCCGTTCATCTTAAGCCTCCAGGGAGAAGGGATTCAACCGGAAGGGGATGTGGACATAGACCCAGGAGGTGTCTCCCCTCTGGTTATGACTAACAGTTAGCCATGGAAGCCATGGCCCATAGAAATAGATGGTTTAGCGAACTTGAAAATGGGTGGATCTTTCCATGGCGATGTTAGTCATAACCAGATCGTAATAATGGTGGATTAACCTTAAAGATATAGAAAAATATGATCCTACTAAAATAGTGATGAACGACTTTTCTATCTTTTGGAGTTGCTACGTGTATCTACAGCACCACCCAAAGGTCGAACAGAACAGAAAAGTGAGAAACCTGGAAATGTATGGAAATGTGAGGTCAATTTCATCAAACTACCTGGTTATAGCATGTTATAGCAAGCAGCTATGTTTCGATTTCGTATCTATTGACATGTTTTGGCAACATTTCGTCGATGCCCGAAGAATTGACCCATGGCGCCACTCATGGTGACCGTGACCTGCGACGTCCGCGCAGGAGATGCCAGAACACAAGATTGCGCAGGGGCCATGGGGGATTCATCATGGGACGGGACGTCGGACAGGTTCCTGTGAGAGGTTGGACCGGTTAGACCATGTTAGACCCACCAAAAATTGTGATTCAACCAGCAAGAATAGAGACTTCAGCAGTGAACAATGGGCATAATGGGCATGGATTGTCCAAAAATAGGGTTTTTCCCGGTATACCAGCATCTTATGGCAATTCAGGAAAGTTTCACGAGTAATCATCGAATCATAATCCATGAGTTTTTGGTTGAGAGATCAGTGGCAAGGGATCATCATTGACCTGGTTTGTTGGAGACTATGACATGGGAATCCCCTACCAAGCAGTGTAAAGGGAAAGGGCCCCAAACGATAGGTTTTGGCAAAGGTCTATTCAAAATCGTATAGCTTGTGCTGAACATGTGGCGATTCAGCTAGATAGTTGGATGGGGTTATAAACCAACTTATACCCTCTGGTAAACTAACATAGCTATTGAAAATCACATTTTTTAATGAGAAAATCCACTATAAATCACAATTTTTAATAGCTATGTTAGTTTACCAGAGGGTAGCTAGGGAGCCCTTCCTGCGTGGTGATTGTGAACTCTCCGAGAATCCTTGGAGTTGTCAAACTTGGATTGCCAAACACTGGTGCAGATACTATACAATCAATTAAAGGTCCCCCATAGGGCCCCTGAAACTAATGAATGCAAGACTAGACCAGGATTTCCAAGAGAGCATTGCATATTACCGGGAAGGGAAGGGATTGAAAGTCCGATTTTGTAGCTTCGAGCACTTGCAGTTTGTCATTGAAGATGGTGTTGTCCTCGTGGGCGGTTGCGAATTGACATTTCAACAGCCTAGTCATTCCTTGGGCATGTCCCCAGTTCAGATTGTTGTTTGCACGTTGTCTTGCAGTTTGTGTTTTCTCACTTGCACGGAAGAATCAGGAAACAACAAAACCCAACTTTTCTCAATGATATAAGCCATCGATGATTATAATGATTGCAGATTCTCTCTGAAATCATAATATCAATATAATATCCTCATATCTGGGTCAACCTTGGGTGGGCGCTTCATCAAGTTTGATTTTTGCAGTAAAACGGAGATGTTTGCTAACCGGCTCAGTTTTTTCTTCCGCGGGGTATCCAAGATTTACCATGTTTTTCCATCTTAAGTTATCAGGATCAGGATCCATGGTGCTGGAATATTTACCTACATTGGGATTATTTAGAAAATCACTTTAGGGGTGTAGGTAAATATTCCAGCACCATGGATCCTCTGGGATTTATCCCCATTTACCCTCTGGTAATTTAACATAGCTATTGAAAATGACCATTTATAGTGGATTTTCCCATTAAAAATGGTGATTTTCCATAGCTATGTTAGTTTACCAGAGGGTATCCCCAGTGAAGTCCCATGGGGTTGCTGTGAGGCCAGACACGCTCTCTTTCAACTCCGCCATCAGTGCTGCAGTCGGGGACCCAATGGAGAACAGCAGATTGTTGCGGATATGGAGGCGTCCTAAAATGGGAGTCCCCCAATATGGACGGTTAAAAATGGAAAATCCTACTAAAGATGGTTAAACATGGAAAATCCTACTAAAATGGATGATGACTAGGGGTAGCCCTATTTTAGGAAACCCGCAGATGTGGTTACTGTATTTAAGTTGATGTTCCTGTCTGTGGTAGATAGACGGAAAGTTCATATTTTAGCATTTTAGCTCATGGGGTGAAACCAAACCAACATACCCGGACTTCAGGTTTCGCTTTCATCCAAGCCAAGCGATTTGGCTCTCTTCCTGGAAGCTTCCAGTTACAGTGAGGAGCTGGAGTCTGTGGTGGGATCCAAGGATGGTGGATACAAAAGAGAGTTCAAAGCCTGAAGGTTTTGAATGGGCAGGCCGTATAGGCCACATGGCAAGCTGCAGGGTCATGCAGCGACCGTCCAAAGGTGGGCGTGGAAATATGGAATATGAAGGATACAGGATGTGTCCGGACGCTACTTGACCGAAAGGCAGGCCATTGCAATTCATAGAACGTTCAGACGTGTCCATCCCAAACGGGATGATACGATTCCTGAATGACTGCAGAAAGACCTATAAAGGTCGAAACCATCGAAAACACCTGTGGGACTTCAGAAAACAAGACGTCTTGGATTTTAGCAGCACTTTTTGGATTTCATATGAGCGGTTGCCAAAACCTGACTTGGTTGATGGTGATAGCAAGGTATACAGGTATACAGGTTTGCCTGATAGATCCCAACGTTGGTACCCCAACAAGACAAAAGATGGAACGACTTCGAGGGACCACGAAAAAAGACTCCGATTTTACCAACTTCCATCTTTCTTCGGAGGTTGCTATACTGTAAATCATTTTTACTCATAGAATCTGATACAGTTTTGGGGGCCAGTTCGTCCGAGTTCTTCGGTTTCCAGGAACGGTCAAGGAAGTGGCGTGTTGCCATCGCTTTACTACAAGAGATGAAGGAGATGACGGGATCCGAGTTGGGGTGGTCCAAAAGTGGTTGTATACTTCTAGAATCCTGATACAATTAATAGTCACACCTGGGAAGATAGATGCTAGATGAACTTAGTAAGTTCCCACTGTCTTAGATGATTAGCATGCAACACAGCTCTAGCCGACTCTAACTCCAAAAAGCTTTGCTTGAAGCACGACCCACCTTGCGGCGAGGCACATCATCTTCAGAATTCAGAAGCACAGAGTTGTTGGTGATATTTTCGAATTGCGAAGGTTCATATTAGAGTGGGTCTGAAAATGCTCTATACCGGAAAAAAAACGGATATGGTTATCTGGTTGGTGGTTTGGAGCATGTTTTATTTTTATATATTGGGAATGTCATCATCCCAACTGACTTTAACTCCATGATTTTTCAGAGGGGTGGCGAAAAACCACCAACCAGTTACTCGTATGTTCATCGGTAAAATTATGATCAATGGATTGGTTTAAGGGAAAATCTACAGGAAACCATAGATTTCCCCACTAAATATGGGGTTTTCCTGTAAATTTTCCCTTAAACCAATCCATTGATATGACTAATTAACTAACGATCAAATTTTGGGGTACCCCGAAAAGGCTAGCGGTGAAATCACCAGTCTCAGGGCCGGCCAGAGTCAGAGTTTCTCCTCCCACTATCAGGTGTGCGTTGGAAACATGGCAGAATTAAAGTTCATGTGGGTAAAACAACAAACTAATAAGCCATCCCCCAATTTCACCATTTTTATAGGTGGTATGTTTGCCATTCCCAGAAAAATGGGTGGTAAACATGACATTGTTTTACCCACATTATATTAATGGTCCTTGGGGTCTGCCTGTGTCCATTCGGATTTATAGATCCTGTGGCGATGTGTCACCTGCCAGGAGAGGGTCTCTGAATGCTCGATCGCGAGCTTTCTGTGGTTCGGACCCGAAGACTGTCCTAGATAAAATGCCAGATAAGATGTGAGAATGTATGTCAGATAGTCAGATAGAATGCCCAGATAGACTGCCGGATGAAATGCCAGATGAGATGTCAGTCTTTATGTTAGATAGAATATCAAACATAATGCCAGATACAATGCCGGATGAAATCTCAGAATAGATATCGGACAGAATGTCTGAATACATGCTGTGAGATAGAATATCAGATAGCAGTATAATGTCAGAATATTTATCAGATAAGGTGTCAGACAGAATGTTAGAATATACTGTGGATGGAGGAAATCCTGCACCAGTTAATAGATGGTTTATCCCATTGTAATCCCATTATTTACAATGCATTATAGTTCCCAATAGTTACCAATTGGTGCAGGATTTCTTCCATCCACAGTATGTCAAACAAAATGTCAGAATATATGTTAGAATATATGCCACGGTCGGTGCGGATCACTCGGAGAACAAAATTTTGTTTGCGGCATCTGGGCCCATGATGGGCCCATTAGCGTGCTATAGTTAGGCAGGTTTGGCATGGCGTATGCCATCCGATCATACTCTTAAGGGTGTTCTATTCGTGGGTGTTAATTGTGCAATTATGTATATTATTGTATATGATGATTCTGATATTCCATCTTGTTCGAATGCTGTTCGCCCAATCCATTTTGGGTTACTGGTTGTTCACTACAGTACTTTACAAGGTGGTGCCCCCCCAGTCATGTTTGTTGGTTTATTAACCTTATCAACTATAATAAGCATATCCACCATAGCCATAATTAACCTGCTGAACTAAACCAGCTTGGCCAACGATCTGGGTCATCATGTTTGATAGTCAAGTGCTTATTGTTGGTTGCAGTAATTTGCAGTATTATCATTATCCTTGTAAAATCACATCTTTGCTGTCTAAATCCCTTAGTGTGGTCCTATGTTGCTAGTTAAATCCCAAATAATCACCAATTTGTGCACATATACCCTCTGGTAATTTAACATAGCTATTGAAAATGGCCATAGAAATAGTGAGTTTTCCCACTAATAGCATGGTGATTTTCCAGTTCGCTATGTTAAATTACCAGAGGGTAATCCATGCATTATCAGGTTCATTCATGTTGGGTAAACCTTCCATGGCTATCGGCTATTGTTTCGCTACAACACGACCAGCGCCACAGCGGCCCTTTTTTTTTGTCGTTAAACGGTCCAGGACTTGGACGTGGCGCGCGACGTCGTGTGGGAACCTGGAGACATTGCCACAGATGGAGTGTTTTTTGAGTGCCATAGTGTCGGTTGATATCATATTAATAATGTGGGTAAATTAACATAGACCCTGGCAGATAGGGGTTGGAAGACTAGTTTCCATTAACAATTGGCGATTTTCAGGGTCTATGTTTATTTACCAGAGGGTAATGTGGGTAAAACAACAATCAACCATTCCCCAAATCACCATAAATAGGTGGTTTAATAACCATTCCCAAATGGGTGGTTTATGACATTGTTTTACCCACATTATACTGGGTCAACCGACTGCTTAGATACTGGTATGTACTGAATTTTACATGATGTAACATGTACACTACATGTACTAACCAGCTAGAAATGAGATTGTTTCGCAGATTCACTATGATTAGGGGATGGTCACCCATCCATTAATTCATATAATATAGTGATTTACATACTTGTGATAGAGAAGCCCGTGATGGGATGACGGATGATCATAACCCATGCATACCCATAGCATGTGTTGACCATGGTACATGTATATGATCTCGAAAGATTTTCAACAAAAATATGTGGGTTTCCGGTCAACAAAAATATTTCCGTCAAAACAAGCAAATTTGTTAAGGACCATGTAACGAGCTTCCGGTGCCAGTGGTGCCCCCGATAGGTGAAGATCCGATGGGGCATTGCTCCGATCTAAAGGTTCTATGCTCCGATTGTATGGTATATTGATGGGTAGTAACATGGTAATAACACGAATTCCAAATTTCAGGACTCCTTCATGTTGGCAATTTACATGGAGGATATGGATGGATATGGAGGTTTCCTGGAGGTTTCGCTGGGGATTTTCCTTCTGAAATAACAATCTTTTTTAGTTGTGGTCCATTGGAAACCCATGCTGGCAATTTATTTACATGGAGGATATGATGGATACAGTATATATGTACAGTATATATATAATATATATATAATTATATATATACATATTATGGGTATCAAAATATGAATCCCAAATATCTTCACCCCAGCCGGTTCTAAGCTGGCCATTTCCAGCTTTTTCTTCTGAGGAGAGCTATGCCGGGGCGATTCTGGCCTGCGTGGCCGGAAAGCAATGGTCCCGAGGGTGCACCGCGACGGGACGGGACCAGGGGATTTCACCAATGGAAATGGATCATGCACCGCGTTGGCCGGATGGGTGAAAACCTTGGAAAAGCCCAAGAAAATCATGGGATAAACCATCTATAACCATTGAAAACCCTATAAATCATGGGATGTTTACCATCTATCAACTGGTGATTTCGCAACCATCCAGTAGCTATTTTTGGTTAATTAACTATGATAACATTAATGATGAAATAGAATGAAATTCCCGAACTATGATCCCACTAGCCTCTGGTATACTAACATGTATATTCAATAAGTGTCAAAAACCACCATTTTGAATCATTTGACAGATCTTCATAGGCTTTAATCTGATTTGATCCCATGAATTTACTATGTATTACTATAAAACAACAACTTTTCTGTTGTTTACCCTCTGGTATACCAACAGCTTGGTATGGAAAATCACAATCTTTAACTTCGGTAAATCAACGAACTATATAAATGGGCCATGTAAACAATAGTTATGTTGGTCATTACCACCGGGTAAACGATCAGTCATATGGGATTTAAGCACCCAAACTATCTGCATAAATTGGGATGGAACCCAACCAGAGTGGGATGAAACCGTTGGTTTTAAGCAGCTGTGTAGTATTGTGATACCCTCTGGTAATGACTAACATAGCTATTGAAAATGGCAATAGAAATAGTGGATTTACCAATTGAAAATGGTGATTTTCCATAGTTATGTTAGTTTACCAGAGGGTAAGCATCACGAAATTTTGTAACTGAGGAGTTTTCTGGTGATTTTTTCTGGAGGATGTGTGTTTCAAAAAGTTTTTTGTTTGACAGTAAAAAACTAGCCATTTGATGAGTATTACCCTCTGGTAAACATACAAAAAACATCAAAAAACTATGGAACATCAGCATTTTTAATGGGTAAATCCACTATTTCTATGCCCATGTTCAATAGCTTTTTGTATCTTTACCAGGCCGGGTAAATCATTGATTGAGGGATTTTTTGGCTCACAACACTTGTGAATTCAACATCACCATCAGCTTGGGATTCATGCTCAACAATACTGGTTGATCTGGTGATGGATTGGTTTTCATGACTATTTTCATGGATATGTCATAGCATTGGTTGTGATATCACTAAATAGATTTAATTGATTTAATGCAATGGTTATGGATATTAATACTATTCATGGATTTGTAGACCTTTTGTTGTGATATATTTGATATACTGTGATACAACTGATATACTAACCACACTAATCAGCTAAAAGACATGCAAAGTATCTAAGATTGGACTGAAAAAATGGGGTAAAATCCTCCATGTTCAGACACACAAAAGTGGAACACAAAATACACTTAATGAATTGTGATTTCCCTAAACAACCAGGATTGCATCTATTTGTTATGTAGGGATTCTTCACTACCATAGGCAAACACACCATGATTTCATGCGGTCGTTTGGGGTTTGAGGCCCATTTGATTTATGATTGGTTGTTATCCAGCGCTGGATACTGGTTGACGAGGGATTCCAACAAGCGAAATAACGAACCCTGATGCAGCAACTGTGTCCAGGAATGGTAATCCGTTCCATTCCCTAAATATTGACTAACTGGAAATGAGCGCCGAAAAATGAAGAAATTCATGGTCTATGGAATCAATATCCCATGGTCTACTGGATATTTATCTTCCAGTTGTTTCCTTAAAAAATCCTATATACTCCATGGATCTCCATGGTGCTGGTCTATTTACGCACAAAACTGGGTGATAAATCTTTAATGTTGATCTTCCTGAGCTGAGCGCCAACCCAGCCATATCCAGCTTGCCAGATGTCAATGCTGTTGCATACACCGGTGGCTGGTTTACAAACCACTGGTTAATCAAATATTATATATGTACAATAGTATATACACCACAAATCCTCGTTGAAATCCTTATACTGGTTGGTGGTTTGGAACATTTTTCATTTTCCACAATATATGGGGATAATCCTCCCCATTGACTAATATTTTTCAAGATGGTTATATAAAACCACCAACCAGTATAACATTGTAAAGTTGTCCATGCTGTTACATCGTTGAGGCCGAAAGCGAAGAAAAACGTCACTGTCGACAGTATGACTCAAGGTCTTCCAGCGACTGGGAGGTTCCAGATGGTTCCAGGTACTCTTCGCGTACCGAATCCACAGCAATTGATTCGAGAATACCACAGCCAATCCATACAATGTGGGGCCCCCCAGTTGTAAGTTGGTTTATAAACCCCATTAACTATAGTTATAAGTACCATAAACCATAGTTATTGGAGTTATAAACCAACTTAGCTATCCAACGGGGGCCTCACATTGTAGCGATGGAGTTGCTGTTCGCGCCAGGTGCAATCAACTCAAGGCAGGAAAACTGAGGCAACTGTTGGAGCAAAAGTTGCGCCAATCTGATTGGAGCATGACACCTGGAGATGATCAAAACCTGCAGATGCTGGAGCAGCTTTTTGTTGTGGTCATGTATATTCATTTATATAGCGACACTGTAGTTTACTCATATTTACTATAGGGAACACATTGTTATGCAAGATTTTTTTGTGGATACTGGATACCTTACTTTAAGACAAACATGCAACACGGTGGATTATCACATAGTCCGGTCTTCAGGATGATAGAACCTCTTTGCACAAGATATGACTGGCATATCATTCAATACAATAAAATTCAAACAGGCAAACAAATGACCAGCCCTTCAACTGGACCAAAGATCATCCTAAGTTCAGCCAGATCATTCCTTCTAAGAACAGGGGTTGGTAACTGTCCCATTTTGGGAATATTGGACATCACCTTATAGTAGCCATTATAGACCATATACCTAATGGTTGGGTGATGTTCAATGGGGACATTTAATGACCCATGTAAGAACGCAGCGAACTTTGAAAGCGAGGACCCTTAACTCTGTTCGGGTGCAATCCGGTAGCAACGGCGGGGCTCTTTTAATGCTACCACAATGCGGAGCCCCGCCGTTGTGTTTGTTGGTTTAGTTTCACCCCATTAGCTATAGATATAACAGGATATAACTACCAGAATGAAAAAGCAAACACATCAAAGTTAGTGAAATAAACCAACTGACCTGTCATAAATCAATTCTAAATCCCACCTGCTTAAAACATGTTTTTGTTGCTAGTTAGGTCCCTGTTCATGGTTATATTCCCATAATCCATATCGGATCCCAAATGGCTGTTTACTGAAAATAGGGTACCCAATTTTTATTGGCGGTTTACTGTTCATTTTCCCAATATGTTAAGAGTGCTATAAATTGGGGTATTTCCATTCTCTGACACATCCAGATGTCTCGCATAAACCATGGTTTCCCATTTATAGATGATGCTGTCACTAAAACTCCGTATTGTTGCCATGTTTGGTTAACAGAGAGTATATCCCATCCACCCAATACTAAACACATTTAAACACCCCCTAAATGGTCGCAAGTATTCCCAAATTTGTGTACGTAAATTCCTCATTTCCCATGGCCTCTGAGGGATGTTAGACATGAACCGGGGGATAGGATGAAGTGACATAGTCCCAAGAACTTGATACTCAAGTCACCAAAAAATCCCAAATGTGTTGATGGTTATATCCCTACAAAAGTCCATAAACATCCTTGCAACACCAATGAAAAGCACCTTTTTATAAGGGCTATATACTATCCCTATATAAAAAAAAATCCTAAACCCACCATATTGTAAGGGCTATCCCTAGCAAAATCCCTACGAAAAGCCGCCCTTTTGTGCCAGGCTCAATCTCTTAGACCTAATGGCCTCAGATGACCTGGGAGCTGATGCGCAGAGCTACGGTGCCCCGGCTGCCAGCCCCGGGAGGTTTCCGAAGTCCTCGGGGTCCTCGGGGTCCTCGGCTACCCCTACTGGTTGGTGGTGACTGGAACCATGGACTGGATTATGACTTTCCTTGGGAAGTCATCATCCCAACTGACGAACTCACTCCATGATTTTTCAGAGGGGTTGGTTGAAGCCACCAACCAGCCTAGTTGTCATCCATTTCTAGATGGTTTTTCTATGAAATAAACCATCCAGCGATAGCTTGGGGTGTCCCCATGACTATGGAAACCCCCACTTTTAGTATTAAGCATCCATTTTTTTGGGGTTACCCATTTGGACCCATCTCGATTTGGTGGTTTTCTCATACCGGTAACACATGACAATAACCAGAGGGTAAACCAGAGGTTTTCAATGATATTTTAACGGGATATTACTAATCAAATCCAATCAACAATATGAAGATGGGCCAGGCCGATGATGCGGAATTCCCCTGTGGATATTTAACCCCATGTAAATAGATGATAAGCATGGCTATTAGAAATTGTAATTTTCCAGCTCGCTAGGTTAAACATTATTTGTCACAGTTTGCTATGAAAGGGATGGCCCATGAAAATAGATGATAAACATGATGGTTTACCGGTTTCATTATATTTGATGGGACACTACTAATCAACAATATGAGGATGGGCTGATGATGAGGAATTACCCTCTGATAGTTTGTCAGATAGCTATGGAACATCACCATGCTTGATAGGTGCATCATCTATAAATATATAAATGGAAGTTGTTCCATTTTGATATAGCTATATGATGTATTGTTTTGGAAGACATTTTTTTCCATGACAGATTTAGCTAGGACAGGACGGATTTAACCAAGGAACAAGCAAGGAACAGTGCTGCAGATAGCCTAAAAACCATGCAATTTTTCACAGGGAAAATGATGATGAACCAATGGATCTGGAGGATGTTTCCCGAAAAATGTCAGACAAAAAGCCACATGATCTAGCACAATTTTAAGGGGGGGGAATCATGGCCAAAATGTGTTTTTTTTTCAGGTTGAGGTGAATTCGTCGTATTCAACTACTGGTTGGTGGTGACTGGAACCATGGACTGGATTATGACTTTCCATATATTGGGAATGGAATAATCATCCCAACTGACGAAGTCCATCATTTTTCAGAGGGTAGGTATACCACCAACCAGATTTGGAGATGGGTCAAAAACCTATGATGTTCCATGTGAAGAGAATGAACAATATGAACATGCATTGGTCAGCTATTTCGAAGTTTCTGATCATGATGATTGTGCGGAAATTATAGTCACCGCACCGGCATGTCCCATTATGTTTAGCTAATTAGAACTTAAACAAATAACAACATTTCGGGCTTGGAACTTGCTGTGATTTGCTCAGAATGATGAGTACAACAGTACAACACATGTGTTGGGGAGCCCTCAAGTGACCATGTGTGACCTGCACCACTTTGTGACACATTGTGTTATAACCACGTGATATATAGACAATAGTTTGTAGTATTGTACCTATATTGCATGGCCATAATTACATATACGCGCATATATAGTTATATAATGTTATATAACTAGACATAACTAGACATTTACTACCATATAGAACCTATGTGACACGGCATGCCTTGGCTTTTCATATCACCGGTCCATAACATGTTGCGCAATGCGTTGTGTGTGTAGCTGTAGTTTTCGGAGATGCTGTTCGAAGGCACCTGCGTGGTCTTCACCGCGTGGTGTTCCTGACAAAGCAACTTATAACAATGGGGTTACCATAACTTACAATGTTGTACCCCCAACTCATCTGGTTGGTTGTTTGGAACATGACTTTTATTTTCCATAATATATGGGATAATCCTTTCCATTGACTAATATTTTTCAAGATGGTTAAAACCACCAACCAGTCATTATAGGATTTCCCATAACTTATTATGTCTTGCAAAGTTGTAGCCCAACTTTGTATGGTTCATATATGCGGATGGTTTCTGGGTATGTCGGGGGGAAGATTCCGTCCATTCTCCAGCTATGACCCTAAGGGTACCTGCGGTGTCAATGGGAACTTCAGGACCCTAAGATGGAGGTGCGTTAGTATCATTTTTCAGGCCATATGAATTGTAATTAAAGATATTCCCTTTGGCTCTGAAAAATAGGCCTTACATCTGGTGTATATATCCCTGCCTTCGACGACCGTCCCTTAAGGTGTGTTGCTGTCCGAGTGCGAACAGCGCTCCACGGGCAGCGAGTTGGCGGAGTTGGGGTGGCGCAGATTCGGAAGATGTTCACGAACTGCAGGAGTTATAACTCATTCAAGTTAATTACCCTCTGGTATATATCATGGATTATATCATGGATTATATCTCAATTGATGGATTATAATAGTAACTATCTGGGTAAACTAATGGAGGTTTAATGGGTTTACCCTCTAGTTTAATATGGTCTTATAGGGATGATTTGCTGGGATCATGATGGGACAATACTGGGATATTGATGGATATACCCTCTGGTAATGACTAACAGTTTGCTATTGAAGCCATGGCCATTGAAATAGTTGATTTACCCATGAAAAATGGTGGATTTTTCCAAAGTTATGGAACAGCTTACCAGAGGGTATACCCTGGTTGATTGGTTACGACTAGGGATTGATACCGTAGCTAAAAACTACTGGGGATTATAAAAATTCACCCAGATTGGGGTTCAGCGTTTGCAAAAAACTATATACTGGCTAAGTTATGGCCCGAAATAGCAAGTTATATAAATGGCTATTATAACTCGTTATAAATGGTTATAACTTATAACTGGTTCCAAATGCTTGTAACTGGTTATTTCTATGGGGTTATCATGAACCATAAATGGGGTGATTGCACTGACTTGTAACTGTTATTTTGGGCCAGAACTGTGGCAAAAACAAACATGGACCAACAGAAATGGAGCTTGCCACACTTGTAGATACAATCCATGGGCTCCTAGATAGAAACATATAGAAACATACACATCCCTGAATAATTATAGAGGTTGCAAGTAGGAGTTTGTTGGTCGCAGTTGGGAGTCTGGGCCATATCTAGAGCAGCTAGGTGATCAACCTTTGTCCCAGATTCCTATCGATTCCTTGGTCATCTTCCTTAATGACCACAGCAATATGAGGACACCAGAGGCACCTCCATATGCATTCTGGAAAGTTCATTTTTGACCTCCACATCATCAAAGAACAATGGTTCATTTACGGGATTTGACCTGCTGAGGATGGGGGATTGGATATTTTGTTTAATGACCACCTATGGCAATAGATTGATTGTTGAACACGTATGAAAGCTAGCCATGTTTAGACATGTGACACACCTCTTCAACATTACATCTGTGTTGTAAGATAAAACATGTCAGAGAAACATATTTACAAACATGTATATATACCCTCCGGTAATCAACCATGGCAATGGAAAATCACACATCTAGGCTCAAGGATTTTCCCAAGCAGAGCATGTTTTGCGTGTTTTTTGATTCTTGAGACGACAACTCAGACAGCCGGCCCCAAAAATTTCACAGGTCGGCCCTCTTGACGGCCTTAGCCGAGCGAGGCGCAGGCGTGATGGATCCAAAAGATGCTCAAAAAGAAGTGGTACAAGGATGGGAAGCAATAGAAAGGAAGGTTTCAACTTCAGCAAAAAGGGGGAATGTGACATTCGGAATGTGACCAAAGATATCCCAAGATGGCTTTCAAGCATAAAATTGCAGGACCCAGCCGGCGTCCATAAGAGACGTGCCATGGGTTTGAAGATGTTTCTGCAACCCCCCATTTTGTTGGGCACCCGAAAAAGGTAAACCAGCATAGATGTGAAAAAGCACGGGTTTCAATCGGAAAATTATCTCCAAATGCTGGGTGGTCCACATTTCTTTGGAAAAAGTGGCCCCTCAGAAGGTCCATCTTCAGTAAAATGACCTAAACTGGATTCCATTTTAAGGTTCCATGTTAAACTGAGCAGAGATATTATATATATATAATAATTATTATTATTGATTTATTATTATTAGTTGTTATTATTATTATTTTTTTTATTTTTGATTTATTATTATTATTATTATTAATTTATTATTATTATATATTATGTTCCTTTTATTATTATTTTTACTTATTATTATTATTATTTTCATTTTATAATTATTATTATTTTATAATAATATAATTATTATTATATAATTATGTATATGTATTGTACTTCAATTGCAGTAAGTGGCTTGATTCTGACTGTAAGCAGGTCTGAAACACGCTTGCGTTGGTATAGAGTTGTGTCGCAGAATCAGTGAGTTCCCCGCTCAAGAGCGACAAACAAAAACCTGTCCCAAGAATCCCGAAAGGGTGCTGTTGGTGGCTGCAATCATTGCCTTGTTCGTGCTCTTGGGACTTGTTTTCATCAGGACTTGAGGATCCCCGAGAGTTTTTTCACAGTGGGTCACCATGGCCACGGCAGGCGTGTCAAGTTCCAGCAGACAACCTCGATACGTCCGGCACCTGGCACAGCTTGGGACGTATCGAATAATCAGTTTTGAACGGTTTTCTGCATGCAGGGCATGTATGATTTTACACAGATCTATCACATGTGTACATTAATTGATATTAATTGTATATGTCGATACATATAGTACAATTGATATGATTTGACCGACCGTAATCGTAATACAATATAATTCAATGATAAATAATATAAATCAATGACCGGACCGACATAAAATACCTATATAATTCATATGTTTATTTATTGTAGACAGATACAATGATGTTTCACAACGAACATGCGCAATGGACTTTACATGGGGAAGAACCTGACCAGTTTTTTCCACAGCACCATAGTGCTGGAGGCCGCTCCGAGCAGCGATGAGGCGCCTGGTTGCGGGTTGCGACGACTGAGATGGAAATACCAGGGAAATTGGAAATGCTGGTCTACTTGGTGGCTCATCCCAGTTAGTAAGTGGATTATAACCCCAGTTTTTTCAGTGAACCTTGCCCCTACTTAGCCCAGTGAAATCACCAGGTTTTTTTCACCTACTTACAAACTGGGATGAGCCACCAAGTGGTCTAGAATTCTCGAAAATACTTGGGAAATATATGGAACATTATGGAAACAAATAAGAATGACATTGTCCAAGTGTTCCATTCTTTTTAAAAGCGCAGGCCCAAGTGATTCCCACCTACGGTCCACAGAAATAAATACTGTGCAGTAGGTCCCTAGGTCGCATCTTGGGGATCCAAACCATTGGTTTCAAACCAGGTAAAGCTGGCAATCTCTGATGATCGATAAAAAAGATTTCGGATTTGCTTGAAGGAAGAAGTTGAACCTGGAATTGCCTGAGAGCAGTATGGTTTCCTGACCTTTCCTGTCGATTTCGCTGGTCGATTTTGAACAATGCAGCTGTTCTGCCGTGCCAGGGTTCCTGAAGAGTCATAGTTTCCTCAAAATGACACCAGAAATGATGCTGAAGAACATCAACTTCATGATCCAACAGATCAGATTTAAGGATATGAATCATCTTCATTTACCTTCTATCTCATTCATATCTTTCAGCATAATGATTATTATTACTATACGTCCATGAATCTCATGAACTTCTATCCAGAATCCCGCGCTACAATATCGTTGCGGGCACGCTACCATGGAGAGCCTGCCATGGAATGCCAGACCTGTGGCTGATAGCAACATGGAAAGGTGTGAAACTGTCTCAGTCCTGCAGTGTGGCAGTGTTGCTGATCTGAAAATCGCTGCACAACAGGCTTTGGGGCAACGTTTTCTGAGGCTGCCCCTGATGGGCGCCTTCTGAATAAGACAGAACTTCTTCAAGATCCTGGGTTTCGAGATGGAGGCAGCATTGCTGCTGTTGCACAGCAGCCAAAGATAGCTGCAACAAAGAGCGCCTTTGCTTTGTGGTGTGTAAGAGGTGACAGGGTTGTCACCTGGGGAAATTCACAGCTTGGTGGCGACAGCACTACAGTCCAAGATCCGCTGAACGGAGTTCAGCAGATTTTTGCAACAGACTATGCCTTTGCTGCCATCTTGACAGATGGATCCGTGGTGACATGGGGAAGCCCAACTTTTGGCGGCGACAGCACTGCTGTCCAAGGTCAGTTGAACAATGTTCAGAAGATTTCTTCCACGAAAGGTGCTTTTGCTGCTATTTTGACAGATGGATCCGTGGTGACATGGGGAAACCCTGGTTTTGGCGGTGACAGCTCTGCAGTCCAACATCAACTCAAGGGTGTTCAGCAGATATATGCCTCAGACCATGCTTTTGCTGCAATATCTGCGGACGGAACTGTTATGACATGGGGCAATCGATATAGTGGTGGTGACAGCTCTAGAGTTCAGGATCAGTTCAGCTACGTCTAGGCGCATAGACAGGAGAGACATCCAAAAAGCCGCGGTGCGACTTTGGGAATTGTCAGGTCTTGCATGTCAATAATGATATACAATATAATGGTTGAATGCCCTATCCCCAATGTTAGCATGTTAAGTTAGATGCCTGTGAACAACCTGTTATATTATAATAATTGCATAATTAATCCTCTCCGCCTAATACAAAGCCCCCCACTCCCCCAAATCATAAACACCTCAGGTAGTTTTCATTATTAGGGGCCGGTATTTAGTATTAGGGTCCGAAGTTTCCCCCTAATACTAAATTAAAGACCCTGACCCTAATATAAAAAACTAGTTGAATTCGATTTCAAAATCAATTGATTTTCCTTTCATAACCCAATTAAATATTGCCAAAAATTGGATTTCGAAGCGGACCCTAATAATAAATTAAAACCGTTATTAATACAAAAAAAAAAAACAACTATTTTTTTCGGACGGACCCTAATACAAAACACCCCAGGGTTAACTAGTTTTTATTATTAGGGGGTGAAACCCACAAATAGTAGCTTTATTTTAAAATTGTTTTCTAAAGGGGATCAATTCAAAGTCAAATTGGCCTGAAATTGTCCAAAATTGGAGATGGACTTTATAGTTTTTACTCTTTGGGGAAGGTTTAGTAGGGGGAAGGGATTTTTCTGGATTTGCTGATTTTTGGCCCCTTTTTTTTGAACTTAAAATCGTCGGATCAAACCATGCCACACCAGGGCTGAGTGGTAGCCCAGTTGAGGAGTGCCATGGCTCGAGCACTAGATGACTGGCGATCTTGAGATTTTTGTTTGGGTGACTCCGTGAGCTGCAAGGTATACATTTGGATTGGGCGTACATGTTGAAAAATCCTCATGCTTGGATGCTTGAAGACCCACTGGGAGACCCACTTTTTTCAAGATTTTGGAGGTGTGTGTGTGTGTTCTGCATCCAACGCATCAATTTATGAAATGCCCTAGAATTTGACCTCAATCCTTTAAAGGTTTATTTTTCACAAGCCCCTATTAGGACCCCTATGTGATAGTTGTATTGGACAACTATTAACCACCTCGCGTTGATTCGGGTCCCAAGAGGCTTGTAGACCCTCTCAATTCGCCATCAAAGAGCGGGGAAAATGCTCGAAAACCACGGGATTCGGCGGTACCCAACGTTTCAACCCATTGAAAGTTGCCAACAATTGCTTTGTCCAACAATTCTGTGGTTAACTATGTCAAAATCCAGTCTTTTTGGTAGCTAAATCCACAATATGTGGGAACTGCCTCCAAAAAGTGAGGCTTCGCCAATATATGGTATCAAGCAATTACCTTGCTCGTAATTGTTGGTCATATGCCCATGGCCCATGATATTCTCATGATTGTTGGTGCCCTGTTTCATTCCTGAGAATCCAAAGGGAAACAAACACATTCATTTAAAAAGCATTTGTTTCGCCCTTAATTGATTTTTTTAAAACTATATAAACAAATTATCTCATTATCCCATAGATAAATCATCCCATAGATTTATAAAACGATATGCCTATGGCCCATGATATTCCCATAGATTTTGGATGATTTCACCATCCCACTCCGCCACTGGGCTCGCCAGGCTGCATCCGGCACAAAGGCACCGCCTTCGACGGCGCCGACAGCGCCGCGGCGCCGCGAGGCGGAGGATTTCAAGGTGCGGCGATCTCTGCATGGATGGTGAGGTTTGCTGGTAACATCTGGAAAGCCCCAATTTTGGGAGGATGAAACTTGATGAAACCTCTGGAAAGATCTGGAAAGTTTCCAAATTTTCTTAAAATTTGGATGAAACTTTGATGAAACATCTGGACCTGTAACCACTGAAGGTTCAAAGGCACCAAGAGAAGCATGCGGATGACGCGGCCACTTTTCATGGCTGCTACTTTTTGCAACGAATTGTCCCACCAGTGTTGCGGAAACATTCTTTTCCCCTGAAGTTTTCTCAATATCTAGGATTTCTTGATGTTTTGATGCACAATGTTTGCGCATTGATATATAATGATATATAATAATTCCTATACCTTTCCGTTGCATATCCGTACTGCTTGGTTCTATCCTTTAACCCTTCCTGCTAGACGTCCATTTGATAACCTCAAAAAAATGCACAAAGTTTAGAGGGAAACTTTAGTGAACTCATGCAATTTCTACCTTTGTAGCGGTTGCTAGAATTGCAGTTACACCCCTTATCCCCTTGTCAGTTGTAACTGGTTGATAACCTCATTTAAGTTATATTTTCCACCTTAATTGCAGGAGTTATCACCCCATTTATATTTGTTAAGGGCCATGACTGCAGTGATGTTTGTTGGTTTAGTCTCACCCCGTGAAGTCACGGAAATTGCAAGACTTGTGGGATAGGGATAGATATGCTATATTTCATGGTGGTAAATACCCAATGCCACAAACCATCCCATGAACAGTTATAAGTCATTTAAGTTAGTAAGTCACCCTATTTATGGAATGATAACCTCATAGAAATAACATGTTACAAGCATTTAGAGCCAGTTACAACCATTTATAACATTATATATATATATATAAAACCAGTTTTTATAGTTAGCCATTTATGTAACTTATTTCGGGCCAGAACTGCACGTAGTATGTTGTACCATCCCCGGCTTGGACTGGCCGCTTCAACTCCTCTGGCGCAGCCAATGCCGTGCACATCGGCCATGAATGTGCGCAGAGTGAAGGGTCGGGCAGGGGCACCCATGGGAGTTTGAGGAGTGGGATTACCCTCTGGAGATTGGACTCTACCAATGCAATTCCTAACGACCCTCTGGCAAACAAACATAGTGAACTGGAAAATGGCCATTGAAATAGTTGATTTGCCAATAAAAAATGGTGATTATATACTGGTTGGTGGTTTGGAACGTGAATTTTAGGACTTTCCATAGATTGGGAATGTCATCATCCCAACTGACGAACTCATGTTTTTCAGAGGGGTAGGTATACCACCAACCAGAATGGGACTCAATATGGGGATATGATTGGAAAATATAGAATATGGAGCATACCATGGGATATTTCATATCTAACTAACCATCTGGCAATCAAACATGGCAATTGGAGGTTTAACCATCAACAAAAAATAAGGTCATCTAATGGGATTTGATGAGATTTATATCATGGGAATAGAATGGGAGAATCGTGTTCATTGCTTGCTGGGAAATCCTCCATAAATGATAAAAATGGAGGTTAAAAGCTGGGAAAATCCATGAACATCCGCTACCCTCTGGTACACTAACGTAACTATGGAAAATCCACCATTTTTAATGGGTAAATCCACTATAAATGGCTATTTTCAATAGCTTTTTGTATGTTTACCAGAGGGTAAATGATTGGACTTTCCATTGCCATGTCTGAGTACCAGAGGATCCTGGCTGTTTTCTTTCGATGAAACAACGGGTTGTTTTTAGGCCTAAACATGAGCCAAAAAACTTTTCAGGTACCGGTGACACAGGTAATCAGGGTGATATTACCCATGTAATGTTGGTTCCTATGGGACCTATGACCACCAGGGTCATGAAGCAGCTTAGAAAAACGTGAGATGAACCTCTGATGTGGATCTAACTCGGTCTCAGAATGGGGGATGCTCCAAACGGAGATTTTACCCCCTGGTAATTTGTTACATAGCTATTGAAAATGGCGATTGAAATCGTTGATTTACCCTCTAAAAATGGTGATTTTCCAGTTCGCTATGTTAGTTTACCAAAGTAACAAAGAAAATGACGATGAATTTTCAAGTAATTTATCACAATTCGGGGTACCCAACAATTTCACAACTCGCCACGTTGGGCCCATTCACAAATATGATGATGAGCTATGATGAACAATGGCATACTTAGTTAGTAGACCTAAATTGGCTTCATCATGTTCAATGGCTTAGTAAGCAACTGGATCGTTTTCTTATCCATACCTAAGTTGGGGTTCCAATAGTTGAATATTTTTTTGAGACACCAGATGAGGAGATTCATCAATTTGGGAGGTCAAACTTATTGGAGGTCACCCATCAGCGGTGGATGTTGGGGATGGGGTTGAAGCCACCAACCAGTGACGTTGCGGATGAACCAGGATTTGGTTGGTCATTGATTGTCATGGTTCATTAATTTCTGTATTGATTATTGAATAACCTGTAATTCTAAGTTTATCATTGATTATTATCAATTTTGTTTATATTACATTACTTCACTATGGGTCTTGCCTCTTTTTGTTGTAGCCATCACTCAATAGCAACCACCAAAAAGTGCCGAAAAGTCATTCAATCAACACGTTCTATTTTGTTTGGGAGGAATATAATCATCATCAGTTTCCCTCATGTTAATGTTTTTTGTCAGCCTCTATAAAATCAATGGAAACAATAATAATCTGGTCTATTCATCTTATCTATCTATCTATCTAATCTATCTAATCTATCTATCTATCTATCTATCTATCTGTTTGTCTGTCTATCTATCCATCTATCCATCCATCCATCTATCCATCCATATCATCCATATCATCCATATCATCTATCCATCCATCTATCTATCCATCCATCCATAAATAGGAAAATCTGCAGGTTGAAGACCCCCAGGATTCCTCATCCCAGGCTGTGCCTGGACACACCCCTGGGCGCCTGGCACCCTTGGTGGACGCGCCCTTGCCCACGATGCCTGCGTTGGGGACGCCTGGTGGTACTTCGGTGATGTTTCCCCCATCAAAAATCGCCGGTCTTCAAGAAAAATCGGCAGCGACCGGCATGGGGCATGGGGGTTGCTTTTTTTTGAGCCTTTGGGAAATCCGCAGAACATTTGGGAATAGAAGGGACATGAAAATGAACATCATCCCTTTCACACATCCATTAACGATATTTTTGGGGGGTTTTGATCATAGACTTGCGGGGACCCATAAAGGTCTATGGATGATGATACTCGCCACTAAAGGGTATTATAACTTCAACTATACTCATCATCAACCAACCACCATTTAACAATTTGACACCCCACATTTTGCTTAAATCCAATTGAAAGCCATGAAATCCATTCAAATCCCATGAAATTCCGGAAAAACGATGCCATTAAAAGGCCATTAAGACCCATGAGATTCATGGTGAAATCTCATTAGAACGGCAGCCTTTCGTCGGCCAGGCCCGGCCCGCTACGGGCGCCCAAGATCTTCGTGCGCGCGGGGCAGCCCTACGCCAAGGTGGGGAGTTATCCCACCAAAATGGGGGATTGGCCTACTACCCTCTGGTAATTTAACATAGCTATGGAAAATCACCATTTAACATAGCTATGGAGATATATAGAGAATATCATCCAGATATACTACAATGTGAGGCCCCCGTTGGATACCTAAGTTGGTTTATAACTCCAATAACTATGGTCTATGGTACTTATAACTAAAGTTACTGGGGCTTATAAATCCAATTTATAACTGGGGGGCCTCACATTGTACTAATAAGAGTTGGCCAACTATCCACCCTATAGATCAATGTAATGGGATAATAATGGGATAATGAATGGGATACTAATAAGCTTACTGGTGATAAATGTGGGGAATGAGGGAATGATCCATAATCACTAGTAATAATCATCCCATTCCCTTCAGAATCAGATATGATATACCCTCCCGTAATGACTAACATAGCTATTGAAGCCATGGACATAGAAAATCATAGAAATAGTTGATTTACTTATTAAAAATGGTGAATTTTTCCATAGCTATGTTACTTTACCAGAGGCTAGTTGGCCAACATTGGCCAACTATCCACCATCGAGATCCATATCGATAGTCCGATACTTGTGTTGGCTTACTATCCTACTATAATAGTAGTTGGATGATTGGTAGTTCTTGAGTCCTAATCATATCTGTTGGCCTCAGTCATCTAGATAGTTAGGAGATAGGACTCGGACCCTATTGTTGACACGTATATTTTTCTGGGGCTTTCTGAAGTCATGATCCCCAAGTCACCGGTTGAAACATGTTAAGCCGCATGGATTGGAAACCTCCATGTACATATGTATATATATATATACATGATTTTCATTGATTTTATATGACTCTATATCATCACGTTCCATCCTAAGTTCAATGGGGTGTTGAATAGCTATATATATATATATATATGGAGGTGTCCAAAGTGTTTGGAGCACCCCAAATCATCCAAGTCATGAACGATCATGACTTAGTAGTGAAACCAATGGTGACTTGGTGATCTCCCATGTCAACCTCCATGTGATTTTAGCATTGATAAATAAGGATATGGAGGTTTCTTGACATAGTGATCTTAACCATTGGTATATGAAACCTGGCATGTTAGAGGATTCTTGCTACAATGTTATGACAATAGGTTGTCCTATATCATAGCATGAATCCTGAAACCTGGTAAGTGTATCATCAAGAATAGGCGATGATATCAACCATTGGGATATGTTATCAAACTAAAATAGAAATGTTATCATATCAAACAGTGGTATGTTATCATCAACTGTCTAAAATAGAAATCTGATCATCACACTTTCTGATCAACACCGATGAAGGGATGAAGAAATGGACCCCTTGGGAGGGGCTGCGAACACCCCAAGGTATATAACCACAACTAGTTACTATATGTTAATTTGTCATCTTAAAACAATAGCATGAAAATTCCCAATGAATCCATGGTCAGTCCCATTCATAAAAAGCATTTTGTTGCTTAAATCACAATATTTGTTTAAAGTTCACATCCCATGTTGGCCACTATCACCAACACTCTCAATATCACAACAGACCACTATGGATGACTTTGGGATCCCTCATTCTTAGAACCCCCCTGTTCAATCATACAGTACTAAGTTATTTTTGGGGACATTGGCATTGGCATCCAAGTGGATGTGTTCCAATATGGGATACCCATCAACTTGAACTTTAATGGGAAACTTCACGGTGTTCCCCCGATTTTTTCAGACATGGGTCAAAACCTTTCAACATGACCATGAATCTTGTTGGCATGAACATCCAGCACCATGGCAATTTTTTTGGCTTCACCAGGGTACATTCGAATGTGACCGAGAACCAGTGGCGGCCATATACGGCCCATCACTCGTCTTCCAGTCCCTTCAAAGGTCACCTCTATGGACGAGTTCTACCCAGAAACAGATGATGAGGCGCCAGAAGCGCGCCGGCCATGATCAGCTGAGCGCCCGGTCGACGGTGATCTCGATTCTCCACCCAGGGCAGCTGGAGATAGTGGATTTCACGGAGCTGTGACGGTCACCAAGCAGACTGTAAAATGATGGTGAGTAATTAATTAAGGGGATTCATAGCGATCAATAGTGATTAATAGTGTTAAAAGGTGGTGAATTTTCATTCATAGTTGTTAATAATAGATACATGGGTTTGCTGCTAAGAGGTTTTTAGAAAGGCGAGAGCATTAAGGGCTGGCAATTTCGCCATCCTAAAATTAAAAATCAGCACAACGAATTAAATCTTAGCCTAGTGTAGTAGACTATCTTGCCCAGCCATATATATATATATATCGATACGTAATACTAATATATAGATCTTAATAGATGCTCAGACAGACTCATACACATGTACAATGTGGTGCTTCCCAGTTTAATTTGTTTTATTAACCCATTCACTATGGATATATCATGAATCATTATATATCATTATATATCTGCCATGAACCCCTAGTAATATTAGTTTTAGACCAACTTGTCTACTGAGCTAGGGCACCCTTTATAGATACATCTAGTATTTGATGCTATGCATACTTGGTGGTTCACCCAAGGAATCGCAAGTGGTTCACTTCACCCCAGTTAATTCAGCAGGGTAAGTAGGATTAGTCCTGTTATAACTGGGACTTTTTGGCCCACATAGCAATCGGGGTGAACCACTCGGTATTTAGGTTTGTTTGTGTTTCTTTTTTTTAAGGGATTTAAGTTGTATTCGATAAAACCATCAGCAATAGGTTTTCAAGTTGGTTTTTGATGGGAATAGGGATATGCATAGTGGAAAGATCCGTATTTATTGGATGGTCATGGGGCCATGATATTTATAGATACTAAAAATCACTCGACGTTACACCAACTTGGTGGGGGAACCGGGAACCAATCAGATATATATATATAGATACCTCTACCCCCAAAAAAATACCCTCTGGTAAACTAACATAGCTATGGAAAATCACCATCTTTAATAGGTAAATCAACTATAAATGGGCCATGTTCAATAGCTATGTTAGTCATTACCAGAGGGTAACAAAGACCCTGCCATGAGTACTTTCCACCACGAATTGGTTGCTCTCAGGGTCTATGTTTTGCCGTACATGGATGGTCTAGGTAGATACTTCTAATAGATTTCATGCTACAATGTAGGGCCCCCAAGTCGTAAGTTGGCTTAAAAAAAGCCATTGACTATAGCTATTAAGGCATATGGATCAGAAACCGTCGTTGTTTGAGATATGTGTTCCAACTTCGCGATTTCGTGGCTCCGGGAGCTTCACGTTGAACTCCATAGGATCTGATTGGAGCTGCCTTGGTGCAGGAGCTTCGCTTGCTGCAGCACGTCATGCAGAAAGCTCCGCAGGGGGATCCGGCGGCCATTTGTGAGGCGAACATACGAAGGGATGGATCATACGGATTCATGGGTGATATAGAAATATCTATCAACATCGTATGTAACATATGAACATGGCACACATATATATATATATATATATGTAATTTTATAATATATATATATATATGTAATATTATATAATATTTATAATTACATGAACATATATAGCATTATATTTACAGAAATGAATTACATGATATACATATAGATAGATATATGTTTATCTATTACATGCATTGAACTTGTTTACTATGGCAGTTTCGGTGGTTCCTTCCCGAGTAGCGAGTCTCTTTTTAGAGGAATCCACCACCAAGGTGGTGCCAGGTACTAACCACTGGGCTAATCCCCCCATCTAAGTATGGTTTACAGGTTGATGGTTTGAGACATGTTTTATTTTGCCATAATATATGGGATAATGCTTCCCATTGACTATTTTTCAAGATGGTTAAAACCACCAACCAGATAATTAAATTGGATGTGGGGAACTAGTTTGCAGATCACGTGAACTGATCATGAAGTTGGGACAGAACTGGCACATTCCAATCCTCTACACATCAGGAAAGTTGGTATCCTCGAATCTCATGCCATGGATATCCGGCGCACCGTCCTTGCCGCAGGCCATCGAAAATTTCGGTGACGAAATCTTGGTCCGCGGCAAAGCACGTTTGTGGCTCAAGGCGCTGAGGGTTCTGATTGATGGGAAGTTTGGATGACGGATCAGGGATTAAACCTGATGGAGATGATGGTTTAGTATGGTTTCATACTATGGGAAAGCATCCTGTTTTTTTTTTGAGTTGGAGAGTGTTGCAATTTGCCTGTAGAAGGGTAGCCTTGCAGGATGTGTATGTCAACCGCACATGGGGGCCAGATAGGCCAATATAAGTTGTTTGATGTTGTTTCTACAAAAATGTGCTCCATAGCTAGGTTGGTATGTTAATCCACCGAACTACAGATATAGCTACAGTACCGTATACCCTGGTTACATTAGTTGTAGTTCAAAACCCATTTAGCGATTAAGTTCAATGGGGCACCCACCAATCCATGGAGTGGTGGGCATTGGCGCAGAAGGATCCTGCGTCTGCGTGTGCTCTATGGTATTATGGCTAAGAACAATATCTCAAAAGTGCTGAGATGATATTTATATGATATGTTTCCATATTTTTCCAAAATCTCAGTGAAATAAAGTGAGCCAACAGTTCTTTTCGACTGCACCAAATCACCAGTGACCGTTGTGAACTTTTTTTCCTCACGTCGGTCGTCACGTCAATCGCCGGCAGATTGCCGGTGGCATCAAAACGGATGTGCTCACAGCGGCCGCTGGGCTGTTCTGGCAGTGCAACCATAGGCCATAGATCAATAGGACCCCCCCTCAAAATTACCATGTTTATATGGCTGGTATAAATTGGTATACACTTTATAAACCATCAATATATATATATATATATATATGAGCAACCGTAAAAACCCCGGCAATACTAAATATGTATTCGACGGACATTGGTTTATGGAAATTGATGGAAATTGTTAAAAACACCAGGTAAGCGATGGGACCTTCCCAAATTAGCGATACCCCTTTTCAAGGTTATGTCATCATATTTCTCTAATATCCACATTAGCGATACCCGCATATCACATATTATTCTTAGTTCATCACATATATGTATATATATATATAAATGCAGCAGTTTCCCGCAAGCGATACCCCCCAAGTTTACCATATATCATTATTGTACAAACGTGTGGTAAGCGATGGGACCTTCCCAAATTTGTGGATGTCCTTTCCGTGAACCTAGGGTTTTCACAATCGCTCATATATATATACATATGGGTGGTTTATGATATTGCTTTACCATGCTTTACCAACAATAGTATACAATAGTGGGACTTAACCATCGTTTGCTGAGGAGTTTTTTTGGGTTTTTGACTATGGAGATACAACTGATTTACCTCAAGTAATAGATGATGGTTGATGGATTATGATAGAGAGGTGTTACACTATCCAAGTTTAGAAAACGGGCATATCTCCTGGCTCCTGGCTGGTCCTCATACTGGGAGTTAACCCCTTGACTGAAAATCACGGACTCTAGACTCAGCTGATCATCATGAATTGTCCAGTTGATGGCCATTTGGGGGAACATCAACGTATACGAACCCTTAAAATGGAGGAAATTTTCATAGTCCATCCTGGTTGCTTATGCCTCGTGCAGCTTGTCAAGATCGCTGGTCTCTTACAGCGGATGCTCCGTGGCGTCCGCACAATGGATCTGGACCTAGCCGACCTGGTCAAGATATGACAGATCAAATTGCAGTGGAAAACAACCAATTTATAGATTACACATACAAATGTAATATACTATATACTGTGTATGTTATATTATATATATACATATATTATATATATAGTATATATATATTATATATATATATATTATATATATATTATACATACACGTATACAATATACACATTCGTAGCAAAATTGGACCTGATGTCATTGGCAGACTAGATTGCTGCTTTATTGTCTAGAAACCACGTGTCGACCTGATCAGATGTGATGTTTGGTGTGTGTTTTCTCCGGTGGTGGTTACGGATGTCCATCCTGCCAAAATGCTGGATGTTGAGCGATGTTTGTCTGACAAAGGGGTGCCGGGTTGCCTGCCTCAGCCTGCTTGCGAAATCGCAAGATCTGAGAAGTTTGGGTTTATGAAATACCCTCCGGGTTATTTAACATAGCCATGGAAAATGACCCCTTTATAGATGATTTTCCCATTAATACCTCCATTTATAAGGGATTTTCCATGGCTATGTTAAATTACCAGATGGTATGTTTTGTTGTTTCTAAAGCGGTAGAGATAGCATTATCAAAAGAAACTCCGGCCTCGTTCAGCCAGAAGTACCGAAAATTCTGAACCTGAATTTCGAGAGCTGGGAAGCCACCATTTCATCATTTCAATCTCAGTTAGCAATAGGCGGTAGTATCTCAGATTATTGTTGGCTATCCATATCCATTGAATTCCCAGACTCGAGTGGCTCGGGTTAGGTTCACCCAAAAAAGCTCTTGCTTGTGAAATCCAATTCTGGAACCTGGGTGGACTGTGTTCTATTCATTTTTGGGTTCCTTATTGCGGCTATGAAATATAACTGTCTGTTGATGAATCCCCATTTCAAGAGGATGAAATCGTATGAAGTCCCATAAATGCTGCTAGTTGAACTATGTTGAACTATTGTATTCCCATGAATACCTGAAAAGTACTCCTATTTTCGCCTTCATTTTGATGGTTAATAACCCTCCCCCGTTCAGTTCGTTCAACCACCATTTTGGGTTTCGGAAACGAGGCCATCAAAGGCGGCCCCTTGACCAGTGGCGACCTGCAATGCAGCCGGCTTCCCCCGGAGCGCTAGTCGTGATGACGGGGTGACGACGTTTCAGGTGATGTGTTTAGTGTTCCCAACATGACATACACCATTTGGGGAAATCCATTGGGATGAATATGTGAATATTTTTTGCATGTTGTTTGGAGCCACTTATACCTGATTGGTGGTTTGGAACATGTTTTATTGTTCCGTATATTTGGAATAATAAGCCCAACTGACTTTCATATTTTTCAGAAGGGTTGAAACCACCAACCAGATACGCAAATCCAAGATATTCAAGGAGTATACCAATTGTACCCGAAAGAAATCAAGATGTTTTGATTGATCCAACTGGTAGTCAAAACAAGTTTTGTTTTGTGGTCCTGTTTTTGGGATGTGCCAGGCTTGAAGAAAATTCCTTTGACCCATCTCCGACTTGGTCATGCGACTGTTTTAGGAGATTGGTTTAAGGTTTCTAAGGGAAGGAACAGGTGGTTTCACTGTATGATACATGGTGACTTAACTATAACTAACTATAGTAAAAACTAAAAGGATCTATATAAAAGGAACATGTGGTTTCATGATAAACGGTGATTCAACTATATTTAACATGGATTCAACAATAGAATGAATAATGGACAATTATGGGTGTGATTGAAATGGGGCCTCAAAATGGCAAGTTTCATAGGGAAAATCAGAAAATCACAGATTATTTGCCACACACTTTACCATTTGGTTCTTTAACATAGCCATAGAAAATCACCATTTTTAATAGGTAAACCATCTATTTCTATGGGCCATCTATACCATGGCTATGTTAAGTTACCAGAGGGACGTCCAACATTTCCCTGATTCTGCCACCAACGGGACAACAGGCCATCCCAGTGACAGATCACCATTTTGGTGACAAAGCCCACACTTTTTGGTTCGTCCCAATGTGTGCAGGGGTTTACTCACCACGTTTTTAAACCATCTATGATAGTGAGTCCCCAAAAAAAATCGCAAAATCATTTCTCACTAATATAAACTATTTTTTTTGTGTAGTTTAGATTTTAGTATATCATGCATGTCCTATACTTTCTCACTATCATATCCTATAGGATGTTGTTTTTCCATGTGCCTGGTGGTTGCCTTTCTTGTGGACGTCAGCGCAGCCATTTATCAAAGCACCGAGGCGTCCTGGAGATCGGAGCTTACTGCGGATATTCGGTGCGAACGGTCACAGCGGATTCGCGAACGGTTCGGGACAATTACCAGTTTCAATAGCTACGGTACCCTCTGGTAAACCAATGGAAGTATATAATGGGTTTACTATAGTTTTATATGGTTTAATGATGGGATAATGATGGGATAATAATGGGATAATGTAAATCATCCAATCTGGATTTGTTTTTTTTATTTTTATTTTTTATACTATCTCTGGTAAACATACAAAAAGCTATTGAAAATGGCCCTTATGCCGCAGGAGTAGCTGGAGCTCACCACAAGCCACACCATTGCCAGCTCACGTAGGTACAGTAAGTATTTATGACTATACCTATAATACCAATTACCCTTTGGTTATTTAACATAGCCATGGAAAATCACCATTTTTAATAGGTAAAATTGCCCGTTGTTGTTTGCAAAGAGCATCAACCCACGGACTACTATTCTAGAGTGTTGACCCACTGAGTTTGTAGCAAATTCAATCACACTTTTTGCACAAACCCCACATGTTTGGGTATATCTAAAACCTTAGCATACACTCCAGCTCCCTTAGCATACACTCCAGCTCCCTTAGCATACACTCCAGCTCCCTTAGCATACACTCCAGCTGTGGAACACCCATAAACTTGATAAAATTGCAATTCTTTTCGAGCACCATGTTTTTGTGTTTTTGTAGTGATTAGCATAAATTAACCAACAAACATCTATCATAAATCAGCAATAGATCCCTTTCAATCCCCATTTTCCCTATGGTTTCTATCCTTCACATCTCGTTTGGTTCATCCATGAAAACCGACCCGTTGGTTTTCGGCGTTCCCAGTCCACTCGCATGGCATTGGCACTTCCGGGTGTTGGGCGACCCAGAGGGTGGATGGTATCAGGCTACAGAGCTAGTGTTGCATTGTATATATATATATATGTATATATAATCGCAATATATATATAAATATGTGTAGTATATATATATATATGTATATGTATAGTATATATATATTTAAATTATAATGTATATAATTACGTGATTTACATATATATATATATATATAATATATCATATGTCTATATTTATGTATATGTATACATATGAATATACATATGAACATTAAGAATCATGATTATTTCACCAACATGACTTGAACTGATCCGGATTTTCTCGAAAAATTAGGCACTTGTAGACCTTCAGAGATTTGTTTGGACCTGACAAACAATCATGACATTGCGTAAATGTCAGTCCTTTCAAGGATCGAGGCTCCATGGTTTTCTCCTCCGCATCCCATTTTTCCCATTTCTTGGTGTCATTGGAGTGGTTTTCCCATTGAAATCTCGGCGGTTGTCCATGGTTTTCCCATTGGTTTTTTGTGCGGTTTCAATTTTCCCAAGAAAAGCATTCCAATGATTGTGTTCACTTCAGGTGGTGTCCAGTTCCAAATCGCTAGGTGCAAAGTTCACGTTCGGTGAAATTCTATGTATTCATGGGGGTGATTTAAACCTATACAATTCGAAGGGGGACGAATATGGAATTTAACACTATTTACAGGTTGGTGGTTTAGAACATGAAATTTATTTTTCCATATATTGGGAAAAATAATCCCAACGGACTTTCATATTTTTCAGAGGGGTTGAAACCACCAATCAGTTTAACTATTTAAACACCTATATATCTATATAGAAACCATTTACTCTAAGTTCATTAGGTCCTTGGGTATATCAATTCGATGGTTTATAAACGTGTAAAAACCCAACAAACACCAACTCGAATTGGCAGCAACGGCGTCAGAGGTTCACATCGCTTCCATGGAAGTGGATCCAGCGGCTCAGCTGAGTGCAGGAGACCGTAGCGGTTGATGATGGTTAGTAATGGCTAGTGGTTAGTAGTGGGTTAGTGGTGCTGGTTAATGGGTTGATGGGGTTGATGGCTAAAAAAATGTTAAACGATTTTCTTGGTGAGTGGGTTAGTAATGATGAGTACCGGCGTTCAATTTTGTTCCAAAACAGAATCTGGGAGTGTTGGGATGATCTGACAAGACTGGTTTAACATGTTGAGTATCACACTGGTAAAGCTGTTGGCGAATGGTGCTGCAAAATCAAAATGGGCGAACTCCTGTGTGAAAAGGTGACTTTTTCTTGACATCAAGGCCCCTGGGCCCCAGGGATAAGTTCATTGGTTAGTAACTAGTTGCCTAACTTATACGTGGCTAAAAAACCGACTATTCACCAGTTACCAACTAGTGAACCAGTATGAGCTAGTCCCATGATGTTCCATGGCCCATCTAGTCGTATATCCCATAGCTATCCAGAGATGTGATTTAGCCATTATTTAGCCCAGTTTTTTAAAAAACAAAATCAGGTATGGGGGTTACACATGGTTGCACTGTTTAAGGTTTTTTTCTTCGAGCTACACAGATACATTAGGAACATTTAAGGCATCATTCAGCTTCTAGTCGCTGACCCTGTATTCTTGCCGGCATGATTTGTATTTGTATTTGCTGTTGCTGCTGCTGCTGCTGTTGTTGTTGTTGTTGCTGCTCTTTCTGATTCTTTGGCATTTTTTTGTGTTGGTTCAGGATGGTCGCAACTACATCAAGTTACCACTGCGTGATGTAACAACCCCAACCATCGCCTTCAGTTTCTTGCAGTATTTGGATGTGTTTGGATCCCTTGGGGAAGATGAAACTCGTTGGACAGGAATATCACTAAGAGATCAAGGTGCCGAGATAAGTAGCGCCCAGAAGTTTTTCGAATGTTTCGGTGCGCAGATTCCCTGAAGCAAATCTCTATTTGTACCTGGAATGCTGCATGAAGTGCGTTCCGATATCAGGTCATGAAAAGGGTCACAAAAAGATGCCTTTGCTTGCGTCTTTTGAGATCCACCATTGCTGGAATCAACAAAACACATGTCACATAATTATATATAGAATACTTTTTTTTTGAGCAAATCCCTCTGTTTTCCTTCTGTGCCCAATTTTGAACTACACAATATACTACACACATACTTATAGAATTATCTTATCTTAGGAATCAATATGATTCCGTTGGTTTCCGTAATTTGATGCACTCCAACAAAAGCATTTGCTCATTTGCAACCGCATGTGAAGACACCTCAGGTGCACATGATCATTGCCCGCAACGTGGTGTTGCATGGCGGTTTGGCCGGCACCATCGACGTGGGAGACCTGGTGGTCATATGTGGTCGGAAAGCAATGAACTACTAAGCACAAGAGCTGCTTAGATGCTTAATTTTGGTCAACATTGTGTTTTTCAGGTTGATTAATTGTATTAATTGTGAACAAGTGAGCCAGATATTTTGAGGTGGGGTAACCCAACATTTTGTTAACCTGCAAGCGTGACGGTAAACACATGGGGATTCAAGCTGCAAGAATGACCACATGTTCTACTAAGAACATCTAAGAACTAATGCACTGGCGCACAATGGGTAATGTAATCTAACTGGTGCAAAAAGGGTACTGTAAGTATATTCTGAACTTATCCTAGGTGAAATCCCGCCCTCAATCAACCGGTAGGTTGGGGATTGCAGAAGGGGTTGTATATTGCGTAATTGATTATTGCCATCTTTGTCTAAGATAACTGGGTTGCAAATACTCCCTATATCTATGACTAAGATATATCAACAGACACAATTGCCAGTGTTTTATCATTCAAATCGTAGTAACGCAAAGATGCCCAAAACTGTATCCAGGTTAAACAAGTTTGAGAATGCGTTCTTCTATTAGTAGTTTCCACACTTCACCAAGTTTTAGCCATTTATTTTAAGGGGATTGCTATACATATTAAGGATCTATAATATAGGATAAAACCTGGTCATAGATGTTGGAGGATCTAAGGAGCCATGAATGGTCCAGTCGACTTGTGCCTTTGGGACAATCTTTTCTGGGAGATTCTTGGATTCTGAGAGTTCAACACGAGACTTCGATCTAAGCCCAGGTTCATGGGGCATTCTGGTCCAGCATCCAATCTTTCCACTAGTCACGAGCGCCTCTGCGATTTTTTGTCACCTGTTGCAATGGAAAATGGGGATATGTTCGGTAAATCATCGAACTACATGATCACATTTTCCGGATGTTGCAGGCTGTGACGGACTACATGGTGCGCACTGCAGGAATTTCAGCAGGTACTGTAGTGCTGCTGGAGGCACCAATTCGGAGGAGCAACAGCGAGGCGTCACAGTTCACAGCGCCGGAACCTCATCCTAAGGCTTGTTGGATTCCACCTCTTCTGCTGTTCCAGAAGCCATGCAAATCTCCATCACCTTGTTGAGCACCAACATGTACTGCTTGAGGTCCAAGCCACTTGTTGACCCCCGCTTCATTGTGCTCCTCGTATCCCCCAAAAGGCAGTGGCGGCACCGGAGGCAATGGCGGCGGCATAGGATCTTTCTCCACCTTGTCAATCGGCGGCGGTCCATCTGGAAGTTGAGTTCCACATGGCATGGTCACTGCCAGATACCATTCGCCAGACAGCCAGGACGTTCTCAACTCTGATGTCTGACCCGTTTGACGCGCCTGAGATTCCTTGGGATGAGGATGTCATCGACAGCGGCCAGTGGCTCCTCCCTCTGACATGCCTGTATCATCAACCGTGCCTTGCGGCTTGCGGTAACATATTGTTCCCCACCTGCCACATGTTTATACATTTTCATAACTATGTCAAACAACCAACGTGCGCATGTTGTTCCAAGAATTAAGTCTTGGTGAATGTATCAGCACTATATCAGCGATCTTCCGGAGAACTGCAAAACCACTGGATAGGCAAATCGGCAAACCAGCAAGTCTTGAGAGGTCATACATTTACTGGTACTATTTTACTCATAGTTTGCCACAACTTGAATCATTTTTTTGCCAGCTCAAATCTCATCTTTTCTGTGTTGCTCCAAGTTTGGGGACGCAAAATCCTGCCCAACATTTTTTTTTGTGAGATACATCCATTCAAGTTTGAAATGAGCCAAAGATTTGCCCCCCCATGGAACCTTGCTAACCTCGAATCCAACAATTGAAGAATGATACTGTACTATAGTTGTTGTGAAAGTGGATAAAATTACATTACTTCGTGTGATCCCCACCATGACATTTATACATTTTCTTACTGGCAAATCTTCTGGCATATGTTATGGCATATCTTCTGGCATTCTATCTGGCATATCTTCTGGCATTCTATCTGACATATCTTCTGGCATTCTATCTGGCATATCTTCTGGCATTCTATCTGACATATCTTCTGGCATTCTATCTGGCATTCTATCTGGCATATCTTCTGGCATATATTCTGACATATCTTCTGGCATTCTATCTGCCATTCTATCTGGCATATCTTCTGGCATATCTATCTGGCATATCTTCTGGCATTCTATCTGGCAAATCTTCTGGCAAATCTTCTGGCATTCTATCTGGCATTCTATCTGGCATATCTTCTGGCATATTATCTGGCAAATCTTCTGGGATTCTATCTGGCATATTTTGTGGCATTCTATCTGACATTTTATCTGGCATTCTATTTGGCATACCTTCTGGCATTCTATCTGGCATACCTTCTGGCATTCTATCTGGTATATCTTCTGGCATTCTATCTGGCACATCTTGTGGCATTCTATCTGGCATATCTCATGGCATTTTATCTGGCATATCTTCTGACATTCTATCTGGCATATCTTCTGACATTCTTTCTGGCATATCTTCTGACATTCTGTCTGGCATATCTTCTGACATTCTTTCTGACATTCTTTCTGGCATTCTATCTGGCATATCTTCTGTGACATTCTTCCGGTTGAGGTCCGGCAGTGCCCACTGCGATCTGCAACTCGCGGTTGAGGTCCGGCAGTGCCCACTGGGATCTGGAGCTCGCGGTTCAGGTCCGGCAGTGCCCACTGGGATCTGGAGCTCGCGGTTGAGGTCCGGCAGTGCCCACTGGGATCTGGAGCTCGCGGTTGAGGTCCGGCAGTGCCCACTGCGACCTGGAAGTCGCGGTTGAGGTCCGGCAGTGCCCACTGCGATCTGCAACTCGCGGTTGAGGTCCGGCAGTGCCCACTGGGATCTGGAGCTCGCGGTGGAGGTCCGGCTGTGCCCACTGGGATCTGGACTGCGAGGAGGAGGCGGCGGGTGAGGAGGCGGAGGAGGCGGAGGTGGAGGCGGAGGAGGCGGAGGCGGAGGAGGAGGAGGAGAACAGCTCTGATAAAATCTAACAACCCTCACCTGGCAGGTGGGGAAAAACAAAACACCAGTCCACCAGTCAAATCCCAATGGATCTGTTTGATGTAACCGCGAATGACTGGTGGGAAAAATACTAAATACTTCAACCATCTAATTGATAAAACACAACACTCTCCAATCCCAATCGGACGGCTTTGACAATAGGGTTACCCCACCCTGTTCTATCCACTGGTTTGGAGTCATTGGAGTCCGTTCTATAGAAACGACCACAGCACGCGTGGAGCCCATTTCTAGACACGTCCCATTTCTAGCTGTGATTGGTGGGTGAAATCCCATTTGTTCATGCTTGAATCCCACCAGTTATTGGATCATTTCCCCTATCGGGATGTTTTACTTTTCTATATTTTATATGTGTTGCAAGGTATTTTTAAAAAGAGAACACTTGAAACTGAAAGATACTAGGGTTTTGTTGTCTAGAAAAAACAAAATATTTTTTTGGTTTGCTTTGAGGGTATCTCTTATCACGATTTACTTGCAGGGTAACCACGCGAATCGCCACCATCTAGGTGTGGACGGGCCACAGCAAGGCCTACGGGATGGCAGTGCGGTGACTTGGGTAGCCCACCAGATGATGCCCACCAGTTATAGTTATAATATGTTATATATAAATAACGGGATTTAATGGGATTGAATGGGATTGAACGGGATTGAATGGGATTGCCCTCTGGTAAATTAACAGTTGGACCCTGAAAATAAGCCATGTCTAGTGATTTCACTCATCTTCCAAGCCCGATGACTGCCAGGGTCGAACTGTTAATTTACTGGAGGGTATATAACTATAATATATTATATGTTCTAATTTGGTTTATAAAGTCCGTGAACTATAGATAATTCTACCATAAACCTCATGGGTGTCATGGGATGGTCATCAATACATGGGGATCGACATATTCATATTTTTGGATGTAAGACATACCATCGTTTGACCATGGCACATATGCTGATCTACTACGGAGATATTGGCATTTGCGTGGATTTTAGCAACAAAATGGGAACATAGTATTAACAATAAGGGTTGTAAAATGAGGGAATTACTCGCAAAAATGGATGTTGAACCAGTCATTCATGGGGATTTAAGCATAAGCAACACTGAATCATTCGGCTTGTCTCAAAATGCTTGATACCCCAAGATGTATGGCAATTTCAGTGGGGAAGAGCTCACATGAGCAACCGTTTGATTTTCGGGTGCCATGGGTACCCTGTTCTCACACAAAGGTACAGCTTCCTGATTCCAGAAGTGATGGGGATGGATCAACACCTATATATACACTACGTTGATTATACACTACACTAGATAATTAAATTACTCTATATGTTTGTAACGTTGTATTGACATAGTAATATAACTTAACATCATATAACATCAAATAACATCATATAACATCAAATAACATCATATAACATTATATAACATTATATAATTTTATATAACATTATATAACATTTTATAACATATGATATGACAAGATACTACAATGTTGTTTAACATATCAATCCATATTATATAATCTCATAACATATTTAGGAGGATGAACATCTGTGTTTACGTATCTGCTTTTTGGGGCGACTATTTCTTCCTGGGAATGTTCAGGAATGTTCAGGACCCTAAAATGGAGGTACTGTACGGATATTTGAAATATGTTGGGAAATACATGGAAATATATGGAAATATCTTCTTGCATAGGCGTAAAAAACAGGCCTTATATATGATAGGTACCTCCAATAAATCGGTACCTGACATGGCCATGATTGCACAAAAAGTGAAATTGACATGTTTTTGGGTTGGTCAGCGTTCCCCGGATTCGCAATTGTTGTTGGCTGAGGTGCAATTTGAGTTGCTAAAGCCCAGGTTTTAGGGCAACCTCGGCTTGGTAAGTTATAGCAACACCGAAAAAGAGAACACATAATGCTACACTCTTTTCTGGCTCAAGTTCGATATGAAACAACCCATCGTTGAAGGACTGCGCCATTGCCTCGACCATGTTCAATTTGCTGACTTTCGCGTTTCAGGTGGGGTGCCTGGCTCCGCGTTGGCAGACTGTGACTACGACCATACGTGGATGTTACAAAGCCACGCCATGTCAGTGAGAACCTTGCCACATCAGATTCACAGACAATCGCTATATTTTGATGGCAGGGACTGTGGCAAGATATCACCTGGATTCCACAGATGAACATTTGATTGCACCTCTACACAAAGCAGGTTGGAAGGTAGATGATTTCTACTCCTTGTACGATGGTAACCTTGGTGACAACGACACATGGCACCGGCAGGCAGCAAAATTTGAACCATGCAGAACCTTCTTTGTCAGAGGTCAAACGACAAGATCTTGACGCCACCATAGCTAAAAAAAACAAGACGTTTGGTGCAGATGTTGGCTGTTGGAAGGCGTTCAACCACTACGACACCAGCCCGGACGATCTGCCATTCATCAGTGGAAGCGGTTTGGTTGCCCCACTGGAGGGGGTTAGAACGTGGGTCAATTGCCCATCGCAATTTTGTCCACATGCGCAAAGAAATCAACATGTTGTGGCAACAAGTTGAAACACACGAAAAGGAAAAGGGCGCGGGATTTCAGTATTCGTACGTTATGTTCATTCACGATGACGCTTACTGGTTCAAGGACTTCGATTTGGATTTGATGTTGCAAATCTCTGGAGGGCGCCAACATTCTGCAGTCTCTGGAGGGCGCCAAATGTTTTCGACTGCGATGCCGCCTCTATGAAGTGGGATATTCATCCTGGAATTGTTGATTACGTGTTCCTTGCTGATCGCGCAGCTGGAAAAAAGTAGAATGCTCTATTTTGGCGGGGTGCTGTTATATATCCCAGAATTAGATGATAGGAAAAACTACGGAAAGCCTCTCTCTCTCTCTATATATAAATAACATATATATATATATTACATATATATATATAATATTACATATATATATTACATATATATATATATATACACCTGCTGGTACTGGCAAACAGCATGAGATGTGCCCATTGAATCCCACTGATATGAACTTCCATATGTGGATACTGTGGATGGTTGCGAAATCCTGCACCACCAAAAGGATGGTTGAAACCCAATAAATAATGGTATACACCATCTCTCAAGTGGTGCAGGATTTCGCAACCATCCACAGTACCATTGACCAACTTCCATGTCACCCCGTTGTTTGGTTTGGTGTTTTTGATCCACTTCACCTTGCATCTGATGTGTTTTTTGTGCAAAACCAGGACCTCCTACCACGGATTCTGAAGCGCTATGGCGGGCCCATGCCTCAGTATTGGAGTCTGACAATGGGCTACCGCAAAGATGGCCATGGGTTTTTGTGGAACATGATGATTACCATGTGGTAAATTAAGATAGGTATGGAAAGCATGTCCCATTTAAATAGGGTAAATTTCCTATTGACTGGTTTCATGGCCATCAACCATAGCTATTTTTGTGTAATTTACCATCTACCATTTATTGAAGATTTATCGATTAAACTGGTGACTTTCAATCGCCATGTGAAATTACCAGACGGTTCACCAACGGATACAACGGGGGACCCTCACACAAACCCCCGAGTTGAATTGAATTGGGAACACTACTAGTTACTAGTGGAATACATACAGGAAATACATACAGAAATACTACTCTAGTTGGTGGTTTGGAACATTTTGATTATTTTCCATATATTGGGAATGTCATCATCCCAACTGACGAACTCATATTTTTCAGAGGGGTAGGTATACCACCAAGCAGTACTATGGGGGGGTTCTTAACATTAGAGTGCTCCAAGATATCATCCATCTTGTTGGTCAAAAGATCATGGTGAAAAAATGAGTTTTGGGCCTTTTGGGTTATGGTGATCTCTTGGGATATCGCCATCAGGGACTTGACTCTCAAAAAGGCTGGCCCGCTGGCCCATAGTTAGCTAATTGGGTTTATAGTGTTCAGTAGATTGAAGATGCGGTTTATAGTGGATATATCCACATGAACATAATTGAACATAAACCAACAAACATAACAGCCGGGCACCACCTTGTGGTAAATGTTGAGATAGAGGACCCAGAGTATTTTCCAAGTCAAGCTATCAGAATCGATAGGGAAACTCATGCTGAAACTGGGTACATCCAACCAAAAAGAACATCCGATTGAATGGTGAGCGCTGCGGAGATTAGTTAGTGATAGTTAGTCTTTCTTTTTCGCCACTTTACTGGTTGGATATTGGCGAGTGGTTGGGAAAAACGTAGCTTTTATGAACACGTGATCTTTGATGGGTTGGAGTCTTTCATGCTTTTGCAAAAGGACATTGAATGCCCTTTCCCATCCTTTTTTTCAACCGGTTTCCACGGCAACTTTGTTCGTTTTTTTTGGGGGGGTTCCAAGTAGCAGTCCAGGGGTATCACCCGCCGACTGGTCTCGATGGATTCGTTGTTTCGCGCGCCCAGGGAATTGAAATTTGGTCCGCGTCTTGGGGCATTGCGTGGGATGTAGAAAGTAGGATGTGAGAATCATCAACTTCACATAGCGGATTTAAGCAACACAAATGAGCGGTTTCACGGGATTTCATTCACCAAAAGGACAAATGTTAATCATCAAAAGGTTGAACTTGGATTATTTAGATGAAGCACTTTGTGATAATGTTTTGGGGTGTGGGTGAACCAGTGAAAAGACGCTGTGACATAGCCGACATGCGAAGGACTTATAGTTTGAAGAGAATATCTACGGGATAGGCTCAAAACCTTGAAGAGAAAACCCGAGTTTTTGGGATGAAGATGCAAAACTTATCCAACGATTTGCTTAACTTATCCAACTTTGTTGGTACCATCACAGCCACAGCATGGTCACCCTTAGACCGGGATTTGCTGAGTCGCGTTTTTTTTTTGGTGTTTATGGTTCCCATGATATACTCTACCATTTGGGGAAACTACATGGGACACGTTTTATTGTATTGGGTGCCCCAAATCAGAAACTGCAAGTTGTTGGTGACAAAATGTTATACATCCCACATTTTATCTCATTTCCCATAGGATCCATGGTGCTGGTATATATGCTAGCATTGGGAGTATATTGATGGGATCCATGTTACCATACATAAAGCATACATGGATCCTATGGGTATCACCCCCATGTCCCATGCTGAAATCCCGTATTGAACTGTTAGTCAAATCATCCGCGAATCACCCCCTAGCCATTGGGCAACGCCTGTGCGGTGAGGTGCCGTGTTTATGGATCAGAAAGGCTCGCGCTACCAGGAGGACATGCTGAAGATGGAGTGCGGGAGCCCTGTTTTTTGGCCTGTGGTGACCCTCAGTTGTGTGTTTACTGGGTTGGTTTCACCCCATGAATTTACTAGTTTGATAATGTTTGATATCTAATGAGATTTAAATACATATATCAATATATATATATATCAATATATATATATATCAATATATATATATCAATATATATATATCAATATATATATATCAATATATATATATATATATCAATATATATATATATGTATAATATAACATATAATGTCATATAATGTCAACCCCAGATTAACAAACGATGGTTTATCAATTAGGGGGGTATTCCCCCAATAATCATGATTTGATACTTAAATGGTACCTTCCCAATTAAACAGCCTAGGGGTTTATTAATCCAGGGTTGACATTATATATATCATATAACATATATGATGTATATATATATATATTAATAGTGTGTATATATATATATATACACACACTCTATATATATATATATAGTTTATATATATATACACAGTATACCATAAATCCAAAGTTAACATACTGAACTAAACCAACGCCGACTCAGCTTACGAGCTGAGGTCCTTAAGCAAACCCAAGAACATGGAGTCCTCCCCTTGCTGTCTCAAAAAAACAACCCAACGATAGCTGTCAGAAGCTATAAGAGCTTGGAGCGCAATTAATTTTCCTGTGGTTGAAGCCTGGAAATCAAGGGCTTGCGATCATGGTTGCCAATAGTGGAAGACATAATTGGGAATGAATGGAATATAGTGAGTCGGTATTAGCAAAGAGCAGCAGCCTGTTTGGGTGATTTTCTTACGGGTGTGAAACTGGTTACAACCTTGGATTGAACATCAGCTTGCCACATTTTTGTTCGCTTCAGCTATCTTTAAAAACTGGCTGATTTTGTGGCTTTGTTTGGGAGCCAAAATGGCAAAAACGAGAATCTTGTTGAAGCCAAATAAATTCATTTCACATCCTTTGACCATATACTATATGTACTGCGATTATCATTTATAATCATCAGAAAGTTCGATATTATATATTAACCATAAATTTGCCACTATTAACCATTAGTTATATATCATTAACAATTGATTATATAGTATATAATTTCACGAGCTCCTGGGATTTTGTGATTTTTAGGGAATATTGGATATCAAGAAGTAAATTTCGTGGGATTTGGGGGTATTTCATGGCATCTGGGGGTAATCATGTTTGTTTTTTTTGACATGATGCCTTTTTGTTTGATGCTATTTTTCAAGAGAAGATGTTCTTCCTTAGATGTTTTGATGCTTGCTCTGTCAAATTTCAATTAGATGTTTTTTTTCCTTGGCTTGTTGTTGTGCAAAAATGATGAGGGAAGTTGTGCTCTTTAAGCCTAAACGTTGTGGGTTTTGTTTTGTTTTTTCTTGTGGTTTGTGCTAATTTTTGTGATCAAATCATGAGGGAATTTGTGCATTTTTTGCGCTCTTTTTGCATGGGAAATTGTGTTTTTGTCCCTGAACAAAACTTGTCCCTTAGCCAAATTTGCCCTTTAGAAAAACTTGTCACTGCAAAAAAAATGTCCTTTAGCAAAAATTGTCCCTAAGCAAAACTTGTCCCTTAGCAAAACTTGTCACTGAGCAAAATGTGTCCCTTAGCAATTTTTTTCCTTTTAGCAAAAATCTTCCCTTAGCAGAACTTGTCCCTTAGCAAAATGTGTCCCTTAGAAAAACTTGTCACTGCAAAAATTTTTCCTTTAGCAAAAATTGTCCCTTAGCAGAACTTGTCCCTTAGCAAAACTTGTCACTGAGCAAAATGTGTCCCTTAGCAATTTTTTTCCTTTTAGCAAAAATTTTCCCTTAGCAGAACTTGTCCCTTAGCAAAATGTGTCCCTTAGAAAAACTTGTCACTGCAAAAAAAATTTCCTTTAGCAAAAATTGTCCCTTAGCAGAACTTGTCCCTTAGCAAAATGTGTCCCTTAGAAAAACTTGTCACTGCAAAATTTTTCCTTTAGCAACAATTTTCCCTTAGCAGAACTTGTCCCTTAGCCAAATTTGTCCTTTAGAAAAACTTGTCACTGCAAAAATTGTCCTTTAGCAAAAATTGTCCCTAAGCAAAACTTGTCCCTTAGCAAAACTTGTCACTGAGCAAAATATGTCCCTTAGCAATTTTTTTCCTTTTAGCAAAAATTTTCCCTTAGCAGAACTTGTCCCTTAGCAAAATGTGTCCCTTAGAAAAAACTTGTCACTGCAATTTTTTTTCCTTTAGCAAAAATTGTCCCTTAGCAGAACTTGTCCCTTAGCAAAATGTGTCCCTTAGAAAAATTTGTCACTGCAATTTTTTTTCCTTTAGCAAAAAGTTTCCCTAAGCAAAACTTGTCCCTTAGCAAAACTTGTCACTGAGCAAAATGTGTCCCTTAGCAATTTTTTTCCTTTTAGCAAAAATTTTCCCTTAGCAGAACTTGTCCCTTAGCAAAATGTGTCCTTTAGAAAAACTTGTCACTGCAAAAATTGTCCTTTAGCAAAAATTGTCCCTAAGCAAAACTTGTCCCTTAGCAAAACTTGTCACTGAGCAAAATGTGTCCCTTAACAAAATTTTTCCTTTAGCAAAAAAAATCCCTTAGCAAAACTTATGCACTGTTGCCTTTCCCTTTGCCCAAAAGGGATTTTATCCAACAAAATTTCTGCAAGCTCCAACTGAATAGATTTTGATCTGGTTCCAAGTAGGCTGCCCCCAGAGTGATTTCATACTTCGGTTCAACATCAGAAAAAATTGGATTGAGAAGATTGGGCCTCTCAAAGTGTTTGTGGTTTTGGTCCCTGGGTTGTTGTGCAATTTTGGCTGGGAAGTTACAATTAAAATCCATTATTCCACTGTTAGTGCAATTTGGCTAGGAACTATGGCTTGGACCCACCAAGTCTGTATAAGAGAAGTCTGCATATGAACCATGGCTTGATCAACCAAGTGTGCGTAACATAAGCCTGCATGTGAACCATGGATTGATCAACCAAGTGTGCACAACATAAGCCTGCATGTGAACCACGACTTGGACGCATGACAAAAGAGTGCATGTGAACTGTGACTTGGGCCCGCCAATTCTGCATAACATAAGCCTGCATGTGAACCATGACTTGGACCCACCAAGTCTGTTTAAGAGAAACCTGTACAGGAACTACGACTTGGACCCACCAAGTCTGCACAACAGACTCCTGCAAATGAACCATGGCTTGATCACCAAGTATGCGCAACGGAAGCCTGCATGTGAACCATGACTTGGACGCATAACATAAGCGTGCATGTGAACTGTGACTTGGACCCACCAAGTCTGTAGAAGAGAAATCTGCATATGAACAATGACTTGGACCCACCAAGTCTGTATAAGAGAAACCTGCGTAGGAACTGTGACTTGGACCCACCAAGTCTGTGCAAGAGAAACCTGCATAAGAACTATGACTTGGACCCACCAAGTCTACACAACGGACTCCTCAAGTCTGCACAACGGAATCGTGCATATGAACTGTGACTTGGACCCACCAAGTCTGGTTAGTGGTAACTTAACTCAACAGTTCCTGGATTTGTTCAATATAAAGTCTACATATCTATGAACCTGAGGGCAAAAAAGTCAAGAAACTTTGTGGTTTTGCGTATATATATATATCTCTCTATCTATCTATCTATCTATCCATCGATCTATCTATCTATCTATCTATCTATCTGTCTATCTATCTATCTATCTATCTAATTAATCTATCTATCTATCTATCTATCTATCTTCAAAATGTACGGACAAATCCTTCAGGCAGTTGGGAAAACACATCACAATAAAAAACAACACTTGGAAACACCAGGTCAGTTGTGGGCCAAAGACTTCAGCGACATAAAAAAAATTGGCCAGTAGGTAACACCTTGAAAACACAATGAGGAAACACGCAAAAAGGTGAACTGAAAACACAATAACGAAACATTGCAATCAGAAATTGTCCGTGGTTTCGCTGAGACTGGCGGTTGGCTCAGGCACCAAGACTCAGCACCCACAAGTAGAGCCTCAGGCCCGGGATATTCGTGAAAATGCAAGTACGTGTGACTTCAGATCAATGCAAACTGACGCAGTGTCGACATCCAAAGGCAAACATCCCCAAAAACAATCCAAACGCGCGCGCGACAACTTTTTCACACTCAATTGGCAGTGGCCCGTGCGTCAATTGGCAGTGGCCCGTGCAAAACACATGCGCAGCTCATCCATGCAGTCTTCCACCACTTTTGCAAAGGGGCCCAAGCCATCATCATCTCCATCACCTTTGCCCTTGCCATGTTTGCACTTGCCATGTTTGCCCTTGCCGCCTTTGCCCTTGCCGCCTTTGCCTTTTCTCCTGAGCAAAGACACGCCCACAAACCAACGGAATGTGATTTTGGCCCAGTCTAATCCATCTCTTGCACGACTCACTGCAATAACCATGACCAGGACAACAAACAGCCACAGATTCAACTGAAACGAACACCCAGGACCTAGACACCTTGAATCAATGCAACAAAGATTCTCAGGAAGCACGGATGAGATTTATGACATGACATGTGACTGTGGCTTTCGATCGACCAGTGATTATTGCAGCCTAGAAGCCATCCTGGCACATGGAATTTGGCTTGGGTGCGTTTCCGTCCCACCATCTGCACCTCACATTCAGTCGAGCCAATGATGCCAAGAGAAAAAGTGAACTGACGGACTGGCTGCTTGAAAAAACCAATTAAAAGACCCTTTTGCAACAAAATCTGTCACCCACGGGTCAATATTTTGGAGGGTTCAGGGACCTTGTGATTAGCTGTAACTTGTAGCCCGCGCTGAACTTGGTGGGTCCAAGTCTTCACAATGAGCCAAGTCACAGCGGCTTTGTAGGAAACAGATTTCAATCCAGAGATCAGCGCTGCTGTGCATTGAGGTGCCCGATGCACTCCTGCGTTGCAATGCACGATGGTGCCGCCACCGCGATTCAGCACGGAGTTCACTTCCTTCGCCACCTCCAACAACGATGTC